TCGCCATCTCACATGTGGATGCTTTCTTACCTTTTTTGATGCACCGGCAAAGGCTTTTCCTTTATCAAATTTACAACCCACTATACTGAGCTGTACATATTTTAGAGAGTGTCCTCAAAAGCAAATGACAGGGCGGCTCACAATTCCTTGTGGCTTGCTCACCGCAAAGCTTCATCATCAAGTATTCAGAACCATGGGAACGAGAGGAATGCAAAAGCTTTTGCTTGCACACTCAGCCCGCCACCATTCTACTATTTCGTGCAACTGTATATTTTCCGTTTGCTGGGAAAGCTTCTTTTATGATTCACGAAAATTGTCTTGTGACATGATTTTTTTCGGGATTAAAATTTCCCCTGGCTTTGTATTATTTGTCGCAACAAAAGACTTCTTTCATATTGTGCACAAAAATATTATGGAATAACTCATATTATTTGTGTTGTGTACTTGGAGAGAATGCCAACATGCAATATTCGACGTATTTTTGATTGCAATTTCGCGCATGCCATTGAAGAGTGCGGCAATTGAGATCAAACTCAGTCGAGAGTTCTTCGCAACTATTTTAGAATGGCAGAAACTTTGCAGTGCATAATGCATGCGTTTGTGTTCCCGCACTATGTGAATTCTGTGCTTGGAAATGGAAGCTTTTGGGAGCTTCTAAGCAACAATTCCACTTTCCTCTCTTCCTGTTATATGCATCGCACTTTCCCGAAATTTCAAGAAGATTGCTCTGGAGAATTGCTGAATCGTCATCATCAGCATCAGAACAGAGAGCGAGGATGCGAAATGCATGCGAATTCATGATGGTTGAGGAGGCATCATGATTGGATAGGTGGCATGGAGAATCGCCAGTAATTAATCACTTGCTAAGATTCATTGGACACTTCTCTCGACAACACTACGATTGCACTCAAAACATTGCACCAAAACGTATCGATTAATTCTCAACAAGTTCGCCTTTGATCAGTTTTAGTTCGTATGACCAGTGAGCAAATTGACTCTGGGAGAACGACAATTGTGTAGTGAGTCTCCTTTTGACAATGTGCTGAATTCAAAATTGAGCGTGTGTGTGCAAAATTCAGATTGTGGACCTTTCGAGCGGAATTCAATAAGAATCCACACAATAATTTCATATTATAGCTGGAGAGATTTTCTATAATCCGTTTATGTAAAATTCGTTCTGACTTTATTTATTTGCTTTCTTCAAACTCCACCCACAATTGCCGGTGGAAGTGAAATGAGGAATTCGGAGCTCCGAGGGTACATGTTCGATTTTTCCGTAACATCAACATTGAAGAAGCACAGGGAGGGTTTTTGTGTGGCTTTGCTGCCGAAGAAAAATATTTCGAAACTCCTTGTCGTGGCGAAGCATGAGGTGAGTCAAATTTGAGAGAAGAAGAAAATCCTTTGAATTCATGTCAATGCAAAATCCCCTGTTGCGGGTAGATAAACCCTCGAAAGCTTCCAAAGCATGAAGCTTTCTCCCCTGGCGACCGACTAGAATACCATACATACATATGTACAATCATGCTACATATGTAGCGATCCGGGGGAAGGCTCGTGGGGGTTTTATTTATGTGATGTGGAGCCTTTCGAAATCCATACTCGAGCAACCCACATAAAAATTTATTGCCACGACCCATCCACCGATCCTGTGGGAATTTTTGAGATTTTTTCTTGATTTTTATATGCGTTTTGCCGCCCTAGCGCACTTCATTGTTTCACCACGTGCCGCTGCGTAATAAATTCGAGCCCTGCCTCTTATCACGACACATTGCATGATAAGGAATGAAGGAAAGCGCAAGTGTCCTGGAGGGTTGTTGCCAGTGATTTTAAAGCCGTATACCGATTGCAATAATGTTTTTTTTTATTATATACATCATATTGTATTTCAATTGTGTACTTGCAAAACACTGGAAGTTAATATATTAAACTTCTGCAATTGCCAAGTAATTTTCCATTTGGCATTTAATTTCTCCCAAATCAGCATCTCATCATCAACGTGATTCAATTTAATAGCTTCTCGAAATCATCCTCGATTTACGTGTATTTTCCTGCTCCTCCCGTTCCGACTCTTCCTCAGGGATTTTTCCCATTTTCTGCACATCCTCTGAGCAGTTGGAGTCGTTTTGTGAAGCTGAAAATTCAATAAACAAATTGGCTGGATATATTCTTCCCAGAGTACATCCCATGTGTACATATACGTATTTGTGAACATCATCGCGGTATTTGCATGAAGAGCACTGATGAAAATTTGCAAAACCGAACATTTTGATGGTGCGAAATTCCACTTCACACCTTTTTCGGGTGATCGACGGCAGAAGTTACTACCAAAATCGAGAAATTAAACATAGAGGTTGCGAATTTTCTTTTAAGAATATTAAAAATTATTCATTGTATTATTTTTTGAATGAATATTTCAAATTGACCCATAAAATTACAGCTTTAGATGAGTTGACTTAAATAGAGATTGTGCTGTTATATGTTTTTTGACTTATCACTGATTCAGTTTTAGTGAGTCAGAAAATCATAGAATTTACACATTTGTCGAGCTTTATTTAATTCGACAAATAAAGTTACTCAAATGATACTCGCACGTTTCCATGAAATGGCAAAGCCTGAAAATTATCTGTGCCTCGGCGCTTCGTTGCCCTTCTCAGAACGCAATCTGTCGGATTTGATAAATTTATGGCAACACATAACCTTATGTAAAGTGAGAGATAATGCAAGGATAAAATGCTCCCGAAATATTTCCTGGTCAGCGGAATTTGATGGAATTCCCGAGAGCATGCACATTTTGTGGAATGTGTGAATAAGTGTAGCGGAATGGGGGAATTTTTATCATTATCCACTTCCGATTTCATTGTGGTAACTCACGAAAGTCGCGCGCTTTTGTACTGTTTCACATGAAGAGCCGTAAACATAAGCGGTGGAAAGCAACAACCTCAGCATCGGCCGTTGGGAAGGATCCCAGGAGGGATGAGCGCATGGTGGAACTAGCGGAGCGATGACTGGGTGGCTGGGGCCAGAGGGTGGCTAAATGTCATTTTCCGGTGTTTTAATACAGGAACGAGGAAGGGAGAGTGAGCAAAAGAACAACAACATGTTGAAGAGAGAATATTGGAGAGAGCACTTTGCATTCATTTTGTGTCGTTAAAAGCACTTCAGCTCGACATTTTATCCATTCCCATTTTATAACTGCTTATGTATATTTTGGAGACACTGCAATAAATTGAATTTGCATGCGACTGAGAAATAAATTGTATTTTTCCGGGCTGGGAGAGTGGAATCCCTAGTGAGACTGCACTCTTTCCATCACTGCGCTATGTGGCTGCAGGGATCAAACATGGGCGTGATGACATCGCGCCCATCCCCGTGTCGAAGGTGAAGTATTGATAGGGGATTCTCTCACACTAATTTTTCACTCAACTCCTTCGCTGGGGGCCAATTTACTTTGCTGTCACGCGAGGAAAATGGATTGGAGAGTGTGCGGCTTAGAAGAGTTGAAATTATTTCAAGAAATTAAATCCAAACATATTCTTTGATCCCACCTCGAAGCCACTGCCGGTGTTCATTTGAGGGGCAAGATAATCATTTAATCATTTCTGTCGTCAAATCGCATTTTCTCACCCCCTCTTCCGGTCGCAGGGTGTTTCGCCCCCACTTGTTGGTGAACCCTCGCCTCAAGAGTATGAATTTCATTTCATCACGCCGTCTCTCTCCCCCCCGAAAATCCCCCATCATCCCCTCCGCAAAGAGTGTCTCATGTTTTTTCCTCGCACTGTGAATTTCCACCAAGCTTCGGGAGGATTTGACAGTGGTAATGAGGGTGGATGAAGATCTTCTCATGGTAAATCTCCTCACACTCTCGCGCCGCCAAGACCTCGTGCGAACCGTACACAAAATCCCCGCTCAAATGAACTCCGTGCACCGAATCCCCCTCAACTCCAACCCTCAATCCCCACGCTCGTGGTCTTGAATGGCAGTGAAAGTGTTACACCCCGAAACCATTATAAAATCGGAGTCCAAAAGAGAAGAACGTGATTTTCAGCTGTGCCGTTAACCGCACAATGGATTCGGTTTCTCTGCCGGCACGATTCCAAGAGACTGTGCAGAGTGAGGGTGGTCGGGAATGTTCTCCACTAGCTCACTGCGAGTGTGTTCCCACACTCCTCTGGGTGGGAAAACTTTGTGCCACACTTATAAAAAATTCAAGTATGATAAATGAGAGAGAACTCTTCATTATTATAAGGTGTTTAGCCACAGATCCTGCCTGTGTCACGATTCATATGGCAAATTGGGCGTGTGTAAGAAATTAGTGAGGAAAAGTTGGTATTTGAATTTTTAAACCGCCACATTTCGCCCGTCACGATGCGGAAACACCCCCACACATTGTATAATAATAACCAGAAATTAAACATGCTTGAGACAGTCTTGCGAAGGCCATTGTTGAGATATTCAAATAGGGCAAATATAGGGATAATAATCCTGTGCGGGTGAATCGCGAGAGAGCGAGAATTTATATAATGATATTCATTATAAATGGCCAGAACATTAACCCGTAATATTAATTTCTACGTGAAGAGGTAGACACGGAAACTCTTGTTACAATTTCGACTGCGTTAGAATTAATTTCCTTCATTAAAATGTACATATAAAATGCGGTATTCTCGTTGAAAATGAAACACGCGAATAATCCGATTATGTGTAAAGGAACTTTTAAAAGGTGGCGTAGAGAAAAGTTCGAGAATATAAAATGTGCGATTTTTATAAGCTGCAAGTAAAGCGCTTTCCTGCAGCTCCTTGAAACCACTAATGAGTCAGATGGAATAATTAATTCATTTAATTTTTTTTAGAGATTATAAAAATTCTCAGGAGAAAAAGTGTGAAGACGAAGCAAGACCGTTTCTAAGCAGCATATGCTGCACGAGTGAAGGTCTTTGCTTCGTGTCGTTTTCCAATTCCAGTCACCAGAGGCGCTCGTGTGGCTTTGTTTTGGTTTTCCTCGTGCGCAAAATAATGACGGCAATCGCAGAAAATGTGGAAAATACCACGTATTTGGACGAATTATGCAGAATTTGTGCAGTGAAGTGTAGTATTCTCGATGTTTCTGTGTATTCTGACGTGGGACAGCTGAAGGAACTGCAGAGAAAACTGGATTCTTGTCTTCCTATTTCGGTGAGCATTTTTAGTATTCATTCTACATATTCTTTCCTTTTTTCCTCATATTTGGCCTCCTTTTTAGGTGAGAGAGCACGATCCATTCCCTAAGAGACTCTGCGAGAGCTGCTGTTATCAGCTGGAGGCGTTCTATGACTTCCGACGAAGAAGTCTCGAGTCTGAGAATTACTTCAACAATCTCCTGAAGAAATCAGCTGCAGTGACTCCCGGATACTCCAGTGATTCCTTCGCCCACATTGACTTTGAGGGGCTTCAAGAGTCAGAGGAGAAGGAGCGCAAAGAGAACTTCCAATACATTCTCGAGAGTGATGACATTCTCATAAAAGTTGAGGGAAATGGCTCACAGTTCATAGACAACCTTTCTGGGAATGAAATTATCAATTTTGACCAAACAATGGTGGGAGTTTTTAGGTAGGAAAAATAGAAATTTTACTGACAATAGTTACTGAATTATTTCAGCTGTCTGACTCGAATATTTTCAATCTGAAAATGGACCAGAAGGAAGATGGAGCGTTGACCATGAATTCCGAGTCTTTGCCATCAGATCTTAATTTTGAGGATCAACTCTCGGATATGGAAGATGGTATTGGGATGGATATGGAGAATCATCAAGACATTGATGGGTCAGAGTCTGAAGAATCTCCGAGGACTGAAGATATTATCAAGACTGTTGAACCCGAAGTGGAAAACTCACCGAAAGAGAGCCAGAAGAAGAAATCCAAAGCTTGCAGTGTTTGCCAGAAGACTTTTCAGAACAATTTCAAACTGTCAGAGCACATTCTGAGGCACAGCGATCCGAAGCCCTACAAGTGCTCCTTCGAGGGCTGTTCCAAGGGGTTTCAGTCAAAAATCGGACGAGCCCAGCACGAAGCGACACACAAGGGAGTCTTCTTGCTCACGTGTGACAAATGCGGGAAGGGATTCCAGTGCCAGAGCTATCTTACAGTCCATCAGAGAGTTCACTCGGACTTCAAGCCGTTCGCCTGCGCTACTTGCGGGATGCGCTTCAAGGCGAAAGCAACGTTGGTGAACCACGAGAATCGTCACATGGGCATCCAGCCGTTCAAGTGCAGTATTTGCCAGAAGGGATTTGTCACAAAGGCTCTGTGCCAGGCGCATGAAAACACCCACACTTCTGAGGGGAATCAGAAGTATCCTTGCACCGTGTGTAGGAAAATGTTCGTTTGCAAATCCTATCTCAAAGTACACATGAGAATTCACACGAATGATCGACCGTTCGAGTGTGAAGTGTGTGGGAAGAAATTCCTCACGAATATCGACCTGAAAAGCCACCAACAGGTGCACACGAAGGAGAAGAAACACTTCTGTGAGATTTGCGGAAAGAATTTCTCTCGAAAAGACACACTGAATGTCCATAGGCGAACTCACTCAGGCGAGAGACCGTACAAATGTCTCTACTGCGATGATACATTCACAAAATCCTCCATCCGGAATGTGCACATGAAGCTCCACACTGGAGAGAGACCCTTTGGCTGTCCCGTGGACAATTGTGCGAAGAGATTTGTGTCCAAGAGCACCATGATGACCCACATCAAGCGGCACTGCCGACAGAAATGACACTCGGATGTCCATCGGAGATAAGCTGTCGATCGTGAGGATTTTTCCGAGTCCAGTAAACGGTTCTGCGTCAGTGTGACTCTTAATCGCCACAGAGACTGGTCGAAGCATTTTTGCTCTCTATCGAAAATTGTTGACGACTGATAACCCGGCAGTTTGCGGCGATATTGACTGTGTGCCGCAATTGAAGACGAATCAGTGTTGAGAGAGACTTTGAGAGTTACTTGTGAGGTTGCGTGATCGGTTGAAAAAAATGATGAAAATCGGCTTTATTGGAGGTGGAAAGATGGCACAGGCCATGGCGAAGGGATTTATAGCAGCCGGTAAGACGAAGAGCCTTGAATTTTATCCCAAAAGCGCTTAAGAAATCACTGTTTTATCATATTAGATCACAATGGAAAAGTAGAAGCTTCCGTTGGGCGTTTCTCTATATTTTTCCATTTGATAAGATTTCTTGAGTGCAAAGTGAAGCAATATGTCCAGAAATTAGATATAGATATTGCAACAGAGTGGAAATTTACAAACCATTAACCGAAATATTGTCTTATCGGATGCTTTTTTATGTGATAAAATCCCATTCAATGGGCAACCGAAATAGACCTTTGTTTCTCTGATTTTAACGGAATTTCTTTCCTTTCAGGGCTTTCAAAGGCAGAAAATATGATCGCAAGCTGTCATCCTGCCGATCGACTATCAGCTGAAGCCTTCGAAGTGAGTAGCAATACACTAAAATGCATTTACTGGATTATTTACTTAGAGATTGACTGATAGCTCGCTAGCAGTGAAGCTCAGAGTCGCCATGATGATAAATTCATTGGAATAAGTCTGTGAGCATTATCGAATAATACAAAATTATCAAATACAATTAAATATCTGCCAGTATTTTCGTAAACACAATAATTTGATAAAAGAATGTGAGTTTGCATTTCGAATTTCTTGGGTTTATCGCTTCAATTCCAAGAAGAAGGTCGTTTAACGATTAAACACTCTATTGTTGCTCTCAACTTGTTTACATGGATTGTAATTGCTTGGGGATTCGCTGAAATTAGTTTTGGATTAGGAGAAGAAACATTTGGGCAAGTGCTTTGCATGTCTAATACACGTGATTTTTTCCCCATTCAGTCTCTTGGCGCTCAATGCATCGTGAAGAATGTTCCAGTGGTGGAGAAGTCTGATGTCGTTTTCGTCTCTGTGAAACCAACTGTTGTTCCTATTGCGCTGCTGGAAGTGAATGGAGTCAGCGCGGGAAAATTGTTCCTCTCCATCGCGATGGGAGTGACAATCCGCCAATTGGAGAAGGTGAGATCATAAAGGAAGATGGATGTTAAACAGTTTTGATTGTAAATCTCTTTCTCTGCTCGGAACAGAAACTGTCTGAGGAGGCTCGAGTGGTGCGTGTGATGCCCAACACGCCGGCTATCATCAGGAAAGGCTGCTCAGTGTTTGTGCGCGGCTCCAAAGCCACGGACACGGATGTCAAGATCACGCAGACACTCCTCCGTGCTGTCGGATCGTGCGAGGAGGTGCCAGAGTCCCTGATGGATCCCATCACGGCGGTGAGTGGAAGTGGCCCGGCCTATGTGTATCTCATGATCGAGGCGCTGGCCGACGGGGGAGTGAAGATGGGCCTGCCGCGGGATCTGGCCTATCGCCTGGCGTCCCAGACGGTCCTCGGTGCGGGCGGAATGGTGCGCGAAACTGAGGCTCATCCGGCGAAACTCAAAGACGACGTCACGAGTCCTGCTGGTTCCACAGCAGCTGGATTGCATCACTTGGAGCAGAGTGGTGAGTAGAGCTTTGTCAATAGGATCAATCAAGTGGATTTTGCAATGTGCCTCTTGTCTCCTGAAGGCTTCCGGGCGAGTGTTATTGGCGCTGTTGAAGCAGCAACTCGTAGATGTGCAGAAATTGCCAATTCGTCTGATTAGAGGATGGGGAGCAGCCAGGAGACGATATAGCCAACGATCGTTTTCTCTTATCTCAGTGTCTCTATTTTGTAAGGTTTTTTTAGCATGATTTTATACAAAAAGATAGTAATAATAATAATTGTGTACATGCCACTTATGCATGTCTCTTGTTTAAAACATCACAGTCTCAAGTATCGCACCTCGCAATTAACACGAATTAATTCCTCAATCATTCGGATAGTTATCGTATATCTCGTATGTAGTGTTGTAGTGTGAAAGACCTTAGGCGGTAGACTTAGCGGGTAGGAGATTGGGTGATCACGAGGAGCCGATGAGGAACCACGGCAGGATCACTGTGACTGCCAAGGCGGCCACGCAAGTGGCGCAGACAATGACAGCGTGGAACTTCTTGCTGCTGTCCTCATCCTCGTGCTCAGCCGGATCTTTGACGTATTCCAGCACCTCCACGTCGCAGCGAAAGCGCACCTTCGCCTTGGACGAGCCATCTTGGCGCCATATCAAATGGCCAGATGATTCACGTCGCTCCAGATTCCAAATCGGCTCAGATGCCACTGCAAAGATGAGTGATAGAGCGCATTAGGGCACAATAACAATAACATTTGGAGGGAAAGAATGTGGTGTGATAAGGCGAAACACGCTCAAGATTGACGACGAAAGCAGTCGTACCACCTGTAGTGATAATTCGGTGAAGGTTGCCTTAATCATCACTTCAAATTGCCATCGCGATAAGGCAACCCCTGGCGTGATAAGGCTTCACTTTCTGCGTAAAGGTATGGAGGAAAAACACAGTGGTAAAATGTGGGACTCATGATTAAGTGGTGTGATTATGAAGGCACAAAGTTCGTAGGAAATCTTTGTAAATTTTTATTACTGACGACATTAACAAAATCATACGACCAAGCTCTCTATAAATAAATATTTCACCGATGATGCAAAGAGCTAGAGATGAATAATAAAAGTCGGAAAAAGTCGCGGTGTTTGTGTAAAAAATTAGTGTTCTATTGGATGTTTTCGAGAAGCCCCAAAGCGCACGTGTTTTCTGATCTATTTCTGCCCTCCATTCATAAAAAGCCAGGGTGAAAATAGGCCGAATTCTTTTCAAGAGTGGTAAGAAAAATGATACCTGTGACTGTCATTGTGATGAAGCGTTATTTCTCCACAAAGAACCCGACTTCTTTTGGCGCTCTGAAAAGAAAGACAAAGCGGGGAAACTAAATCAATACATGATGGAAAAACCATTGGGAAATTTGCTGTGGTGTTGGCATTAAAGGGTGGGCATTATATTCGCTTTGTAATTGATTCCCGTACAGAAAATTGGTGAGATTTCCCAGAAACAGCCGCGTTAAATATTTGAATGTGACTTTATTGGTGAAAATACACACCAAGAATGTTAATCTCATTTAATATTTACGCTTTGCGAATTTTATCTTATCCCTGTTTCGTGAATTTCGAGGCCTCTTTTGTACTCTTAAGGATTATTCTCTTTCATCACCGAACAACCGAGTGTCTCATTAGCAGCAACATAATTACATGGAATTTCTTTCCCCCTTTCATCACTCCCATGTTAGTTACAGCTTCAAACGCTGTGGTGTTAAATTGATTTGTAATTGGATTGCGGGTGAAAATATGGTTTTATATGCTTTTCAAATTGACAAGTTTATTCCTCATGGAAACAAGATTAATTTCAGCGGGTAAATAAACTTCAAAGTGGCTCAATTTCGATTCATCGCTTATTTGTAAACTACATTTGACATGATGTTTACCGTGGAATCGTCACAGAGGCGATCACATTAATTATCACTTAATGTTCTTTGTATCAACAAGAGAAATATTTGAGATTCCGCTGTTGACTATTAGGATTGACAAAGGAATAACATTTATTTGCGTTGGAGATTTTCTCTCAAAATAGCATCACTGTGATCATTGTCAATATTTATAAACAAAACCCATTTGAGTGCATTGATAAAATATTTCTAAACTCAGCAAATTAATAATAAAAATTGAAGTGACTTTTTGCTCTCATAAAGTATGTTATTTCTAGTGTAATCTCTTGCGATGGAAATTTATGAGTCAGTATTATTGGTAATATAATTAAAACTTTGGTGCTTAATCTTTCAGTGTGGCACAATCGATGATAAAATTATAAATACACTAAGTTGTAGCGAAAAAGTCAAGAGATATACTTGTGAATTGTTATATAAATTAAATTGGCTTGTATTGTTGGTGTTTTCAGTAGAAACCCCTCTCTATTCGTGCAGATAAAGGGTTTGTTTTTCACAATTCTGACAGCATTGAGACGGAAAATATTAAAGTTTAATCACGTCAATTCAAACTTAAGACACATTTGCTATCAAAGCATTTTCAATTCTGTAATTGCGCCGGAAAATTCAACTCTTCCCTCATTTGCCATTGTGGCTTTGCTAAGGGAGTTTCAAGTACACTTTTCCCTCTTGTTATATATCTTAAGAACTCTGGGGGAATTTCAAAGTGATGCCTCAAGAGAGGAAAGAGATCACGCAACATCTTTCCAAACTTAAACAATTGTTTGCAATCAAGAAAATTGTCCTCTCGAGAAGTTCGCAAGTTGTGTATTGTGTGGGTTTTCGCAGGAGGGATTTTCGCTTTACGAGGAGTGGCCAGAATGACGTGAGAACAAAGAGTCAAGCACGCGGTCAATGGTCACGCGAACTCGCGAGTCTCTTATCATGACGAATTGAGGATTTTCGCGCGAGCCACACACAGAGAGTCACATTCAATTAAAATCCGGATTAGCCTCTTCCCTCCCTCACTTCAGTGTGTGTGCATGAAAGTGGCTAAAGTTTAGCGGAGAGATTCATGCTTGGATTGCAAAAATAAATTGACTTTTTTTTTTGTTTCTTATTATCCTGCATGATGAATTTCGTTTCGTGGGAAATTCGCGCATTCATTCGGTGTTCTTTTTCTCCTTTTCGCTGCGCTGCTGATAAAGAAAATTTACAACACTGTCTGCCTGTGTGTGGGGGCAAAACTCCTATAATTGCATATGGATTTATTTTTAAAAACCTTCCATCGTAATTTATTTCACCATGTCTGTCGACTTGAAAGACACAAATTTATATTCCAAACCCGATTGCATGGAATGTGTGCCTTTGAAAAGTGTCTCTCATTTAGAGCTATGCAAATAGATTAAGGCGCGATTCTTGGGCACAGTGTTGTGTGTGTGCTTAAAATAATTTCTGTACACTCACGGTCTCTCTGGGTTTTAAATTGAGCCTCTCCAGCGCTGAGTGACGCTCTCTGATGGTGTTTGTCGCAGAGAAACTCCACAAAGATTGTCTTGTTAGGCGTGATTTGGCGTCAACCTTGGTCGCACTGCGGACGATTGGTGTTTTCAGCAACGTTTTCACTGCTTCTGCCGCCTCTCCAAATCCACCATAAGTTCTAACAATGCAACACGTAATATCGATTTCTGCCTCCTTCTGCAGACGTGTTGTGCAAATCACACATAAAATCGATCCGCACACTTTCACCTTTTCAAACCATCTGTTGGATATTTTTACTCTTCCCCGTTTGCTTATGCTGTTGAATTATTCTGTACGGTCGATTATGAATTCTTGAAAAATTCATAGACCACAAAAAACTCACGGATCAAATTGGTCAATAACACCGAATCGCACTGGGGAAATTGGTGTCTAGAAAATGAAACGGAAACAGTGAATGGCAATCGCGTGCGTCGCAGGCAACGTCAAGAGTGCTTTTGAGACGCACTTGGTCAAAAATGCGCTTCGCTGTGTGGCAAAATATCCCCACCAAGTCCCATGCTGCGATATCTGTCCCACTCTCGCTGCCACGAAGCGGATCTCAGGCTCTCAGTCGTGCATTGGAAGCACACTTGTGGAGTTTGCGACGTGTAACTACTGTAGCGCTAATGCTGCTCGCAGGTTCTGGGCTTAAACCCGCACCAGAGATTTCCCATGTAGTAAAGCAACGGAGAAATAGATGTTAAGCACTTTAATTGTGGCTTAAGACACGCAACTGTTAACTAGCATTCCAGCCACTCTGGCAATTTTCTTGATAAGAGATTCTACGATTGAATTGTTTGATGAGATGTTTAGCAAGTCGCTCAGGGACGAAAGTGGGGAATCTGCATAGAAATTCTGCGTGCAATTGTGCTCTCAAAGACACGCAAAGTGCAAACAGTGCACAGAGCATTTTACGTAATGATCACTTATGCCACAACTGCAAATTTGTGTTGTAAATGACATCATTTTGTTTCCTTTGGGTTGGGAAAATGCGTCATAAAAAGTGCAAAACTGACTGATTTTTAAATTTGAGACTATTTTCAATTAAATCGTGATGGGAAAAGTGAGCCAAAAACGTGGTAAACTGGATTTTAGACCAAACCGACCAAACTCAATTGAAGAAAAATCACCCAAAGACGATGGAAAGTTTACTGCGAATTCAAAACGATCATTGGAGGAACGCTTATTTGAATTGTATTTCTTCAATAAAATATTTTTTACGAGTCTCAACGCGAAATTAATTATTTAAAACTCTATTCTTGCGAATCTTGCTCATTCTCACGTGATTCACTGAAGAGGCGAATCTCAGTGACTTCACAGACTCCGTGTAGCACTCTTGGAATGGCGCCACATTGATGAACATCAGCGTCTTGGAGTTTCCTCCGAGGCTTGGCATGAGGAGGTAAGTCAGCTTCGAGTTCCGGTAGGGAACGTGATCGTTCTTATTCAGAATCGCCATGATCACGTTCGTGAGTTCGCTGAGACTGCGATTGATCTTCTTCGTTTCGTCCATTCGCGTGCTGGTTTTTGGACTCTCACTGCCGGCCAAATCCACCAGATTTATCGTGCCAACGCTCTTCTCCTGCTTTCCCTCGTGCACGCCGATGAGCTGCAGGCGCGTGATGGCATGCGACCGTGAGGAGCGCTCATTGCCGACTGTGCACGCGGTGGCACGATTGCTCTTCGCCACGTCCATGAAATACCTAACAAGGGAAACCAAGATTTGTTATTCTGAAGATGGGGACAGTCATCGAGGAATTACCTGAGCTCCTCCGGACTCTCCACCAATTTCTCCGTGATGTTGCTCACATACACGTCCGTCTTGTTCGTCGGGCTGACCATTCTGATCTCCAGATCAGTGGCGTTGGGATCCAGCAGATCGTAGAGCACTTCGTTGTAGATCTCGAGGAAAGTGGCGCGAATTTCATACTCCCATCCAATTCGCCGGTAGTTCTTCAGCGAGTTGAACAGCAGATCCACCGTACGCGGAATAACGCCCTGATTCTCCTCGCTTCCATCCATCGTGTACGTCTTCCCGGATCCCGTCTGGCCATAGGCGAAGATGCACACGTTGTAGCCATCGAGAGCGGACTGGATCAGTGGCGAAACCATGCCGAAGACGTCCTCCTGAGACGTCCTGGGATGAAACACTTGATCGAAGGTGAACTCCAAGTGTGTGCCCTTATTCTTCGGATCCGTGGCGGTGATTTCCAGTGAGGCTTCGTCCAAATACTGCCATCCGCACAGCGCTCTCTCCGCCTCGCTCGCTAGCGGCGGCCGGACGCGGCAGAACACGCGGATGTTGCCACGCAAGTCCATCATCTGATTGTGGATATCCTTGCGCTCCATCACGCTGGCGAACAACTGATCCCTGCAAGCCTCCAGATCCTGCCGCATGCTGTCATTCTCATTGGTGAAGAACTCGCACGTCTCCTTCAGATACTCCACTTCAGCCTTCAGCTTCTTCTCGCTCTCTTGCGCTGTCTTGCACGCCGCAGAGACATTCTTCAGCTGCTCCTCCGCTTTCTCCAAACTCTCGGTCAGTACGGCGATCTTTTCCGATGAGATCTTCGACTCCTTCTCCAAACACTCGTTGTGCTTCCGCGTGGCGGCCAATTCTTGCTGGCATTTCTGGAGTTCCGCCTGGGACTCTTCATACATCTCCGGAAGGTTGTCAATCTCCATCAATTGCTGCTTCTGCGCATCAAACTTCTCCTTCAGAGCATTATACTTCTCAAGCTGAGCATTGTACCTCGCCTTGTAGTCATATGGCGGGATTCTCTTGACGGGAGGCGCTTTGGAAGCCGTCACAGTCTTGACAGGAGCCGGTTTCGCCGCGGGAGGCTTCGCCTTTGTCCCCACTGCGCCAGTTCCAGGCGGTGGTTTCGCCTTTGTGACAGCCGGAGCCACTCGCTTCGCTGGAATTGGGGCCAGTGTGGAAGCAGTTCTCTTTAGCGGATTCACAGCAGCAATGCTCGGAAGATCGTTGAAAGATCTGCTCCGACGGAGCTTCGCCCGTGGCTCCTTGGCTCTTGCTATATCTGGAGATCCTGCGCGTTTTCGGGGCGGCAGATTGGCCAGCTCTCGTGACAAAGGCAACCGTCCGGAAGCTGTAGGTAGAAATGCCGAGGCGCTCTTACTCGATGACGCCAAAGGTGGCTTTGCCGGCTTCGGTATGCCACTTGGCTTGTCCAGACGCCTGCTCATGTTTTCCTACAATATTCAATGGATATCACTAGAGGCACAACTCATCTCACGAACAGCACCACAATTTACCTGAATCTTTGGAGATTTTCGCGGTAAAATTGCACTTTTCACAGAGCTTCTATTTTCCAGCCACCGCTGTTTTTGTTTTATCGACAGAGTGAAGTTGGCCGCATTCACCGTTCAATTTTGAATAGATCAAGCCAGCGAAACATCCAAAATTATAGGTGAGATTCAATTGATTTAAAAAGAAAATGTGAGTGTTCTGGTAGAATATCATGTGAAATAGCGTAGAAGATCGGAAAATTTGAAAATTGTTATGAAAATCTTAATGAAATTAAAAGTTATCGATGCGGAAAGTCGTTGTGAAATACTGGCATAGCAGTAGTGTTGCCAACCCAATAATCAAAATTAGACATTCGTCGGAATTGTCTAGCGCGTCTATTGAATATCCAATTATGAATTATTCAGAATAAAACGAACAATCCCAGCTCTAATTTCAACTTTGCGCTGCATGCTTTGTGGACATTAATCACTTTAGAGGCCACACGGATTTTCATGTGACACCGAAACTATGAATATTATTAAAGAGCTAATAAAGAGCATTACGTGAATTCAGGCTGCAAAGTTTTCCTGTGATGTCCCACTGAATAAATTATTGTGCATTGAGTCAATTGAAGTTCCAAACAGAAGTTAAAGTTTCAGCAGCCTTCAGAGATATTTCAAATTTTAATTTAAACAAACTTCTCTCAGTTTCTCCATTTCAATTTCAATGAATTATAATTCGAAATGTCCACAGAAGTTCAGGTGAGATGGCGATGAAAGAAATCTGCAATGATATGAAATGCTTTCATTACTTATTTATACGAAATTGATTAACCACGACACAATGAACAGTAAATTTTTAATTAGTGGTAATTGACAACGCACTTCCTCTTTAAAATTCGTGTGGCAATTGAAATTAATTACGATTGCAATGAAAGTGAAAGTGAATGGCCCAAAGACAGTACCTTGACAGACAAGATTAGGAATCCCGCTTGCATTTTAGATGGTGCTCTGCAATTCTGTAGGGAATCGATTCCTTCCTCAGGCAGTTCGAATTGAGAGCCTGATTGTAGAGTTTCAGCACAGATGTGTCTTTCTCATGAGGCTCCAGATAGGGTTGAATTGAGCCACCGCAGAGTTGATCTTCTGAGCAGGTGATGAAGCGCAGGACCGCAATATGTTCTGACCAGACCATTTTTCTCCACTTGGCGTCGTATTTCTGCGCCAGAGGCACAAGAACCATGGCACTGAAGAGATCATCGCCATAGCTAGAGCTCTGAAACTGGTTCAGAAAGATTGTGTAGATGCTCTCGAAGTCATGCTTCTCCTGAAGCTTCAGCGTGAACTTGAACGTCGGACTCCTCGCGAAAAGACTGGAGATTCTGTTCCCCAACCGCTCTTTAATCGCGCTTTCCAGAAAGCGACACTCGATGCTGAGGAATGGCATCATCAGGAACATGTACTCTTCTGATGGAGTTACTGGAATCAGACAGTTTTCCTCCAAGAGTCCCAGGAATCCCAATGAAGCGGTGAGAATTTCATCTTGAACTTGTGGATTAATGACAAACAGTGGCATTGTCTCTGAAGTGTGCTGCTCGAGGAAGATTGTCAGCATAGCCAAGGGCCAATTATCCGGCAGCAAATTTTTCTTCCAATTGCTTGATGAAAGCGGAAACTTTGATGTAATTTCCAACTCTCCAAAGTTCAGCGAATAAAACTTCCAATAGACGATATTCCAAAGGAAGTGATCAATTTGAGTGACAGCAGAACTGCTGTAAAAATGACTATTGAAGATTATGTTGATAAAGAGGTCCTTCACGTTGGAAATATTTTCCTCTCCCTTGAGAAGCTTCAGGACCTTCATGGCTGTTTTTAGAGTCAGGTCCTTGTCGCAGAGATCCATTTTCAGAAGCACGAGCAGGAGTTGAATTTCATGTCGACAATACCAATTCACTTCATTTTTCAACTTTGCGTCCACAATGTTCGTGAAATACTCTTCCACGTTCTTCTGGACATTCCATTTCAGTGTCACACCTTTACCAAATTTCCGGCATACTTCTACCACACTAAGTAGAACAGTTCCTGGGAAGTTGAAGGGCAATTGGAGCTGAGGTTCGTCAGAGTGTTCCTTAAAGGCAACTCCTCCAAGATTGGAGAGCGCTTCGAAGGCTTTGCTTCGGTCTCTGTGGGGATGGATGAGAGAGGATGTAGCGATTAAATCCCTCCACAGATTAATGTGCTTGTCACTGATCAGGAACTTCTGGAAGTAGTCCAACATAAACTCCTCGACAACTTGTGGGGATTGTTGCAAGACAAGCTCAAAACAGGTCGTCAAGAGGATGTTGTGGGAGAAGTCAGAGGTTTTACTCTGCGTGAAGAGCGCTGTCCACTTCTTGAGGCAGTGTGAGAGTTGGGAAAAGCGTTGCGGCGTCCACTCGAACGTTGGATGGTTGAGAGTGGCCAGAAGAACTGCTGCATGATGCCTCATCAATTGAGATCCATCAGTGAATGGCATGAATTGGAAGTTCCACTCGAGATTGGTTTGAATGGCATCAACAAAGTCACTAGAAGAGAATGAATTTAGTAAGGATTTAATTATAAAAGTCGATTTGATTACCTTATTCTGGGTTTGAGAGGATCAAAGGTTAGCCAAACTCTCAGTAAGCGGAAGGATTCCAACTGGAGTTGAATGAAATCAGCCTGAAATATGTATAGAAATAATTAATCACTGAACGTGTGAAACAATAAAGCAAATTTACAGTCAAATCTCGACGATTGCAGCAATATTCCAGGAGAACATCTTTCATATCGAATTTCTGCAGGATTGCCCAGGAATTCTCTGTTGCCACAATCACTCTGAAGAGTTTTAGTATTGTGGCCTGCACCTTTCCACTATCCATGGGAATGCGCGGTAATTCAGTGAGGTAAGACGTTCTCAAAGCAGTTAAGATCTCATGATGATCCAGCATTTCTCGCACGAAGCCTCTTCCCTCTCGACAAATCCGAATGAGAATGCGAGTCAGTGCGACAACTCCTGTGCCAGAAACCATTTCATTGGCGAGAAGATAGTGAATTCTCTTCAGAATGTTCGTCCTCATCAGGCACTTGAGCAAATCCACTTCGGCCAAGTGGAAATCATTCATTTGCTCAATGTTACTCATGTCCTCGTCCATATCTGAGCTGTTTAACTTGAGCTTTGAGAAGTTCTTCTCCAAATCCGCAGACTCTGTTCCTCTAGTCACTGGCTGGACAATGCCCAGTTGAGTTTCAAACACTGTGTCCAGGAGCAATTCGTCGATTTCATTGTAGAGGAGTGCAGAGAGTCCCACCAGTGCAGCCTCAGCTACAGAAGCTGTGGAATCATCAAGAGCGAAGCGCAAGAGGAAGAAGATTTTGCTGATAGGAAGATCTGAGATCTCATCGTAGAATCCCTGGTTGTAGATCCGAACAATTCCGGCAATTGCGCCCAGCGCTTGAATTCTCTGCTGCATGACATTCGATCTGGCGAGTCTGAAGAGCTCCTGAATAGTGTATCCCGGTCGAAAAGGGTCCTCGCCATGCAGATAAAGTTCCCGATTATCCGTGCTGTTTTCATCCTTCTCCACATAGGGCAAGAGAATTCCCTTCCAGTCAAATCGGGCCTCAAATGTTTCTCCTGGTTTCAGCTTTGGGATGTTCTTCGGAACATTCTGCATCCATTGGAATTTATCCGCCTCGAATTTGTCAAAATTAACCCAATTCTTCCTCTCATCAGATTGCAGAATGTCCACATCGGGAACTTCCATTCTGTCTTTGGATTCTGCAGATGTTGAAGGCACAGAAATCTCATCCACTTCCATAGGTTCAGGTTTCTGCCTCTTGGATCGAATGAAATCCAGCAATTTTGGGTCAATCGTTCTCATCAATTTCTCTCTCTCTTCCTCAATCTCTTCTTTGGACATTTGTGACAATGTTCGGATGTTTTCTTCATGGATTGTGGAGGATTCTGATCCAGTGACGATATAACTTTTCTCCCCAAAGCATGGAATCTTCTCTGTTTTGCTGCTTTCTGGAGAAGTGTTCTTCGCTTTCTTCTCTTGTAACTTTGCAAAAATGCTCTTACCCACGCTCTTAGTGTGTATGTCGATTTTCTCTGTCTTTGGGAATGATTCTTCGACCATTGGTTCATCACTTCTTGCACCAGATTGGCTTTCCGGATGTCTTTCCACAATATCTCCCAATACAAAGGCGTTGGGCTTATTGTCACTTTCTGCGCTTTTGTCCTGGGTTTCCTTGTTCCTCGACCTGGCGAAGAGTGATTGCTTCTTCCCTGCAAATTAATTATAATCAGATATATTCTAGGAATTTCAGAATATTTAGAAATATAAACAAACCTGAATCTGAGCTCGTGCTTGATGACTCTCCAACTCGAACGCATTTTGCAGACGGTTGAAATGAAGCATTCTGACGCTTCTCACTCAAATATTCATTCTGGAACTGTAGGATGTCCTTTTCAGAATCCGAAGGCTTCGGTCTTTTCAGCATTTTAACTTTAATTCACAAGAAAATTCACTCTCAGCAACACGCGCAATTTGTTGATTGTCAAACTGTGTGGATTTGGAAGGTTTCATGGACGATGAAAAGAAATTGATTGGATTCCACTTTCCATTGAAACGGTTTGCGTCTTGGGAATTTATACTCAGAAAAATTCAGGAATAAAATGTTTGAATCAATGCATTTTAAAACCTCATTCAAAATCATGCATTTCAACTTCATAAAATTCTCCACTGTCTTACAAGTAATTTTAAATAGTCCACAATGAATCCGGGCGTAGTTTAGATGAGTCTGGGAACAGTAATCCTCACAGTGCACTTCTTCCTGGGGAAAGTCTTGTTGCTGAAGAGGAACTTTATCGACTTATCGTGGTACTTGTTTGCTCTCGATCGCCTGTACAAATAGCAAAGGGCCATATGGAAGAAACTCTTCTTCTCCATCACGCGACAATCGTCCAGATGTTGAATAAGAGCGAAGCGGTTTATCACAAAGTTCCTGTACAGGATTATCGAATAGAAGCGCGACCGCGAAATGTACGATGGAACTCCAGGGTTGTTGAGGATGCACAGAAACTTGAGGTTGGGAAAGCGATCCGCCAGAACTGCGATGAATTCTGGGTAGTTTTGGATGTTACAGTTGTTGGCCCAGAATGTGGACAAACCGTTGATGTGCGGCAGTGTGCGGATGAACATGTGAGTGTTGCCGTCCAGGACGAGAGTGTGGAGCTTCGTGAAGTAGCCGAGGAAGGAGAGATCCCTGGAAGATAATGAGTTGGGAATGAATTTTCGAGGCACAAAATTGCATCAGAAAGGGCTTTACGTTAGATCATTTCCCGTGAGATCGAGGGCGTGCGTTCGAGGTCCCAGGAATCTCGCATAGTCGGTATTTACGTTGGTCAGTTCCTCGTAAGAGAGCGTTAGAGCACCGTTGAATTCCACAACACTGCAAAGATTCGGAGGTTTTATGCAATATTTACAAACTCGCCGAATTCCCATAAATTAAACAAGTCCCAATTTTATATCGCAAGCCTCTTATCAGCAAGAAAAACGGTTAAATTGATTAGTTGACCGCAGTGGGTCAACAAATTCCATGATACAATTAATCCACACAATCGAAGCACTCTATTTTTGCACCAACCTCAAGTCCTCCAGGGAACTGCCCACGGAGGTTCTGAAGGAGTCGTTGAAAAAGTCCATCTCCAGCAGTGCCAATTCTCCAGAGACACTTTTCCAAGAGATCCTCACTAACCAACTGTCTGCCAGAATGTAAATGCGAGCGCCGAGAGGCTGTCTCTGAGCAGAGAGTAAATGCTCGAGATCAATGCTGAAAATGTGAGCTTATCATGGGCTGCACATGTAAATATTATCTCTGATTCATTACCCATTGAGAGTGTGTTTATTTGAAGAACGATTACTCTGGTGTGTACAAAAACGACAATTATGAACTAAAGATCATTTCGGAGGCTAATCAACACTAGACAAGTTATTCTCACATCTCCCTGGAGGTCAATTCCTGGCAGAAGATGGGGGTGAAAATCCAATGCGATAAAATCATGTCGCTAAATAAGGAAAATCATTCCATCGGCCAGCATGATTTGGTTGTCTTCCGTCATCTGGTTGATGGCGAACATCACTTCTCCGGATGAGAAGGAAACTGTGCACTCCTTTTCGAGGATCTCCTTGAACTTCACCAAACTGATGCACTGAATGCGTCCCTCGCGGAAGGTTTTGTGCAGGGACGCCTTGAATAGATTCATCTTCTCGTCGTCGATCGGTTCCAAAGGCTCAGAGTCATCCATCGGCACCACTGAGGCCTCTGTGGATTCTGCCTCTGCCGTCTGTCGAGTCTCGCGCGCAGTCAAATCACCTCTATCCGGTGCTGGGAGCTCCACCTCCTCGTCATTTTCAGTGCTGGCCACCGGAGGATCGAGACGCGTCCTCTTGGAGCGCCTGTTGCCATTCTGAGTGCTTTGAGTGGGCTGCGAAGCACTCTCGGCATCAGATCCCTCTTCGCCTCCTGATGAATCTGAGTCGTGACGGCGCTTTTTCTTCTCCTTCTCCAGCACTTTCTTGAAGTAGGCAAACTGCACAAGTTCTATCGCCGCATTGGCGTCCTGAACAGCCACAGATTTCGACATTCGCGCCTTTGCGTGCGCAGTGGCCAGACGGATGAGCGTCTCCAGCGTTCGAGCAGTTACTGGCTGAGTTCTGGCCATGTCGGAGTCCGAAAGATCTTGGGATCGCAGACGAGAATACTCATTGGAGATCACCTCGCAAGCTTGCTCAGTGAGTTTCGGCTTCAGACACTTTGCGATGTTGATGTACTTCCTCATGAAGTCCACAGTGAGGATCTTGTCTGAGGCTCTCCTGGAGCTACCGTGGAGGAGAGCGTCGTACTTCTCATACATCGGTGTCTCCTTGGAATCCTCCTTGCGCGCGTTAAACGTAGTCAGCATGTCCACATAGCTGCCGCCCATGGGAAGGACTTCTCCATCCTGTTCGCCGGCTTTTCTGTATCTGTGCATCCGCACGACGTGGTCAGAAATCATTTGGTCAGTGTCCGTGTCCACCACGTCCAGCATCACGAACAGCAGATCGAAACGCGACAGAAGAGAGTCCTGCAGCCCAATGTTCTCCATGGGAGTCTTGTACTGATCATACTGAAAGGAGAGAAGACAATTAGAAATCAATTTACAAGCACCATTTTCTCTCCTTACCTTTCCATAGACTGGATTAGCAGCTGCCAATACTGAGCATCTGGCGTTGAGTGAGGCGTGAATTCCCGCCTTTGAGATGGTCACTTTTCCCTGTTCCATCACTTCGTGGATGGCAATTCTGTCCAGATCGCTCATCTTGTCGAACTCATCAATGCACACGACTCCGCGGTCCGCCAGAACCATGGCGCCCGCTTCCAAGCGCTTATCACCAGTCTCCTGATCCGTTGTCACGGCGGCTGTGAGACCCACACCGGTGGAGCCTCTTCCTGTTGTGGGAATCGCCCTGGGCGCCGTTTGGAGAACGTATCGCAGCAGTTGAGATTTGGCCACGCTGGGATCTCCGATCAGGAGAACATTAATGTCACCTCGAAGGCGTGTTCCGTTGGACAGATTCTTCTCAATTCCTCCCAGAAGGAGGCACAGTATAGCCTTCTTTACATACTCATGGCCATAAATTGATGGAGCGAGACTCTTTGCCAACAGCTCAAAAATATCATTGTTCTTGGCCAGTTTCTTGCACAGAGTGATCTCTTCGCGAGAGATAGCCAGACTGTTCTCCTTATTCAGCTGAGAGATGTTGTTGGCGATCAGGACAGTGCGGAAAGTGCCGGATGTGTATCCACCCTGCTTTCCAGGTAAACATCGATAGTTGCCCACAATCTGGACGCGATCTCCAGGCTTCACGCGATCCACGAGGTCATCATCGCAGATCACATCAACAGATCGTGGCAATTGTCCTGCTGGAGCTTTCTCTGGCATCTCCTGAAGCGTCATCGTCTGATGATCCTTGTAGACCGACAATCCGTATTCTGTCTCCAGGAGATTTCCATCTTCATCCTTGGTGGGATAGACAGCAGAACTCGGAATGGCTTCGAAAGAGGTGAAGTCTGTGTACTTCCTCTCCATGACCTTCTTCGTGACGGCACAGTAGTGAACACTCCGAACGACTTTGGGACGCACGAGAGAGACTTTCGTGGCAATTCCCTCCACGCACACCAAATTTCCCAAGAACCTGTGGAGAAATAAGTCCATTAGCATTACACAGGAAATTACCATAAAGTGTGCAACTTACTGGCACGTCAGGGATCTGGGAGTGACGTGTCGATTCCCAAAACTGCCCTCGAATCCCACAAAGAAGTCCTCATCGCCTTTCGTGTATCGCGATTGAGTGGACATAACCACATCTTTTAGTGCCCGGCTGAAGGCCAGCTGCTCCTCGAAGGCATTGCTGAGAAGACTAGCCGCCCTGGTGGGATTCTTTCTCCTCAGATCATTGATATTGACGATCAGACGCCGGGAATTATCCGAAACCATGGTTTTGATGTGAGTTGAGTAGATCGATTGATCCTCCTGAAAGGGACGCGTAGAAACAACATGATTGTGTGGAAAATATTCATAATAATCACAAACTTACCTCATCATCCAGGAAGTCCAAATACTCCCTCTGAATATCTTGCAGATAGCGCTCATTTTCACCCATTTTCACGATTCTTTACAAATTTCCGCAGAGAATGCGCTCTCAAAAACACTGGGAGATACTGGAGACTGACAATCGCGCCAAAAATGCTGTCTCTCGGCTGTGTTGTGAAGTTGGCTTCAGTTGATTTTCGCCACCGGAGTGTCCTGCCCAGAAAACGCTTTCCGTGCATTGTTTGTTGTTTTGGGGTGGAAATCTCGATCTATATTACACAAAAGGATGGACAGGTCTTTCCAGAGTCCTATATTTAGCGGGCGGAGCTCGAGGCTATCCACGGGGAGTCCTTTTTTACCGGGTGCACGCAAGCCCCTTTCAAACATCAAGAAATCGTCAGTTTCCAGGTATGCTGACCTGCTCACGACCAGTCTTTATTATGATTTTCTTCCTTGATATTCTATTGAAATATTCAGATACATAAATCACTAAATAATTCATGTGTTTTGCTGTTTTTCATGGGCATTTTTCCGGCTTGTGACATAACCTGCAATCACAATTGAAGCCGGTACAGTGTTTCCGGACGCTCAAACCAGACGCTCCAGATCATCGCTAAGTCTGACTATAATGTCGTGAAGACTTACGGACTGCCACTACCAGTGCTGGTGAACGAGGCTCTAACATTTTCCGATAGGAATGTGCTCGTCTCAATGAACTCATCGGCCAAGAATGGATGGGCCTGGGTAAGAAGCTTTCAGACAATATTCTGATCAGATTTAAACGGGAATTCTGCTCTAGGTTGTTTGCGGAAGACGCCTGCTAGTTTGGCAGTACAGAGAATCAAAGTTTGGCTCTCCGAGGAGTGACGGAAGTCGACCAGTGCAGCGCCGAGGCATCGCAGGGCAGTGTCGCGAACTGACTCTCCCTCACTGCGATATCGGTCACAAGGCATCTTTGATAACAGTGTTCGTGAACGAGGGACAGCAGATGGCCTCTTGTTTGGCGGTGTCGCCAACAGGAGATATTCGCTATTGGCCATCGGTGGCTCATGACGGCTCCTCAATCGACGAGACAATCAGTCTGGAGGGCCAGGAGTTCGACGAGCTGCTTAGTATTTCCCCAATTGGCTACGTTGTGGCTACGACGACATGCGATTTGGTGCTGCTTCAGTTGCAGGTGTCTGGAGGGAGACAGACCATCACCAACAGAGCTATCAAGGCTCCTTCGGGATTCCTTGGTGGCATTGGACGCAAGTTTGCCTCCATAATTATCGGGATGCACAATCAAGACAGGGAAAATGTAAGCAGGAATGTTTTTGTGGATGGGAATGAAGGATGTGAAATGTTGGTTTTCTTCCAGAAACTCCTGAGAATGTGCGCAGAACCGAGCGGAGGGAGAGAGTGGACAGTGTCAGTGATGTCTGAGCGCTGGATTCAACGCTGGAGCTTCCAGATGACCGACGGAGAGTGTTTCATCTTTGAAGACTCTGACTTTCTGCGTCGCATTCGGGAGTCTTTCCACAAGAAGTTCTGGGTGAATAGAGATCCTAATGAAGTGGAGATTTGGTTGCTGGATCTCCAGACGTCTGACTCGGATCTGGTGGTTTTGGCGGCAGGAATGAACAAGTCATTCACTCCTCAGCTCCACTACGCGTTGATCACATTCAACTGCAGTGAGAATCAGGATCATCTGGTGCTCAGTAACTTCCACCAGTTGACATACAACACTTTCCACAGTGAAGAGCATGAGAGTGACTTGCTTGCGATGAAGTTCGTGCTGAACAAGAACTACGCTTACGTCTACTCTGAGAAGACAATCTTCCCTGTGTTGCTGAATGAGCCTGCAGAGCGCTCGGAAGAGGTGGAGAGGCTAGACTTCCTAGTGCAGGGAGACAAGTTGATGGCCGCCAGCATGTGCCAGGGATGCCCTATATTCTTCTCTCGGGTTTACGGATTGGTGTGTGTCTCTCCGGCGGATTTCGAGCCCGGCGACTTCTTCAATGCCTCAATGACATCAGATGCTCTGCAGAGTAGCCAGATTTTGTCAGACAGTGGATATCTGCAGCAAACAATTGTGGGAAATCTCACACTCTACGATTTGGATCCGGAAATCATCAGTTCTAACAGTGACATGATCAGTCAGCTGAAATCTGCATTCATTTATCAGCTGAAGCGCAATTCAGTTGCCTGTTTTGCGATCCTGAAGGAACTCTTTCCTCCGGATGTCGTTACGCCAGAAATTGATGCTCCTATGGACGTGTCAATCTTGAAGATTGCTCAGGATCTGGCTGATGACAAACCTGCAGCCGATCCACGATGGGAGCAATCTGATTTGGACTTCTCTAGGCACTCCCTGGGCAGTTCAACATCACTGCAGATTGTTCAGCAGTTGCGTGAAAAGAACTTTGCTCTCAATCACTTTGTTGAGTTTCTGCATTCCTCAAAGCTATGGGAAAGGCTGAGATCGATCTCAAGCAGAGGAACTACGAAAGCTACAACTCATCTCCTTTCTGATATCAATGAAAAGATTATCGTTGCCATTTCACTGAAAAATGCCCAAGGAAATCATTCAGTGGTCATGGATAATGCCATGAAGATGGTTCTGGAGCAGAGGCAGGAAGTTCCGTGTGGAAATCTAACACATCAAGATGTTTTTTACGTGAAAGTGACAAAGATCCAGGACATTTTCCATGCCATGAGTGATCAAATGGAGAATTTCATTGTGTCCGAAGACTTCCTTGCTGAGAATAAGTCCATGATCGTTGAGATCAATTCTGTGGTCTTGACGGCAATTGGGGAGATTATAAAATTCAGAGACGCTAAAGGATCACTCTTCGCTCTGCCAGAAGCTCAAGCGCGCCTCCATGAGAATCTCCCGTGGACGACAATGGGCGGGAAGAATGGAATTCGCGATGCTCTGATGAAGATGATCAATTCGACGCTTAAGTATGGCGCTAGGGGAACCGGAGAGCCAGAACTGCGGCAAAAGTACTATCAGCAGTTGATGGAATTGACAGATTTCGTGCTGGATGGAAGGAGAAACTTCCTGGAGAGCAGTCGCAGGAAGGAGCAATATAGCATCCTCTTGCAGCAGTACGAATCTCAGAGAAGTGACCTCATTTATCCCTTCGTGGAGGACGAACAGTTCGAGTTGGCAGCGAAATTGGCTGAGAAGTACATGGACTTCCAGATCTTGGTGGCAATATGCGACCGAACGAGGAATCAGGCAAAGCTGGAGGAGTATATTGAGCGTTTCAAGGACATGGAGTTCTCTCAGTTTGCCATCAATTGGCACTTGAGACAGAACAAGCAACAGGATCTCTTTGATCGATTCAAGAACAATCAAGCTGCTCTTGGGCGCTTCCTTCACGATCATCCATCTCTCGCGTGGGTTCAGTTCGTTTTCAATGGTGAGCTGATGAAGGCTGCTGAGATTCTCTTCGTGTTGGCTCAGAATGAGACTGAATTGGTGGCGCGGAAGAAGACAAATCTCTCACTGGCGAAGTTGTCGTTTTTCGCTGCTGGAGATTCTGCTGATCAAATTGAAATGATCAACAATGAGTTGAATTTGATTGAGTATCAGGAACAGCTGCCGATTGAGGTTCTTCAGGCATTTGGATTCGACACTGATAATCCCAAAGTGTTGAAACCCGAGGAGATAATTAATGTAAGTTAATTTAGTGGATTTGGAGTGACTTTATTTCAGTGTTCTCTTCACTTTCCAGTTGTACATTTCGGAGGAGAATGAAGGTGCGACGGAGTATGACTTCCGCAAGGCTCTTGAAATGCTTCAATTTGTCGAGGATAATCAGACTGTGCGGCACAAGATTTGGTGTGCGGCCATTTTAAGGGATTCCTGGACCAATTACGATATGAATGATCCTCTGAATGATATGCAAGACATGATGTTCTTCAAATTAATTGATTGCTGCCACTTGAGAGATGAGAATCTCGAGGATGTGTTGCCGTCAATAAGAGAATTTTTGCACTCGCCAGAATTAGGTCCGTTGACCGACAACAAATCCTTCCAGTATCTCCTCCAATTTGGCTATGAGCACATCAACAGAGCCTACAAGAAGAGTGACATGTAAGAAGTGGGTAAATACTACATTTTGATATTTGAAGCTTTTTATTTTCCACTTATGATTAGAATAATTCCACTATTCGGAATTGAAGTGTCCATTAACAACCGGTGAGGCAATTGATTCAAACATTTTGGCTTTGCTGTCAAGTTCTCGAACTCTGGCTGAGATTCGTCTGTATTCGTGGTCTTCGTATTTCCATGCGCTGCGAAAGTCAGTGGAGATTGTCAGTCTCTTTCTTCGTGATTGTTTTTAATCGGTGACACAGAATACTTGGAAATTTCGTAGATTTCTCAGGTCCTACATTATTAATTTGACTGAGGAAGTGTACAGGAGCGGATTGGCATCATGTGTGGTGGATTCACATGCTCGAAGAACTCCCTGATAGCCCTCAATGTGTTGTACATTGTGAGTATAATCGCATATTTTCACTTTTGCTCTCTTTTTGATCAGCTCTTCCAAGGAAATCTTGCCTAATCCGATCGACATTGTCGTCTGTGCTGTATTTCAGGTGGTGGGATTCCTTCTGATTGGCGTGGGTGTTTATGGTCGGGCTGCATCCATTGTGACAAATCTCCCGATAGTCGGCGGCATTCTGGCCTGTGGCATCATCCTGCTGCTGATCTCAGTCCTTGGGCTCGTGGGCACGGTGAAGCACAACCAAGTGATGCTCTTCTTTGTATCCTTTTCAAATCTTCGATCCCTGGTCTGAAATGTCAGACGAAAGTCGAGAGCGACAGAAGTGCGTTCGCATGGCTGTGGCAAAAAATCGATATCTCCATCTCTTCCGTAAAGGTCGCGGATGACGCATTTGCTATCACTTCCCCGCGTCCCCATCGTTAGGGCAATTTCGAATTCATTGCAGATCCTTAACTCCAATTAACACAGTACATGATTATTCTGTTCCTGCTGTTCCTCGTGCAATTCTCCATTGCGTGCTCGTGTCTCGCTGTGAACTCCAATCAGCAGAAGCAATTGGCCGAGCAGGGATGGAGCCGGGTGACGGATTCGATAAAGGAGGAGGTCCAGGAGACATTCACCTGCTGCGGATTCAATTCCACCGCCACGGCAGACCATTTGGCCTGTGATAAAATTACAGTGAGTCCCAATTAGCAAGACGCTGTTAAGTTTTTCTAATGGAAATTGTCTTCTTCAGCCAATCTGCTGCCCTGCGCCAGCCTCTCCTGACTGTGCATGCCCACCCTGTCTCTTCAAGCTGGAGGAGACCATAAACAAGGCTTTCAAAATGTGCGGCGAACTTGGACTTGTCTTCAGCTTTACAGAGGTGAGAAGACGTCCTTTGGGAGTCTTTTGTTGTTTTCTTTGAACACAATCTCTCGATTTGTGTTAATGAGACATTAGCATGACGTAAATTGATTGGAATCTCTTCCAGATTATTTAATAGGCACTAATTGATACTTTTCAAATTCATACAAATTACATAAATTTGGTGATGGTTTTGCAGTTTCTTGGCGTTTGGCTTACTGTTCGTTACCGAAACCAGAAAGATCCGAGAGGAAGTCCAAGTGCATTTCTCTAATTTTGCTCCCTTTGCAAGAGACACGCGATACTAATAAATACTAATCTCATAGCGCGATAATTTTAAACCACTAACTTTCAATTTCAAATAGGTTTGTTATACATTTTTTCGTATTAAGTGTTTTGTAAACTTCTCCAGAACTTTCACTTTCCTTATAAGCATCTTTATTTTATTGATTTTTCCTAACAAATCCATTTCATTCTATGCTTAAGGATTAATTTGGCTTTAAAATATGTGTTTTATTTATACTCTTTATCCATTTACTTTAATCCTTTTTGTGGCTTTTATGCGTAACTGCTTAGAGACATTGACATTGCAGAAGGTGATGATTAATTTGCAACTCTGTACGACATGCAGGTATTGGCAGTGTTCCTAACGTGGCGCTACCGTAATCAGCACAATCCAGATGATTTACCGGCGAGAGCTGTTTTCCCGCAGCGGAATTATCAATACTAAAGCATCACCTTCTTAGTGAAATAACTTCAATGGGCAAAGAATTGTAGATAAATAGTTTTACGTACTACAGTGAGGAAAATAGATAATCTCTCAAACACGTCTAGTCGCAAAAAGAGACATTACGCACTCATAATTCACAACATATCCCGTTGAAGTGAAAGAATCACAGAATGTATAAAAAAAAAACAAATCACCGACTGATAAGACCTATGATAATTTGCGTTTCTCTTGAAAAGGCATATTTTACACTCTAATAGACGATAGTATAGATTTACGTAAAATCTCTTCGTCACGTTTACTTCTGTGGTAATCTTCTTTGATTCGGTTCTCATCCAGATATTGTAGAATATTTTCAGATATGATAAAAATGCTTGAGGGATGATAACGCCAAAGATTTGATGAGATCTAAAACAATTGAACAAATTGAAGAATGAAGACTGAAGGTTTATCTGTAATTACTTTATTTTGCTCAACCCGTCATTCTATTTCCTGATTGCAAATTGTGAAGAATAAACTTATAAGGGATGTCGCAGAGTCTCAATGCGCGACAGCATTTCTCACACGCGACTGTTTTGTTAATTTTAAGAGAAAAAGAGAAACAGAAAGACACCCTTTTTTCTGTGTTAAATTGCGTGTTTATAATAGATTTACAGTGGGAGAGAAATCGATAGTGATGTTTAATTGACATGATTCTCGTAGATTTATTTTACACACTATGATAAACAGTGAGATTATGAGCCCAGCAGGTAAATTTAATTGTGGCAAAGTATATTTTTGTAAATGGCCAAAAAGCTTCTCATGTATTTTTGTCGATGAATAAAGCGTTAATGTTCTTTTGTGTAGTGCTTCTACAGAACGGAGAAAAGGCAGTTTTTCATTTCGCCGCGGTGGAATATTTTAGAGAATTTATTGATACTTTGCTGGGAGGATTTTTTTAGGGTCGTTTACCTGCAGCATGACGAAATGTGAACAGTGTGAATGCCATGGTGAAGTCGTTTTGACCAACCTTCCTTTGGGGTGCTGTAAAATGTTTCCGCGTATATGAAATGATGGTTGTGCGCAGAGGGACAGCCTGACTTGCCATGGTTCCAGCTGCGATAGTGTGAATAGTTGAAATGGAAGAAAATTATATTTTACGTCTCCTTGCAGAGTGAACCCTTGAAATGGCCCGAGAAATTGAGGATGATGGCAGGAAATTTGCGAAATGGGGTGCTTTTTGGCAGTGAAATTGTGAGGGAAAAAGTCTCAATTGGTTCATCTATACTGTGAATGTTCTCCCGAAGACACGCATGGCATCTGAGTTGCAAAAGGGTGTGTTTTCTCGACAGTCGGCCGAAAGGTCTCAGTCTCTTGTGTTCCGTGAGAATGGTGAGAATTATATAATTCCTTTGTTGGTGGTGTTCTTATCAATGCAAAAATTCTAGTGTACCAGTTTCTCTCTTCACCTCGTCGAAAAGGTACCTTTGGTAATACTCAATTAGATTTTGCATTCTTTCCAAGGCGACTTTTCCCTAAAAAATCACAACATTAAAGTTTGAATTGGACTTTATGGATTGTAAAAAGACCATTCTTGAGTGGATTTCGTGATTGATTGCGTGGATTTCAGTGTGTGTTCATTGAAGAGGGAATTTATCACTTTTCTTATATACTCGAATGGCTAGCATTCTCTATGTATTACTTGGATTAGAGGCCTTATACAAATCCTAAAAGCAAAAAAGCAACAAGAAGTTGAGGCCAATCAATAAGAGAATCCTGATTGGAGTTTGATTGCAGAAACATTAATATACCCAAAATTAATTGACTTCAACACAGTTTGTAAAGATTCGCAAACTTCCCCCCAAAAAAAGAGAGAAGAATAAGGACACCTTTGACCTTGTACTGTATCTTAAATGGAACATTCTTGTGATTATTAATGAATGGGCGGAAGGGGAATTTGTGCCACAGCTCTCTTTCCCATTAACTACAACGAGACTCTCCCTTTCAGGACACTTTGCGGAAGACACAGCGCCGAAGGATATAGAATAACTCATTTTTCTCCATCAGCACTCGAGACGGTGGTTGAATTTGCGTAAAGTGTGACGTGAAATTGAATACATCGAGGATGGCAGCTCTGCAAAGTCCTTCCTTATCGGATGAGGAGCGTGACGAGTAAGTGAAGTTATGTATGAAAGACTGAGAAAATGCTCGAAATTGAGGGTGGAGACAAATTCACAACAAGAATCTCATTTCCTTTTTAATTACTTCATTTTGCTTGAATGAAATTGTGGAAAATTCATGGAATTTTCATTTACAAATACTTCTGTAATATTTTATCGTTAAGAAACGATGTCTGGTGCTTTTTTATGTGAATCCTATTAAGAACAATTGTTCAAAGTTCTAAAATAACAGTTTGATAAGTGATGAAAAATTGTAATCTTGCGTAAACAAACATTATTGCTTGCTTTCTCCTTATAAAGACGAAAGAAAAATTGACTACAGTTCATGATTAATTTCTTAGAAAATGTGGATTAAACATATTCCTAGAATTTTCTTAAGTGATTTCAATTACAAAAAATATACGCAATTAATTCAGAAATATGAATGATTGCGGTGCTCTTAACGTTCTGGTTGTTGCACAAGATAGCACAAAATGTTTCTCCTAATCTTGTATTCTGTTTACAATCAAGCTTTAAAGATGCAAACGAATTTCTATGCTGTGAGCGCAAATAATTTCACAGACTAAGCAAATGAAATTACTTGTGCAACAACTGAATTGGAATTGAAATAGAATAAACAGAGGAAATTGCACATTTACTCCTTATCACAGGATTGTGTTGTTTATACATCACCGAGAGTAAACTTTTCAAGTTTTCTCTAATTCTGTTGTTTGTATTTTTACTTCACTTAATTAATATATTCTTAATCTATTCCGAGAATGAGTCTTATCACTGTTTGAAATCGAAACTCTTCTCGAACAGCATTGAGAGTAATTCAGTTGACGCATTTAGAAGTTAATACGTACGTATCATATGTACATACATATGTACGTGCTCATAATCCCATTTGGCCATTTTCCGTCTCCACTCGAGGGCTGCGAGTGGTGAAAGTGCGGGTGATTTGAATGAAAATACTGAACGGGTTGGTGGGAAAATTAAATAAATAATTTGTCTGGGCTTTTCACAACACTTGTTCTCATCTCTTCTCTCTGAGTGTGATTTAAATTCAATAAATCTCAGCATTATGTGATACAGTGACCAAAGAAAACAGAGAAACCTTATCGGAAGGGACGCATGTTGGTATGGAAAAACGAGAGAAAGAGAAAGAAAACGAGAATGTTTGTTCTATCGCCAAATATAAAAGTCGAAGCGATGTGTGATTATTTTAGTCTTTCGCTGAATGTCGCTGAATTAAGTCTATTTTACTGCGACTCCCAGTGGCAACACCAACGTGGAATCAAGCTGATTAGGTACTTTGATTGATTAGTGTGTTGCATTTGCGGGCAGTGAGAGATTAAACTTTGGAACGGAGTGCGGACGGAAAAGTTTCTGTGGAAATACTTTTATTTGGCGGACAATCGATAGGAGGGCTGTCTTGGTGAAATTTCAAGGAGAATATTAATCAATTGGGGAAATGGAGTCGAAGCGAGGCGTGTTGAATGAATACAGAAATGAGACTGCCAAGAATGGCACAGACAGGCCAGAAAATTCCGATGAGGATGGAAATTGCGAGAGTATTTATAGGTAAATTGTTTCAGCCCTTTTGCAAAAATTTTTTTCCACCCTGTTGCGATGGTTTTTTTTTGCGGTATGGAATTTCATAAATGAATAATGTGAATTCCGGAAATTCTCTACAGATACTCCGATGGATCCGTTCGCCTGCGGAACCCCAACATTGAATTAATGGACCAAGACATCCTTTATCATCTGGCGCTGGGAAGTGGCAGTCACGATCTGCAGGAAATGTTCGGCGATGTCAAGGTTAGTGTTCAATTTCGTCATGATTTGTCTGCTATTCTCGTGCCAATCGAATCTCCATAATGTTATGGAGGAATTTGCATAATTGTTCGAGATTTTAGCATTTCACTGAGCCGCTGGTTGATTTTTTTTTGCCCTCTTTCAATATTCCAATCCAGGTGCTTTGCAATATTTCACCTTAATTGCTGGAAAATCAATTGCTGAATTCCGCTTACTGCTGTTATGTAAAAGTCGCTGATTGTGGCCTTTATCAGATATGTTTTGGTTTATTTACAAAATTGGCGTATTTCGCTTGGCGAGAGGCACAAAAAGTGCGAGAAAAAACTGCTTATAGCGTAATTAAATCATCGCCTAATTAACAGCTCACAATAATGTCATTTTATTTAATTACCCTGAGCCGTGTATCATAATTTTCCATATCATTAGTTAAACTGCGGCATTCATAATAAATTTAGCGACTATCAGAATTATAAAAAGAGACTGCGTTGGTCAGAATGACTCTACGTCAATTCCATATGGCATAATGTAGGATTGCGAAAATAATGCATACTAATGATCGCATTGACCATTGAACATGCTTTGACAGTTCTACTCTTGGTAAATAGTGTTTAGAATCAATCATATCAAGGCTATGTATAGATTATTGTTGGTAAAGCTATGCAAAATGCAAAAGAGGCTGGAGGAGTGTATCAGAACTTTATATGAAATTATTAGAATGCACACTTGTGCATTGGTTTTCAGAAATTCTCTATTCAAATAATGAACCAAAACTATACGAGAGCGTATCTTTAGGCAATTTCAAAGAGCGTGTTTAATATCTTCCCTCTTTCCGTGTTTTCGAAATTGCATACTTTATTAACTTATGGCACTTATGCTTGCTCTCTTGCAGTTCGTGTGCATGGGTGGAACTCCGAAGCGTATGGAGAACTTCGCCCACTACATCATGGGCGAAATTGGGTACAAATTGCCACCGGGTACTCAATTGCAGGATATCAGTGCATTTTCCTATCGGTATTCCATGTACAAAGTGGGTCCAGTGCTGTCCGTGAGTCACGGAATGGGCGTCCCGTCAATTGGAATTCTCCTGCACGAGATAATCAAGCTCATGTACCATGCCAAGTGTAAGGATCCCATCTTTCTCAGGATCGGCACGTGTGGTGGGATTGGAGTTGAGGGAGGCACTGTCTGCATAACTGATGACGCTGTGGATGGGCTGCTGAGGAGTACATACGAGATGGTGAGTTTTCATTCTCCCTCAAGGCATTTACTCAGGAGTAACTGATATTGTTCTGCTTGCAGACTATCTTGGGGAAGATTGTCCAGCGCCCGGCGAAGTTGGACAAGAAGCTAGTGCGCGACCTCAAGTCTCTGGCAGACGTTGAGGATCCCTATGACACCGTTGTGGGCAAGACGATGTGCACGTATGACTTCTACGAGGGCCAGGGTCGCCTCGATGGAGCATTCTGTGATTTTAGTGAGAACGAAAAGATGGAATACTTGGAGAAGTTGCGTGACTTTGGCGTCATTAACATTGAAATGGAGTGCACAACGTTCGCCGCGTTGACTCACTATGCGGGCATCCGAGCGGCGATTGTGTGTGTTACCCTCTTGGACAGACTCAAGGGAGATCAAGTGAGTTGCCCTTTGACTCTGTGAGGCCGCAATACCTCAACAGATTGTCTGGTTTTAGGTCAACACCCCGAAAGAAGTGATGAACGAGTGGCAGATTCGACCGCAGATTCTTGTGTCGCGCTTCATCCGGAAACACTTGGCTCAGCAGGGAAAATTGAAGTCACTGATGCAGCAGCATGGTTCGATACGATCCCCTCGACGCTTCAAGCTTGTCCAGCAGGAGTCTGAGGCACACGAGTAAGCCAACCCAAAAAGCACAGCCATACGATGTAGGTGAAGGGAATTGGAGCACTCGCGTATTGATTTTTCAAGCGAGTGAAGAGAATTTGTGGGACGTCACGCTAAATTTTTCGGGGGGTTACTTTTGCTGTCCGCATCCAAGCACCCACACATCATTCCAAGGGGAGTAACATATACACATATTGCTGTAATTTTGCCGCGGAGACCCTCCGCGATTTGGGTTGTTTGCTAACTGCCTAGAGAATTCCAAGAGCGAAAGTGAGTGGCGTGATTGGTGGAGAAGGAATAGCGTCTAATTTATATACAGTATATAAACTGTGTACTATATCAATGGCCACAATACGCAGACAATATTTTCACTCTACATGTGAAATATGAAGCGACTATTGCAATGTGAAAATGGCTCTAAACTTAAAGTATATAAATGCATATTATTTATTGGGAGAACATTCTTGACGAATTGGCACAGTAAAAACGGTTAAAACACTATGACAAACAACGATAAAGATGCTTTTACATGAGAAATGGAATAACGGATGATCGTAAATTTTTAACAATACTGTTTAAATGTTGTTTGTTGTTGTCGTTATTAACTCGAATGATGGAAAAATATTGATTACTCTCAGTAGCTTCATGAAGCATGCAAGTGGTACAATTTTGCCCATAACGACAGATATGTAGCATTTGGAAGTCAATAAAGAAAAAAAAGAATGAAGAGGAGGCGTTAAACTATTGAAATGATGATGTTATATTGTTACAGAAAGAAATGAGCTAGCTAGAATTGACTTTTGCGGTCAAATATTTACAATATAAAGTGAATTACTTACAATCCTGAAGTCGAGGATATAAATTTAAAGAGAACATGTTGATTATATACTATAAGCCACTGTGAAAGTTGCCACAGAGAAAGTTGCAAATTTTGGTTTTCACCGTTTTCACACACTCAGGACTCATTTTATTTGAGTTGGATGACGGATCATTTGTTGTACATATCAAAATTGACTTTATACAATATCTGTTGATAAATCTGGGGGATATTTTGAAGAGTATTTACAGCATATTTACACAAAATTTACATTCAATGCCCGCAAGAGCATCAAGTTGAAATTCTAACACCTAATTTTGCGTCTTAGCGTTCTTTGCGGTTGCTCTTTAACATTTTGCTGGTTAAATAAGTCCAATAAATGTATGATTTTCTCCCGAGGTAATACTTGAGGGTAATAAATACTTATATAGATATCTTAGAGATGGAGTGAGAGAGGATTAGGTGAACCTATAACATTGTAGGTAAATAAATGCTGAATCCCAGGAGAGGGGCATTAAATTGAATTATCTAACTTATTTGGATATTTGTAAGGCTTATATATAAATTTTCCCAAATTCTCGTGTCAATATTTAAACACTTGAAGGCGTTACATATATAGTTGAATTTTCAGACCTAAGAGTAAATATACAACTTGAATTTCGTGGTTCATAGGATTAAAGGTTGATTTTATTGTTGGTAACACTCCTATATAACCCAAATTATAATATTATGTGTAATGGAGATATTGTAAACATTTTGTTTTTCATAAAAAAAAGGAATGGTTTTCGAAGCGAAACAGCCCATTTTCTCTAATTTGCGCCCCCAGGAATTGCTCAGCATTTAATTACACTTTAATTTTCCTACAACCAAGTATGGCACAGCACTGCTAGCACGAGGGTGAGACTCAGACTTATTACTGATGATGGGGTGATGTTGCCTGAGGCGCTGGTGGTTTGGGCGAAGAGCTTGTAGCGATGGCAATCGGGGTTGAGGCTCTTCGTGGGACCCATGCAGGTGGCGAATCCCACCACATGGGCGATGTAGTTCTGCTCGAAGACACCGTAAATGAGGTGGCTTCCGGGACCCGTGGCAAAGACGGGCACATCCTCGCCACCATGGGTGGAATCCACGAGCGGAAAGGCGGACAAGTGGCGATAGAAGGGATCTTCGCGGTCGGAACTCGAGATAGTCTCCACTCGCATCCACGTGTTGTCCCTGCCCTGGTCCTCCTGAGACTTGTTGAGCCGATGATAGAGGAATCCTGGGCCGTTGGCGTAAGTCAGGGTCTCATAAGGTGCCACCTGAGCCTTGTTGCCGAATTCCAGAATGTCATTCCCTCTCGTGGCGTAACCGTTGAAGATCTGGGAGACAATTTGCAGGGTAATTAGAATTCCAATTTTAGTGACTGCAAAGCTATCAAGTGTGGATAATTAATTTTCTGCTACTCAAGCGGAAATATCGGGTGCACTGATGGTGAATTTTCACATTTATCAGCTCAGCATAATAGCTAAGTTGGAATTTCTAATTAATCTCTGTTTAACTATTATCAATAGAGAAGCGTCGTGCTATAAATTTTATTAATATCTCATGTCAAAATATTGTAGAAATTCATTTCAGCGATTTATGAGCGTATTGTAATAGTTTTATCTTTCTCTCTCTCCCTGTGTTATGATATCTAGAGAGACATAAATATGGTGTGTTCACTCACTAAATTTAGCAAGAGCATTCGAAATAATTGTGTATAATTAATTGCAAAGATAATATTGATGAGTAATTATGGTATTAATTGCACGATTATCGATTTTGATGTGCACCACGACCTTCGAAATCTCTGGCACAATAGAATCTGCAAGAATTGTGCGCTTACCATTGCGTGGGAGTGATCAGCCGTGACTATGATGAGAGTATCTTTGGGATTAGTGAGATTGAGGGCAGTCTCAACGGCTGAATCCAGTTCGACGAACTCATCAAGAGCGACATGGGCGAAGTTCTGATGATGCCCATGATCTATCCTTCCGCCTTCCACCATCAAGATGAATCCTGGAGAATTTGGACGCTGAAGGACTTTGATAGCCTGAGAAGTCATTTGAGCCAACGATGGCGGCCCCGAAGCGCCTTGTTCCCTCACGAGATTGTAGGGAATGTGATTCTGGGAGAACAATCCCATAAGATAGTCGACTTTCTCGGTGTTCACGGCCAAGAGTTGACCGGTGTTTTTCACAAATTGCTTGGATTTTTGCGTATCATCCTTGAGCCACTCCTCGGCCAAGTTTCGGCCATCTGTTCGTGGACACAGCTGCTCAAAACTGCCATTCATCTTAATTTGGTTGATATCGTACAGCTTCTCCTTCACTCCCATCATCTCCCGACCGCCGCCCAAGATGACGTTGAGCCTCTTGCCAGGCGACTCCTCGACCAACTGGCGTGCGATGTCCTTGAAGGCAGAGCTGGTGACACCATCGGGAATGGCAGAGTCACACTCCCAGTCTCTGTTGGGCGAGTGGGCGTAAAGGGCGGCCGGAGTGGCGTGAGTGATTCTCGTGGTGGTCACAATGCCCGTCCTTTTGCCGCTCGCCTGAGCCCAGTCCATGATGGAGGACAGCTTCCCAGCCAGGGGATCCGTATAGCTGGAAGTGCTGTCCACTCCGATGTAGCCATAGCGAGTCTTCACGCCGGTAAAGAGCGATGTGGCTGTTCCAGCGGAGTCAGGGACTTGTTTATCGGTATTGTAAGTCTGTGAAAATACGAACATTGAACTTAAATGCTAATTTACATTTTAATTACTCATTGAACAAGGTAATGGAAAGAATACAATGCAATGAGCAAAATCGTCTGATAATTCTCCTCTTCTGCAGTGTTGTACAAATTTATCCACAAATTTATGAGTCTGCAAATACCGCAAATACTGAGGTATTTTTATTATAAATTACTGCCTCCATTATCAGTGTCTGATCACGTTTTCACACCTAAAATGTTTAATTTTTTAATATCTCGTATTTGTTCTTTTTGTAATTCGATATTTGCTCATTGCATTACATTGTCGAGCGAACTGAGCTGGAAAAAATGTACAGAACTATCAACTTCTAAATGTCTGTAGTTTTAGTGCTGTGACGCAAATTAATGAGAATTCTCTTGTCCTCCCCTGAACCGTACTTTACCTTGGCCAGTCCAATGTGGGGGAAGACATCAAATGATAACACGGTCTCTTCGCCAGAATACTGTGAGATTTTCTGCCCTTTGTAGATTCGGCCAGCCGTGATTGTTGGCATTCCCATGCCATCGCCCACGAAGATTATCACATTTTTCGCCAGGTTCTGCTCACCCGTGCTTCCACTGTTCAATTTGCGTCGCAAATGTCGCTCGGACAGTCTCACCCAGTGATCTCTATCTGCAACGACAGGCACGAAAATCTGCATGCTAATTGGCTCATCTCCAGCAATTTGCTCTCCAAGCTCTTCCACATTTTACAATAAAGAGTATGTGCGTCGAAAAGAGTGGGAAATACGATAATTGGACCAGCAATTTTCCATGATACCGCGACTTTTGTGCATTGCATGCAATTTTCCGGGATTTTGCATAACAATTTCTCGTGGTGGATATTTAACGTTAAAATACCTCTGAGGTTTTATGCGCTTATCACCCAAACGGAGTACTCCGGAATGAATTTATCTTATCGCTTATACCGAAAACAAAACGTGAACTAGTTATTCAGTAATACCTTCCGTGGTGTCTGGTGGTGTTGGGAAGACTCTCGCATGAATTGTCGTGAACAGTAGGAAGAACAATAAATTAAAAATAACACTTTTACCGAACATTTGGGCAAACATTCCCGTGTTCCCGTTTTATTAGAATACAAATGTTGAATCCACAGAGCAAATACACACTTCTTTTTTTGAAAGAAATACCAATAAATTGTAACACGAGGATTTTTTCACTGTTTCACACCAATTTCCATAAATAAATGACTTGACTTGACGCAAGAGCACGCATTTTCCCAGCTGATTCGCCGATCAATCGCCCAATCACTCCAACAATTGAGCACTGAGTGAAGTGTAGTTAATGGAAACGTGTGAGCAATTGAACACCGCGTCTTCGTGCAGCTTTTCGAGTGATAATGAATAAATTCGTAGTCAAAGCAGTGTCTTTTAAAGCACAACTATATAATTATCTGATCGTCACGGTTTCAGTGTGTGTAGAAAAAATTTTACAACTATTTTTCACTCCACAGACTCGTTAGTGTGCCTTTTTGACGGTCAAATTTTTATCACTTAGCAATAGTGTTGGGTTGTGATAAGAAATAATACTGGCGATATTGTCAAGAAAATCCCGATAAGCAGGTGGAATATTTTCACACACGCGATTTCTCGTCGATTCTAAAAGAAAGTCACTGCCCAACAAAAGGTTCGCGCTTCTCTCCCGCTGCACTGCACAGAACTGCTTTGCTCCCACCGCAAGTGATCTCTATTTAAAGGAGAAAAATTGCTGCTCATCTGCCTATATCATCAGCAGTAATTTCATATTTCTTAATTTAGCATCTACCAGTCACGCATGTGACAGTGGCTGAGGCTCTTTTATGAGTTGACAAAAGGAAATTTATTCCGAGGAGCGGATTTAATGATTAGGTTTGCAACTTATTGTATCACCCAGTCACCGAGACAAAAATCTCATGCCAGAGCTGAGGATCAGACTCTTTGACCGTGATTCCCAAGCAGCTCCGGAGACAACACTGTTGTGTGATATCGCGTGGATATTTTACAACTCTGCAAAGCCTACAAAGGGTGATCATCAGTCTACTTAGAGGCTGCATGTCATTGATTTCAACACATTTATTTCCATTGATTCGTCAAAAGAGAAACACAACTTTCTGCTAAATCAATGTCGTGTTATGCAATATTTTTAAAGTATTCCAAATTTTTATTCGAGATCAATTTTAGCTGATCATTCACAAGAACTTTCCCCCTGACCCATTCAGTATATCTCTGAAGCCGGTAATCATATCAATTAACCGTGTAAATTTCTATGCATATTGTTGCATTGCGCTAGATTTTACAGGCGTATTTATCTAATCCTAGAACACTTCATCATTACTCTGGCTTATAGCAATTCCAATTAGTGCTGCCTAATCGAAAATCTCTTCTATGATGGCTCCACGTGATTCGCACGCGTCAACAGAACAAAGGGGAGTGAGAATATCAGCCTTATCATGAGTTGTTTGACCTTCCTTCCGCTTTTTAGTGGCTCTGCCACACAGCTTCCCGATGCTCTGCGCCACAGTGCTCATGTTATTCTTCACGATCTTGTTGGGAATGATCAGCTTGGAGAAGTCTTCTTCCGGCTCCTCCTCAATCTTTATGCGAAAAGCACCAGCGGGCGGTGGTGGAATTTCCTTCTTAAGCTTCTCAATAGATTTGAGAGCAATGGCGTTTTCAGGGTCGATCTCGAGGACACGTTGAAGAACTTCGTAAGCTGATCTTTTGCAGTCGTCGAGTTGCAAGGCTTGAGCCTTCCTGAGCAGAGCTTTGACATTTTTGGGCTCCAATTTCAGGCATTCATCACAATCATCCGTGGCTTCCTTCAGTCGTCCCAATTTTATGGCCGCAATTGCTCTGTTGTTGTATCCAACGGCATTTGGGAGCATTTCTATGGATTTCGTGTACTCCTGATAGGCCTCGAGAAAGTCACTCGTCTTGAAATACTCATTGCCTTTGATTTTGTACTTGAGAGCCAATTCTTCTCTCTCAATCGTCGTCAATTTGCTCGAAATGTGATCAGCAATTTCTTCTATAATAACCTTCTTATTTTCCTTCAGAGATTTTTCTCGCTCAATCTTTTCCTTTTGGATCTCTTCTTGAAGATCCAATTTCAGAGCTTCTGCATCTGCATCGTATTGATCCCATTTTTGGTATTCGTAGGACTTAATGCGATCTGTAGACTTCTTCTTTGAACTCTCAACGGAAGATTCAATGTGTTGTCTCACGGGCGGATATTCAATCTCCAGATTCTTTACTTTCTTCACGTCTTCCTCCGTCTTTTTTGCACGCACACTCCAATTTGCAAGATTCCTTGAGATTTCTCGAGAAGTTTCTTGATCCAATTCACTTGATTTAATCATCGGAGACTCCGTTCGCAAAATCTTACTGTTGGGTTTCAAGCATTTGAGTCGTTCTTCTGCGCATTTTGTCAAATCCGGATAAAATCCTTCCTCACCGGATTGTAGAATGAGACAAATTCTCTCCAACTCCTTTGTATTTGTGCACTGTTTCACATAATCGAAATCCAGATGATGCACAGGAATATCCCACTTTTCCAGCAATGTCTTTTTGCCTTGCTTCACCATTATTCTGCTCTGTGGCTCAGCGAATTCACGGGAAATTCGATAAAATAAATGCAGTCGATATTTCCATGGTTACCCAACGATGGCCTATTTATCATGAAAATTAAATTTTAAGCCAGTCTGTATTCTACAGAAGTTTATTTTCCTCATAATTTATTTTAATGAATACAATTTGTAAATCCTATAAGCGTTATGACTTATTATTACATCTAATTAATATAGAATATTTATCACTTAGCGTATCATTGACTTTCCTTACAGCATTCTAGGCTTCTCTCTAAGCTCAAGTCTACAATCAGCATTCAATGACTCAAATATTGATTTATCCTTCTCCGTCTTGTCGGAAGATTTACTCACGAACGCGCGAAATGACTATTTAGCACTTCCTAAACACTATACTTTCGTCTTATCAATTAATACACATAGTAAAGGGGGAAAATCACATTGACATAGACTTTACATGATTGACTTATTATCTCGAAAATTATAAAAAATATAATTATGTGAGTTAGAAAAATAATTTGGTGGCAGAATAGAAAACCTCACTCTGCCAGCTGCAGAGTGTGTGGCTTCTCGTATAGAAAAATAAATACAATTATTACAATTGTTCGTTACTTTACATCTTACACAGCTACACTTAGAGACAGTATCATTGTAGACTTCTTAGTAGAAATGCATCTCTATATTTCTAGTTCAAGTTCAAATCTGATACGAGCTTGTCCAGGAATCCCTGCAGCTGATAGTAGGATCGTGATCGCCAGTAGATGTTGTTCTTCACCTGCTCTATTGACAATTTCACACTGCTCTCAATTGACTTCAAGTTGAGCTTCTTGGCCTTGGCAATGAAGCGCTCGAACTGGGCCAAATGGTGCTCCTTGTTCATGTACGTGGTCGCGGCGCTGACCATCTTCGAGAGAATGGAGAAGCCATCGCCGAAACTGCAGCAAAAAGGGGGTCAATGCTTAAGTGTTATCAGTCAAACAACATGAAAAGTGTTGTGTACTCACTACTGTGATATCTGCTCAATGTTTGACTGCAGGAAGTCGAAGGCGATCTCAAAGCCGACACTATTGCTGGCCACAGCCGAGAAGGCACGTGCTCCGTCTTGTTTACGAATGCCAGACTCCGGGTAGAGCGTCATATTGAGATATCTGAAGTGGACAGTAATTGAAACATGTCAGCCCCATTCATCTTCCCAATGATAATGCATTGTGCGATAAGTGGACCCAGCTCACGTACTTGGACAGGAGTGAGGGATCCCGCGTGCAGCCAAGGGCGTTTAGTAGAACCTCCTTCTCAGATGCACTCGTCGTCTCCAGGTATTGCTTGTACGCAAATCTCCACTCGTGCACGCCACCCTCGCGAATGGCTACGCAATAGACGGTGTCTTTCAAGTTGGGCTTTATGCTGGAAAAACAACAGCGAGAGTCAAATTTAGCAGAGACACATTTAGTCGCATGAAACCAGCGCAACCCATATGCAACTCATCTCATCGATAAGCATTTCCTTACAAATTCGAATGCAAATGACCCGAAATTAAATAATTTCCCAAAAAAACATATGTAAATCTCGAGATGATTAGGTTAAATATGGATTAATTCAAATTCAATTTCCTTCCAAAGTCCACAAATAAGGCTATTTAAACAGCTATAAAAGCCTACTTTTATGCTGCATTTTACGATTCTCTAGCACGTGGACTTTACGATAAACATATTGTTCACTCTTACTTGTTCAATTTAGGAACTCTGATCCACTCCCGGAAGAGGAACTGGGCACGGTTGGTGCATCGGTCGTAGTCAAAAGTACACGCAAGCCGCACGATTCTGGCACGGTGGAGGAGTTGGACGTGGTTCTCGTCATCTTTCTCGTCAAAACCCAAGTGTTGGAACGCCGGCAGCACAATGTGTCGCATGACGGTCTGAAATGGCCCAAAAACAATCGTTACACGCTTGAGGTGGCACGGAATTGTGGTGGCTCACTTTGAATGTGTCGAAGGCAGGCTCCCGAATCAGCATGTCTGTGAGGTATTCCAGACCACGCGTGGCTGCGGCCCAGGGCAGCACGTCGGTGAGACTGTGCCCCATCCGAATGAGGAATGTCAGCGCAATATCGTACTGCACATATTCCGCACGAGCGAGATTGAGGGCGTCATCAATCAGCTGAGCACGCGTGATCTCTGGAAGCTGCTCGAAGTGGCGCGAAAGTTGGGTCAGAGACTCGTAGTCATACTTGACGCGATAGTATCCCGTGCGGTTCACATTTAGGTACACCCACTCGTCAGGCTCCACCACGTTGGGAATCACAATCTGCTCATCGCGATCCGTCATCCAGTAGTCGGGCGTCTCGCTGTGCGCTTGGGCGGATTTTGTGCTGTATGTGATTGGGATGAACCATCGAGACTTGTCTTTTGCCTTCGCCCTCGGCAGCATGTATCGTTGTTGAGTGATGACAAGATCTGAGCCATTGCGCACGACAGTCAGCATGGGGTAACCAGCTTTCAGCGTCCAGGCATCCATGATGTTCTTCACGTCCAATTCCGGCGGCAGAACTTGGAATTTGTGGCCAATCTCTGACATGATCTGCCACAAATCATTCTGCACGGCATTCGAGTACTCGAAGCGCTTCAAGTACGATCTCACACCGAAGATGAACGCCTCCTCACCCAAGAAACTATTCATCATGCGAATTAGCGATGCGCCCTTCGAGTAAGAGATGGGATCGAAGATCCTACGAACGTCCGACGGTGTGGACACCTCGAAGGAGATGGGATGAGAGGTCAGATCCGAGTCCTTGTCCATGGCGTGCTGAAGCTCATTCACGGCAAAGGACTCCCTGGATCGCCACGTGGGCTCCACACTTTCCAGCGCCAAGTAGCTCATGTAGTTGGCAAAGCCCTCCTTCAGCCACAAGTCTGACCACCACTTCATCGTGACCAAATTCCCAAACCACTGATGTGCCAGCTCGTGCGCCAAGATACTCGCCACATGCTCCGTGTGCTTAGCGGATGAGCGACGCTCTTTGTCCTCGGGCACCAGCATTGCAGATTCCCTGTGAGATCAAAGGCGAAAAGGAGAAATATGTTAATTGCCGCGCATCGACTGTGTATTTTTGTCGGAGCACACTCAAAGTAATTTTCACTCGGCGAACGCGTTGAGGTGGTCCACAAGATCCATTCATTATTCATAGCTCAATAATTTGTAGCTTCTCTCACAATGCCTTGATGCAAAATTGCACAGGAATTTAAGCAGAAGAAAATTACTTAGAGGTGCAAAACTGGCCTTCTAATTTATGCACTGAGCCGTTAAAGTACGCTTAAGAGGTGTAATTTTGGGTGGCTTGACTGATTTAGATGGGCTGTAAAGAAATGTTTATCGCAGGGAAAGGCAGTATTTAAATGTTAATTGATGAACACTTTTAGAGATGCATTTTGGATGCACACCGAAAGGCAGTGAAACAGGTTCCAAATGATCAAAATACACCATTTTGCCAAAGTGGCTATTCTTGTGCCAAGACTGCAGTCTTGAAACTGGGCTGGCATCACATGGAAACCGTATCAACAAATAGAACAATAATTCTTAAGGTTTTTCGTGTTTATTTATTTATGAGGGAGATTCTATTAAAATTTCAAATAACTATATGTATGATACGGCGTAAAGAAAGTTTATGTTGAAGCACGTGTGGAAAAAGAAAATGAGCAAACCCACGCAGGAATAAATAAAAATCCTAACAAATTTCCACCATAAACGGAAATCTTAGAGAGCAAGTATAAGGAGTCATAAATTCATATTTCATTTCCATGTTCAGCCGTACATTTCTTCGCCACACACTGTTAACACCAAGGAATATAGCGAGAAAATTCAGTTAATTTATTTTTTTATCTGATAGAACCATCTCTGCACAGTCCGTAAATTCCCTCGTGCAATATTCCTCAAAATATTATCCAATATATTTAATTGCACTGACAAATTAAATGATGTATGAAAAACTCCACAAACTAGAGACACTCGACAAGACTGTTAAAATTAGTGCATGTGTCGCGCTATGAGGGTATTTTGGAATGTGCCTCGCATGTCTCGTATCACAATATGTGAAATTTAATGTGTGCGGCCTTAAAATAGGAGTGCTCTTGGACTTGAACTGAAAGGGCGACGAAGACACTGACCTGAAAAATATGAGTCCCCAGTTCTCCATGGCGCTGAATCCAAAGTCTGGCACAGCCACCAAATCAATCTTCGGCAGCTTGAACTTGATGTTGAAGTAATTCTCAAAGAATGGCAGTATTTCGGAGGCCAGTTTGTGAGCATAGCCTGTCATATCGGACATTTCTGGTCGCGACCACACTCTGATTCGCGGGGAGTCTTGAAGGGCACTGGTAGTGTTGGATTCCACGAGATCGGACACGATGAAAGCCACCAAGTAAGTGGACATCCTCGGAGTCATTTGGAAGTCCTCCTGCACATAACCTGGCCGGTGAGTGCTGATTGAGGAGGAGTTACGTGATTATAAATTCATGTGAATAACGCAAAAGATTGTACTCACTTTGAGAACATGTGAGGCATATTCGAGAGGACCATGCTCTTCTCATACGGCCTCACGATGGAAATCTCGAATTCGGCCTTCTTGTCCGGCCTGTCCATGCTGGGGAAACACCTTCTCGCCTCAATTGGTGAAAATTGCGTGCTCGCCAGCCATCTAAAGCGATGAAAAGAAGTCATTGCGGAGCGCGAAATAGCTGGGTTGACGTAATTAATGGATTGTGGTTATAAAACTATGACTCACTTCGACTCCCCACTGCTGTCGTCCTTATAGTTGACTTTGTAGAAGCCCTGCAATGTGTCCGACAAGCGGCTGATAAACTCCACGAAGACCCTCAGCCGCACTGGTGCGGAGTTCTTCCTGAAGTCCTTCTTCACATAGATCCAGAGCGTCGAATTGCTGTCACTGTTGGTCTCAATCTGAACTGGGGTGGTTCCATTGGATTCTGTGACCTCCAGGACGTGCACATCAATGATGTCTATCAGGTAAATGTCCAGGATAATCGGCTGGATGCCATGAACCTTCGGATCACTTGTCACGTCGATCCACACGCTGCCATTGTTGATGGATCTCTCGATATTGGGCTCTATTATTAATCTGCAAACAAAAATCGAGTTAAACTCGAAGCCAAATTCATCTTCCCAGAATATTTAATGACCATATTTTTTTCTCCACAAATTAAAAACAAATATTTGTCTACATAATTTACGATCATCCTAATTGACAAAATGCCTTAACAATTTGCTGAAGATGATGGCTTGTAATAAATTAAGCAGGCATGGTAAAAATACAAACGATAAAAGTTCAGCGTTATTTACAATTATTGACACAGTGCTCTTTACACATATTTAATTGAAAGATGTAATTCAATCTGTGCCTTTTCCCTTTAAGAATTCCAACTCCATCCCAGAGTCAGTGGCCCCATAAATCCCATTTATTGAATTTCCAATATAGCATCACATTGCGCTTCCTCCGCATCTACACTTCATGACCATCTTCCTTTTCCGTGTTGGAAGATCAATGCGAGGGAGTGTGAGAAGAATTTTTATTTTTAAATTCTCTCCATCCCGAGTGGTGAAAGTTAAAAGTGTGTCAAATTTCGACAACTTTTCGGTAGTCTTTGATGGCGCAGAATCATCTCTTTATTCGCAAATCCGTGAGAAATCTTTTAAATGCTCTCAAGTGCTTAAGAATCAATTTGCCAGACGCTGTTAAAAATTCAGCAAATCGCTTTGGGTATATTTTTAGAGGTGATGTAGACACTTTCAAAGGCCTTAAACTGCTTTGGCCTGTGTATTTGCATATGAGCTGCATTTTATGCATTTCTCATGACTCCACCGCCTACTTGGTGCCTTCCACGAATTGTCTGTCACGACATTTCATTATTGCATATTCAATGATAGCGAGGTTGTTCCAAAAATAAAGACTACAATTTTGACCATTTTTCCACCGCAACAAGTGGCCAAAATTTTACGAGCAAAATGGAGTTTAATAACATCCTTTCTGCCGCAATTAAGTTAATGCCAGATGGGTGGTCAGAGCAATGTGACATTTTCGCGTTGAATATTGCAATTTGCCGCTCTTTGAAGTGCATAATCGCAATATCACACAGTCGAAGAGGGAATGTCAAGAGTTTATTGCATGCGAAACCACAAGAATATGTGCATAGAAACTAATTAAATTTCTCTGTATAATTCGGCTCGGTGCTCTTGAACTGAAGATCACTATTCTCGAAAATCCCACCATTGAGTCAATTTCTGGGTGTGTCACTCCATAAAGTACCAATAATGAGATTATTTAAGATAATATCGTTATGACAGCATGTTACCGAAGAGCGCGACGTCTGTGTGCATGTCTCTTGATGTGAGAGATTTAAAGTGTTGAGATGAAACAATAAATTATGGTACTTATTGATGCTCTTCGAGTCTCCAAGTATTTATTGTGACTGGGCAATTTTGTCTTCCCAGAAATCATCTCAACTTCTTGCACATCTTCAATACAATGCCTAATAAGATTAATGACGAAGATTCAAATTGAATCAACTCTCAGCTATTGATTACTTTCTGCCTCTCGCAAGCAATATCGCTCGCGTGTAAATGCTGTGCACAAGTGAGTACATTCACTTTCTTTTTCAATAACCGATTGTCCATCTGGTATCTTAATGATGCTCATCTATTCAATAAGCAACACTCAAGATCAAGTGACCCCAACTTTTGATCATTAATTTAAACTATGCGGAAGACGACTGAGAATCAGCCACTTCTTCTACCATCTCTCTCGCCATTTACTACTTTGGAGTTCAGCGCAACATTCTATACATTTTCGATGTGTGTTTATAAAACACACGCAATAAAGTAGCCAATATTTGAACAAGTTCTCGAGTGCTGAAGCACCATTGAGAACATAGAGCGAGCAGCGGATGAAAAAAGAGTCAATCAACTTGGGATATACTCCAAGATCTGCTCTGCGGCGTATATAAAAGCAGAAATTGTCACACATTCCTTTAATAATTCATGCCTGCACTTGTGAATTTTGACAAAGAAGACACTTTCACGCAAGTGTGACATGAAAGAAATATTTCTAAAATTAAATTGCTACAGAGTATTTGCAGGGGATCGTCAAGAAGGTGTGTCACTGGCAAAAAAGCACGGGAAACATTATTTGAATGGCATTTTCTTGAGCAAATTACTGGAAATGGAAGTGTCGTTTTCATTACTTTCAATTTTGCTGGTGAGAAATTCCTCAATTGATTGAAATTCTGTGGTTTAATGCGACTAGCCATTTCTAAAAAGAGATCACATTCAAATGCAAGAGGGGACAAACTAATCAAAAATACTTTTATAGTTGTGGTAATTGCAAAAATTATAATTAAAATTCATGACGATAATCTGTTATGACACCACTCATTCATTGAATCAGCTTAATGCTCAGAAAAATATATTGAAAATACACATTATTGACCTTTAGATAATTTGGAATGTTTGCTGTGTCTCTTTATCGGGACGCATTGCCGGCAAAAATATTGCAAATTAAATCGAGTGTTTGTATTGCAAGTGATAATGTCAGCGGCGTTCTTAATTGGCCTTTTATTCACGGAAAGCTTTTAGACATGCAAATGAAGAATTGTATTTTATCAATTACTCTAAATATTTTCACATATTTCTTAACTGATGCAATGATCTTACAATGTGAATTACCAACACTCAAATTATGGTGTGAAAGTCGGGAGAATTCTACATTGATTAGTTGAGATTAATTGGTCGGCTAGTTGAGTAAATGGCATTTAAATAGGTCTCATTTGATTTAAATTAACCAAATTCCACTATCAGTCGACTGTCAAAGAGAGCATAATGCGAGTGAGTTATGTATACACGACTTCAAGTGGCAAGTTCAATAACGACGAATGGCAATTTAATTAGTGCCTCAAATTCCACTGTCGCGACCGATTGAATATTCATTGAAGAAAGAAGTCAAAATTATACAGTCTCACGCTGCCGGCGAGTTGAGTTGCACATGTGAGGGGCAAAAAAGGAAAAGGCACTTAATTTTTCCACGAGACAAACAAGATAATTTCGCTTGAATCCCATTATTTTATGGTTCACTAGAGTAAATATTTGAGCAATACTTAGAGGAAAGATGACATAATCGCGATAAGAACCAATGTACTCTCAGTAATTGTGCATACACTCGCTATCATTTACTTCAAGGAGAAACCGCAATGACTTACGCGACAACAGAAAGTCATTGTAATGTCTCACCTGTATCTCGTTGGGTTCCATCCCTCGTAGAGGTGGATTTTGTCCTCTTTGGAGTTGAAACTCTCATAATTTTGATCACTCAGAGTCTCATCTTCGTCCATTAAGTCATCTTCAGGCGAGGTGGGTTTCTGCTTCGGCTTCGCGCCACGCGAAGGGCTAAATATGCTTGCTGAGCTCACTGTTTCATTCGTGAGGGACTCCGTGGAAGCATCACACCTGCGTTTTCAAGAGAAAATTGCTCTCATTAGTCAAAGAGAAATCAAGGGAGAAGAACAAACAATAAATAAGTTGATGTTTATGGAGGTCTATTAAAAGGAATAAAACGATTTCCAGAGGACCCCCATGCTCGTGACCACAACAAACTTCTGGCAAACGCTGAGGTTTTCCCACAAACCGCTGCACACTCGCCATATAATACATACAATTCAACCAGAGCTGTGCGTATATAATTTCATTTCATGATGAAATTTTTTATTCTTTTTTTAGTCTACCGTACAATATGAAGAACTAAGCACATGAATTTATTGAGACTTTTCACGCGAACGGATATTTATTCAATATTCCAGATTTTCCCCACTGACACAATTCTCTCGTAAGAACAAATTCCACGTCCAAATTCGAGAGTCATGAGGAAATCCGAGGAAACTTTTCAATGTTATCAGACGCTCGGGAATGTATTGGGGTATTATTTTTAGACAAAGTGTGGTGAAAAAAGAGCAAAACTCAGCGTGATCAGTTCAATGAAAATTGAGTAAGAAGAAACCATTAAGAATCTGCTGTTCCCTTACATAACGCAGAAATAGGAATACCATCATATTCTTGTTCTTCGGAGTATTTTATGAACTTACCTGGGAACTGCGAGGAAGTAGGTCAGGAGGAAAACCGCCACCAGAGCAAGAATCGCTGCACAAGCCATCAGGGCGATGCACCCTTTGGTGACAAAGTATCCCGCTGGTTTGTGATTCACCACGTACTTCTGGCCGTTCTTCGTCTTCAGCTGCCCACCTACAGATAATAATAATTGTTTAGATGCAATTATGGCCATTATGATGGCAAATATTTGTTCACTTGCAATAGAAGCAAGTAAGTCAGTGGGATATTGTCATATTGGGTACTCTGTAGAGTAGGTGCAGTATCGTTTTCCAGAGTTGCATGAAATTGAGTGGGTGATATATGAAATTGATATATTAAAGCGCTATATTTAAGCACATCCTCTGCCATTATCGTCGTTATTTACGATATCGAGAAATATATTAGTCACACATTATGTCATGTTACTTTCCGATCTCAGTCTTGTGTATAATTTCAGTAAAATCAACACTCAGTACACCATTCTTTAGAGAACCGCAACCTATCCAATGCAATGGGAAACGACTCTTCAATAACAAACTTGAAAAACTGCAGAATATTTACCAAATGCAAGACAATGAACTCAAACCAGACGGAACAACTCGTTTGGATATGTTTTCACAAACTTGTGAGTGTTTGAAAACACTTTGCTCTGTATTTTCCAAATATTTATGATTGCCACAGAGATGAGGAGCAATGCTGCGAGTGCTGAATCTCGAGTGCAGGTGAAAATTCGACTAAATCGCCAGGCGCGAAGATCACGGGAACGGTAAACTCTGTCACCAGATTTCCTGGATGATCCAAAGAACCGGTATTGGACGGTGAAGTGTTATTTACCGAACAAACCAGAAATGCTCAAGTGTCTCCACGCGTGGGTAGCATAATTATTACACAAGAGCTGATATCCGATGGTCATTCCGGCGCTTGAGCGCGAAATGGAGAATGAAGCCCCATCTCCAGGTGAAGCAATATTAATTGCGTAAAAAAGTCCAATATGCAGCTCTGGGTGTGTTTGAGTGCACTCATAGACTGAGGGGAGGATCTAACATTGACATTAATAACAATAACGCCGCATGGAATATGGTGTGGGAGATCATTGACACTCGCCGAGATGATGATAGCATCAGTCTCATTCTGTATTTTCTATTCTTAACCGTTCGTGCATACTTTCTTCAAATGCAATTTATGTGCGGGTACGACTGGGCATAACTGGAGGTCTCTTGCAGAAATTCCCTGCATAGAAGCGCTTGTTGCGCCACTTGCACTCAAAGGCGGATATGTCGGTGAGTCTTCAGTAGAAGCGTATCTTATGAGAGGCAATTTATCATTCAAGATCGAGAGTATTGAAAATCCTCACGTTGTCTAAGCGCGCTTGATCTTCTCGAGGCAGCAGCTTCGAGCACTCCGCAGAGCTCTGAACCTTCCCTCGTCGACTCACTTTTGTGATCTTCATCTTGTGAGTTTCTATGCTCTCAATATGGAATTGACGCCTAAGTTTCCAGCAAACGCCCACATATTTTCCCCCCTTTATGTAATCAAAGTGTATACACGGACTTTTCTGAAAAGACCACGTTTCGGTAAATACTTAATGCGATTGTCTACATTTATCAGAGAAATCACACAATTATTCTCCATGCTGACTCACAACTGATTTGCTGTTAAAATGTGGCGAAAAAACAATCACTGATATTTAGGCGGTAGTTTCATAGTTTCTCCTTCGCGATAGTCGAAAACAATGATAAGAGAAAAAGCTGAGGAAGTGGAGTTGTAAATGTAAAATACACAGTTCACCGAAATAGAATTGATTGAGTTACGAGCAATAAATGCGGTGCTCAAGATAAACCATTGTAATTTAGACTGACCTTTCAAGCGAGATTTAATTATTTTTCTGAACTTATCATTCCTTACATTTACGCCTTTCCCGCCGATTGGAAATTGCTAATGTCAGCCACTTTCAGTAATCAATTATAACTACCGAAGATTATTTAATCTATACGCGCTTCTTCAGACAAAAATATACAATGTCTCACCATAAACATTGTGGCAGTTTCTTCAATGCAATGCATGGGAGAAAATGGGAGTTTAACCGAGGCGTCATGAGGCTATCATGTTACACAAATATTTTTCTAGTTAACCCCTTCGTGGTGACACCAAATCATGTATAATGATGCCTTGATTGTGTGGCGAGACTTTCCCTATATATATTTTTAATCACGCACGAGAAATCTCGTGTAATTTGTTCTATAGGACAGCTCAAAAAATGGCAGGTGACCTAAAAACAGTTATCAGATGAATAAACACTCTTCTCTTGTACCGTGGGGATTTGACGAGCGAGAGATCTTCAGCCATGCAGGGCGGGAACATATTTTACCATAATGCATATGCTAACAAGTGCCGCTGCAAAATGAAGTATCTCTCTTGGTGTGTAGATAAGATAAAGAAAGCGCGGTACACAAGAGACAATCTCGAGGCGAGATCGCGATAGTGCATTAATTGCCCAGAGGAAATTCTCAGTGTGGAGATGATGACAATGGAGAGGAGCAACAGCGAGCCGGTCACAATTAACAAATTCATCAATCAAGACAGAAGCAATTTGTCCGCATTAATATGTATTACAATAGATGATGAGGGCAAAGAGAATACGACAAAGTGGAGCGTCGTGATCTCATTTACAAGCACTATCAATATTAATTCCAATATGATCATCGACTAGACTTCAAACGGCCTCAACGCCCTGATTTTATCATCTCATGTCGTGTATTTCAGAAGTCATTTGCCGTTTTGTAGTATGCTCACGCGGATGAATGCAGAGGAAAGAGCCTCACCACCTCAGTTCTCGCCAGACGTGCGATCGCACTTTTTTCCTCTTCAATTATATAGTCATTATTCTCAATCCGCTCTATACATAGCAGCTCGTATTCAAATGCCTGACACTTTCGTCGTTGATCATGAAACAACTTGCGATTACAACTGTTATAGCCACGGATGGTGTACAATGGCTGACAAAAAAATAATCTCATATGTACTAAAAGCTCTGGCGAAATTTACATTGAATGAACGCCTGGGTCAATGGAGATGACGAGAGAGTGGGACCTCAGCACAATATCACTAATCGTGTTATGTTAAATAAAGGCTCAACAATAAATTTACAAATTGTCTGTTAATGTTCACAAATTACATATTATCTCACCTCATTTATTTACTCAATGCTTGATTTGTTCTCTGTACTTATGAAGATTTCATTGCGAACAAATTTATATAGCAATGTTTGTCTGTCTAGGCAAAATAATAAATATTTTTTCTGCGTCCAATTTTATGATCATTGTTATTTGTGAAATGACTTTTTCGCCAATGCGAACATAATTGTCTGAAGCGATACATTTTGATAACCCCGCGAAAAACAAATATCAACGTTCTCATGCACATCGCGTGGCAATAGAAGACACTTTGGGCGTCTTATGTAACTGTGTAATGATTTCGATTTATATTGGAGAAAATTGATATTTCGCATTATAATAAAAATTGGTCCTTGAAGTGATCAATGCAGAGTGATTTCTTGGTCACTTGAAAAGAACTTCTCTCCCTCGAAGTGGCCCACAAAGCTCCATAAATTTCAATACAATCATGCTTACAGAGAAGTAAGAACGTCGCCTCTTGACGCTCCGAAAATTTATGGTCAATTAAAATTGCTAATAAAAATAATAATGTGAGTAAAGTCCTATTCAGCCTCCGCGCAAGTAAATCTACACGGTTGTAAATTCGCAGTTGAGATGGTCTCGAACTTTAGGGTGATCCTCACCAGCCGTTGCGAATGTTTTGGGCTTAGAACACGACATGATCGCGGTTCGCTGGACTTATTAAAAGTGAATGTTATTGTACTCAGCTCCGATTTCACTTGGGTTTGTTTTCACACCACATCCAAGTCATATTTGTAGGGAATTTTCCGAGAAACTACAGGCAGAATCACACCGCTTTATAGCATGCCTCAATACCTCTGTACATATGCTTAAGCACAAAATTTACAACTCTGCTTTATTTACACACTCTCAGGTTGTGATTTATGTGTAGAATGTTTGCCGTTGCATAATCAGGATTTCTCAAAATTCCACAAAATTATTAATCCCCCAGAGCACATGTAGCTACAGAGTTTCCGCGAAGACAAGCACATCAAGTTTCATTTAGTTAGAATCGAGGATGCAGAGTTTTCTCGGCATTTTAATGTCTCGTGTTGGATTTTCATGTTGTAGGTGGCAAAATGAGAAGCAAATCCATCACGTGAAATAATTAAAACCTGCCACTAAAGCTAACTAAAAATATTCTCACATGAACATTTTAATAATATTTATTCAAGAAACTGTATTTCAATGAACAACATGTGGTTAGAATTTGCTGCTGATCCCACCAGTTGTTCGTCTGGATGTAATATTATTGTGGGCAATATGATTTTTCAAATGATCTTAAATGGCAAGAGGATAGAGTTACATTCTGTTTTTGTCCTGCATCATCAAATTTACTGCTGCCCGTTCATCTGCAGATAAATTAATTCGGGCCATCGTGCGCAGCGATGCATTATAAATTTCTGTTTATTGAGAAGAATTTTACGACGACTTCAGGCTTGTCCCACCCCTTTTTCTCAATTAATTGTGTGAAAATTATTCATGGCAATCGGGATGGATATTAATCAGAATTATAACATAGGGTAAATGCTCTCATGTCTTGTCAATTTATATAATCAAATTTCTTTTTTCTCCCCCACTCACCCGAGTTAAATTGCCTAAGTGTGTAATATGTTGGACTGCAAATTGCGCCTCCAATGATACAATTGCCGAGAGCACGAGTGCAATTTGAGATTGATCAGCAAGATGAAGAAATTTCCCTCTTCGTGCCCAAGAGACAGACAAAACGGCTTCCTCGCAGCCACACAGTGTTGCAATTAGATTTGTGCGGTGAATCAGCAACTGACAATTTTTGCGCCTCTATCCTCAGAAAGTGCCAAAAGGAATTTTAAACGCCCCCGTGATGGTTTCGAGACATAATCGGTACGATTACCTCGGCAAATCATCCATTATTCAAATTGATTTGCTCACTCTTGGCATCTTATCATGTGCCAAGTGGTGAGAATGAATAATTTCCTTGCTGCATTCTCGGCACGGGCGATTTTAACACTCTGCCAACCCTTCATGACACATTTCCGACCCAATTCCTACTCGTTATACCCACTACGTAGTATAATCTCTGTATTTCTACAGAAGTGGAACGCCTCACTGCCCATATTTTTATGGAAATCACCGATTATGGTGCTGCTTCTGATTCAGGGAGTGACCCTTTTCCCCCATCGGCCAACATTTTCATGCACTTCATGAATAAATGCACATTTATCATTTCCATTTCACTCTATTCCAGATAGACATCAAGTAATTAAAATGCACTGAAGGACTTTAAAATTATATTGATTGTGTCATAAAGAAGTGTGTTATAAAATGTGTAATATTGACGGAGAAGAGCTCAGAGTTTATTTAAGGTTTGTTAAGAACATATGAGTTCTCGCAGCAAAACTAGGTTTATGGTCACTTGTTAGCACTACGCTATTGATTGTTTCCAAGGCGAAATATGTCAGCGCAGAAAGCGTACACCATTTGAGGGAGAATTTGGATTTCTTGTTGTTTTTCTGTAAATTAATCCCTCTGAGCCCTTCCTTATTTATTAAGTATGACTTAACGGAATGTTAAAAATAAATTTGTACATTATCTAGTTCAATGTCTCTGCCTTGTGGTAATGAAACATTCATGTGGACAATTGAACATGATGTAATGGGACATTACAGCGACACACTAAATACGCACAGTGAGGCTTTTGGCGATTTTCTATCAAATTAGCGCATTAATGCTAATTGATTGTACCACTTGCTGTGAGTACGGAGCGCCCCAAACGTCCCATGACTAAAGTACTAATTCACAGAACTTCTCAATTTACTTGTGAAATGGTAATTGGAGTACATAAATTCTGATTGCATTCAATAATGAATCCTAGATATGTCACACGACTCATTGAACCGATGATGCCATCCATTCTATATTTCACCAGAGCGAAGCAGAAGTTTTCGCGAAATCTTTTCGCTGAGAGTGAATGAATTTATGGGTGATGACGTATGTTTGAGATGACAGAGTAAACTAAAGTCACATTTTTGTGGACAAAAGATCATATTAATTATTACCTTCATCAGAATCAACATCAGGATCCATATCTTTGTGTGCAGAATACACAGAAAAGCAATATTGAGATAAATACATTAATACATCACAGCATGTTATGAACATATGAACATTGAACAAAGTGATAAAGTGGCGCGAATATGCCACAAAAGTATGGTATATAGAGCTATAATGTGGCAAGTGTGAATTTTGTGGGTGTAATTTTGTTAAATAATTTCAGCAACATTGTACAAAGTAAGAATAATGAGTCCTCAACGTGCACTCTTGTATCTTTTTACTCATGAGTGCATTCTTGATGATGAAATTGCCAACCTTCAACTTTATTGAGGAAACAATTAGCACTTTTTCACAGTATCGCATCAAATTAAATGAATTTTTATGAGACACTTTTCGTGGTGGTTCCACAGTTTGTTTTAGCAAGTTCTCTAAACACTTCTTGATTCGCTCAATTGTGTGGAGACAACATGAATTGAGTTTCATATGCAAATTCGCGAGGAATGTATAGTCAAGAGATGGTCTAGAATTAAATTTACCTTCATTGATATATCCGCCCTCCATTTTCCTCGGTGGCATATCTCAGATGTCCCTTAGAATGTTGAAAGGTGACGCACAGCTTTAATTGCACTCTCTCTCTCTCTTCAAAAATCTCAACGGTAATTGCCACTCGGTTGTTCTTAAGCCACACTTCTTAATTGGCCAGATCTTGACGATATTCTAATTACAAATGCACATCATCTAGAAATGTTTGGGAGAAAAGGAAAGAAAAAACACTGAATGAATTTATGCTGTCACGAATCCGCTCTTTTTACACATTTGTGAATGACTTTAATGATTTAATATCGTGTCTTTTTTATGTGTATCCACTCAAGTTGGGCAACACATGTGTTTACGACGAATTAACGCATTTCACTGCAGAAAGCCGCAAAATAATCACTTTAATACCCGGCGTTTCTGACACAGAATCGACTCGACAGAAAAAAAGCTGTGAGAAGATGAAATTTTGGCACAAAACGCTGGTATTTAGAGCACATGTTGGGGAGAAATATTGCTTTTGGCTCAAGCATCAAGTATAATCAAGATTATAATCAGTTCAATCGCACAGCGCTGTGCTTTTTCTGCTCAGAACATAAAGGTATATATAAGACACGAATGCTTAATTCTTGTATCATCATAGAAATATGTCTTGAAGTAAGACATTCCACGATAATATTTATCATATGATGTAGCAGAGAATTCAGAGTGTTATATGGAACTGGATATTTATGCTGATCGTCTCACTTTCGAGTATCACTCACTTTTAATTTGCATAAACGAGTCTCAGAGTACATGAGAGGACGAAATGCGCGAATTAAAAATAACTGCTGTCTCAGATTTATTTTTATTTACTATTTATTCGTGAAATTGTCGAGACGGAAGACAACACTCTGCCGAATCAATTGGTGTATTGAGTGCTGGGCAGTAACACTCGAGGACTCTCGGGCAAATTATTGATTCTTTGTTGCCACATAATCGAAAATTGAATTGAATCATTGACGACAACAGAATAGAAACAGTGTAGAAGAAATGTGTCAATGAACTCGCATTTGTAGCTTCTCGAACGCTTTTAGAAGTAACAATTTTCAGCAAATTATTATATCTCCGCTCTTGAGTGACTTTTCGCAGCATTTCGCAACGTGGTGGCTAGAACTCATTAATATTTTAGCATTAAATTGAAAGCGAATGTAGGTAAAACGCCTGCGAATTCTTCCCCACCGGCAAATGAACTCCAGTCATGCAAGACTCTCCATATTTTCCTTAAAGGCACATAAATTTATCGCCGAAAAAATCGTCTGAATAAGGCGATTAAATTGAAAATTAAGGTTCGCTGCTGCCCACTTGAGTGAACACCGAAAGACGCGATGGAAAGTGATAGAAAAGAAAATTTACTGGCGAGGTAGTCAAATTGAAATCAACACTGGCACGTTGAACTTGTAAATTGTTTCTGCTCCACTCTCGCGGTGCAATCAGGCACAGTTCAGAATTTGGAGAAGGTGATGAAAAAGATGTGGAAGAACACAGAAATATTCTGATGCTGCACAAGAACACGAGAATCGTGTTTGGATATGGGGTTGGCAAAAGGTCAGAGTTAGACACAACACTGGCCGCAAACTCAGCGGCGAACGCGCGACCGCGACCGTTTCTACCGCACAACTGATTCCGACGAGGGGCACAATTCAACTGAGCACTGTGGATTTCAGAACCTCGAAACCCGATGCCAACCAACACAAATTATTTTATAGCGCGCCAGACATACTCGCACAGCCACACGAAGCCAAATGGGAGTCATTCTTTCGGGCAACACGCGTTTCATGTAAAAGTGAATTAAAATATTGCTCTCTGGGTGGATTATTTAGAAAGGTACGGAAAAGTATGCGAATGAGTGCCAGACTTGTGAAAGTTTTGATCCTCCCAGATGGGGATTCTATATATACAGCACAGTTCCACATGTGATATTTTTCATGGCCCCAGTGGCGGAAAGATGTGCTTTCAATTGTAAGAAATTGATTATTGGCGAGAGGATAAAATACAGGAGCGAATTAATTTTTATTGGATATCAAGAAGTACGTACATATTATCTTGTCAATTCATATGTTAACATTCAAGTTCTCTCAATGGGAGATGAACTTCTGATTGAATCATAACATTTTCACATTATGCCGTCATGGTAATTCAATTTACCATTTTCAGTAGCCCATAAATCCTGAAAGGAATTTAGAGAACTCAATAGCCGGGATGCGGGTGGTTTAATTACTTTCCAATTGTTGAGAATCTCACCCTGATTTATGGGATTATCCCGAGAGTCAGAAGGTTAACAATAACTCTGATCAATTGCTGTGAATGGATCAGTCGGGGCACAAATTTATCCATCGACAATTAAATCAAACATTGTGGACGCGCAGATGAAGCCGCTCAATGGTGATTGCCGAGCAGCTGCCTCCTTGTACCGCCAATCCTGATGAATTCTGGTCTGCCTGTGTGGGATGAAATCATGCCATGACTCTCATATGGGTCGGCTGGCCGGCTGGCGTGATGTTAAATTAGGAGAGGCGAATTATTTGGAAGCAGACGATTGAGAGGAGCAACAAGAAAACACTTTAACACCGTTTGAGCCAACGTGATATTCGTGAATGCAGAGTTTGTCCTTGAGAATGGCTCACCAAATCCCATAAATCTTCCAGTTTCATGCTCCAAAGCATCTCTCTCTCTTGGGACAGTCAAAGAGCTAGTGGAATGCTGGTGGTGATGGCGGTAGTCTTTAAGTCTCTTCCATACTTGGTCAATATTGCTGTTAAATTTTTAAATGAATTTAATTTAATTAGCTGTGTGTGCACGATAATTCCAAGCATTTCTCCGGCGAGCTGAATAAGATGGAATTTACACTGAGAGGCATGAGAAACACCCAGCATTTCTACTCAATTCAATCCTCCATCGGCGGTGCGGTGTTATTGTTTATGTGGCGTTCTTGTTAAAATTAAAATAATTTTCTAATTTTAAAACACATTTTCACGTATTGAATCCCACTTTCTCTCTCGGCTTTTCTCACTTGAACATTGAGGAAGCGTTATATTCATGACTAACAATAAATTCCTGAGAATATCAAGATATTCCAGATTTTAACCCAAAAACAAGATAAAAAAAAAACATGAAAATGTGTTGAAATTTGCTACATTAGATTAATCTGGATTGATTCTTGAAGAGTCAAAATCGCATTATTGACTTGAAAACAATCTTGAAGACGGTTCATGAGAGAATTGCAGAGGACATACACATCTTCGCCGGTATCGGTGCAGTCAAAGAAAACAATGATTGAGTGTCGGAGTTATTTTAATTCCTCCACATCTGAACAGTCATTCATTGAGTCGCGTTTCCAGAGTCTCTTCTGTTTGGCATCAGAAGGGCGCCGAGGAAGTCGTCCCGTGTCAACGATAAATATCACTAACTATATTGCGAAAAAAATCCTCTCGCATTGTAAACAAATCGTCTTGCATGCCTAATAGAGTCGCAACGTCAAAACGATCAATAATTTCACTATTTTATTGTGCGTTCACATTTCAAGACATGCCATCCATATGGAATTGTTCCTGTTCTCTGCCATATTGCGGAGAATTTTGCCGAGATTATTGGGTTTTTGACTCTGGTTCCCGGAGAAATTTATCACCGCTAAAGTTTGGCGTATGACGAATGAAAGAGGATGTGAGAGCTATTTAATAAATTAGCTCATAGCCATAAAGCGACAAGTATTGTAAAAGTGCTGCAGTCTTCAACTCCCGGAATATTCGTACGTGTGGTTAACAATCAATACGCGATATAAATAACATTTCCGGATGATGTCACTGATGTTTTGTTGTGTCTTGTACTAGATAAAGAGTTCAGTCTTGTAATCATTTCTTTTGGCGGAAGATCATAATGTCAATTTGCACTTTTTCGCAGAAAATATATATGATAAATCGCTAAGTTTAGACAGAACTAATAGGCTTGATATCACTTGATGGAAGAAAACCAACAAAATATGCATTGACGTATAGAAATATTTCCTCTATCAGAACTTATCAACAGAGCTTAGTCATAAATAGTTGTACTGATTTGAGATCAACATGTACTGATATCAGGTGTGATAGCACATGAAAGTGAAAAGTTTTGTAGTCTTACGCCCATTTAGAGCCTCCTCGAACAATGCTCCGTCGCGTTAGAAGAAAATATTCTAGAATATTTAGATACGCTCTTTGTACAAATACTACCGTGAGGATATATGTAAACATTACTGTTTAGAAATAGTGTCATCGCCGCGAGAAAAGTCCACAAATAGTAAATTTTACGACAAGACATAAGACAGTTCCTCACTCTCACAGTCCTTTTGAGGAAAATTAATTAAACCCCACTTCCTTAAGCAGGTGCAAAAATAGAATCTGGACCTTAGATAAAGCACAATCGTTGACTCTCCATAGTGTTCTTCGTGTTCACACTCTCCCCACATCGATTCGGTGAGAGTGTTGTCGTGGGAATTTCTATTTGGGTCACAAGTTCACTATCTTCTTGGTGTATTCTTCGACGCGGGAATAGAAAAATGAGCTTGGGGTTGGCTCGGGCTGTCTCTTCGCAGGCGCCACAAGACCCGAATCTCGCCATAAAAACTATTTCAATAGAGTTTTTCACCCCTCCAAACGAGGTCATTGCGGAAGTGGCTCAGGATGAATCGATTGTGCTGTGTTGGGAGGAAAATGAAAATGTTTACCATCTTTCATTTGTGATTTGAAAGGGAAATTTGGCTCTCGAGCCCCAAAAGCATCGCAATTGGGAGCGCACATGGGGCATATTTTGTGGTATATAACAGACATTTATTACTAATTGTATTTCCTCCCAGGATTGTGTCATGCTGTGGTGAGGTGAGCATTTCTTCTGAGTCACACATATTGCTGAGCTTTGCAATATCAGTTATTTTTATAAAACATCAGCAGATATTGTGGTTTATTTGATCATCGCCAAAGCGAAAGATTTCTCACATTCCAATCCTTACTGCCACAAGTTGCGTCTGCTTATCGTGTGCTTTTTTGTTTCACACTGAGAAATTAGCTCGAAGCTTCATGGTCGAGGGTCCATCAATGTCTGCACTGGAAATGGTAATGTGTCAATTACATTATGATTGAAATCTCCAACAGTGAAGATCGTGTTTTTGGGCCTGAGAGGTCTCTGCCCAAATTACAAGTCAAACATTTGGGTGGCGCAATAGAAGAGAACCGCGAGTGTATGAATAATAAAATAAATAGATTACCAAATGATCTTTTTATGATTATTTTCCCTGTGATTGGCATTTATGACCAAAGATAATATGGAGTGTATGTATTTAAAGCAATTGGGCGGCTTGTGTCAATATTAACATAAGCATCAAAAAGTGTTTATTAATAAATTCAGAAGTCACATTGTCCGACCCGAGCTCTCACCATGACGTGATTGTGAGTTAACAGTCACACTGGTAGCGAGGTGGGTATTTGGTCTTAAAGAAGCCACGCCACATGATGAGCAATTGTGTAAATTTTGTGAACTAATCTAAATTCTGTAGGTGGTGCCTTGACAAAAGATCCTCTCTTCTGGAAACATCGAATCAGTCACAGAGTGCAAATACTCAAAATTGGCCCCTTCTGGCGGATGAGTTTGAAGTTGAGAGTATTCTGCCCTTGACATTTGCATACGAATTTGCCTAATCCAATACGACAATAGAGTTTTTCCATCGATGAGTTTGAATCGCCAGTAAAAATATTTTTCTACGTTTTTATTGTCAAAAGGCATAACTTTTTATCTAAATATACTTCTAATCTCTGCTGTGGATTATGCAAATGGTCCATTAAAATAATAGATCGCTACACATTCATCACGACCCCGCGCGATGCTCTTTTCCCGATAGATTCCTATTGAGAGGCGATTTTGAAATATTTGCTTCTCCTCCGGGATGGACTGGAAAAAGAAACAAGCTCAGCGCCGTATGCACTTTTTTACAGCCTCCGTCTTTTTGTATCTCCGTCTTCTTTTCATATCGCAGTCCTCTCTTGATGCACATACGTTAAGTCAAATTTCCGAGCGCAAAAACAGTGAATGAAGCCATCATCAAGTTTATATCTACCGCACGCAATGCGGTGGGAAGCTGAAATTCCATATGAAAGCGGCTGAGAAGAGATTTTTGATTATAAATCACATCACTTATCTTGCAATTTAACCACAAGAAGGGAGCAATTTCGGCATTAAATCACATTTAAGGCTGAGAAGCGAGACACCTCGTAGAATGTAATTCTAATCAGAGTGAATTGGCAGTATTTAAACAAGAGGTGTTGAATCTCACATGAGTAATTAATTGCATAAATGCAAATATGCTGTACAATTAGATGCCAACTTGTGCACACAATCTGTGCAGTATTTCAATAAATATTGAGACTTTGAGTCACAGACCCGGAAAGAGCCTGGCAAACATCGAATCGATTTCAGTCTGTGAGCAAAGAAAGCTATAGAAATGTCCCCATGCCAATCTGTTGATTCGTTCGCGGTCTATTTCTCTCGTCATTTTGTATTTTTAGCTGAACTTGCTACAATATCTTCGGCTCAAGAAGGGCAACAGGTGGAGTCATCTGAGTTATTAAGCGAGACGTCACAATACCAATCCTCCATCGACTTAGAGAAATATTTCAACTATTAATAAATGAAATGGTCTATTTTGTGTCATGTATAACGATGTCAGGCACAAATTAACAAAGTCCTAAAAAAATCAAGATATGTAGAAATACAGTGGATGATCTATTAGGTGAGATACTTCCCACAAGACCAGACAGCATTCAATAATTTCCTCAGCGTAAGAATTTGTTTGGCACCAAAATAGCTCAGACTCAGCACAAAACCCCAGAACAAAAAAAAATTAAAGCAAAATATTACAATGATCTCTAACATGAGATGATTTATCTCCTGCTCTTCCCATGCAAGTATTGAATTGCAGTATTCCTCCCTCTCTGTGCCGCCTTTGTTTCCTTTTCTTGTCCATATGTTGTGGAGATACAAGAGAATGTATTTTTCTTGAACTGCATAGAAAAGCACATAAAAAAGGGAGAGCGAAGCTACAGATAAATCCGATCGATATGCAATTGTGGCGTGTGATGAAGCGGAAAGTATAAAAGTGTGCATAGAACAGAGAGAGACTAAATTGGAACTTAACATCTGCATGTTGGAAAAAGGGTTGTGTTTAGGAGGCAAAGATCAACATATACAAATCCGGATATTGCAGTGCTACATACGTCATTTTATTGGTGAATTCCGTGGGATGATTTCGATTTCGTTCATCTCTAATTCTGTCACATAAACACACATCTTCTCGACAGAGTGAAACCCAATTTTTCCTCTTATTTATTGGCTTGAGCGGAATGTGAAATTTGAATGCAATCTCCTCTAAGGTCTCCTCTTTTGGTGCCACATAGTCTAGAGACAGAAGCATTTATAGCATGACACACAAAGGTTTCTCTGCATAAATCAATCTCCACTTTCATTGAGGAGGCACTCTCTGAATAGTTGCTGTTTATGCAGAAAAAACATACCTCACAAGGACATTGGTCTCGAATTTCAGGATGTCGTAAAATATATTTTGAATAAATATGTGATATTCAGGACACTCTGAGCCTCACTTCGCCTCGACAAAATCCAGCAACGTGACCGAGAGTGTCGACACTGCATTAGTGCAGTGTTTGTAGTCCTCTTGTCGTGTCCGCAAATGAATGAATTAACGATGAGAACGATGGTAATTGAATTGAATCCCACTCATTCATATCCAGACGCGATGAGTTTATTCATTGAAGTCTCGCGCCACGAATTTGCCGCAAATTAGGCAAATAAACTCAGCATCTTCAGTTTGAAGATTATTTTCAACTGACAGGCCATCAATCATTCACGAAAATCCACTCAAATGATATGGAACAAATTGCTTCTTCTCTGATTCAAAGTGGATAATTGGCTGAGGAAAATACGCTAATTAAAGAGATTTCTTTTCAATTGCCTGACAAATTTTTTTCCCCTCAGTCAGAATGTGAGAAATTTGTCGCAGAAACTGATAAATATTTATGGCAGCAAGTGTGACGCTTCACTGCACGTGTCCTCATTTCTTTCACCCAATACGCAGAAAGGATATCTCAAAGGATGAATGACATCAATAAATTAGTTCCCTTCAGTTGCTCACAAAACAGCGCAATAAGGCAGCAAAATATCGTGATTCTGTAGTGAAGTTTGCCACCAATAAATCACACTGTCGGATCGCGGCGGCGATTGAAGATTGCGCACTCAATTGGGAGACACTCAATGTGATACATAACGACTGTTTCCGATTCATCTGCAAGGTGTTTCACTTCAACAGAGTATCTCCACGTCACATTTTGGGTGGGATAAAAAGAATTGTGAAAACAACTCTGAAATAATAAAGGGATCCTATTTTGTTACAAAAATTTCTGGCGTGAAAAAGTGTCTAATAAAAGAATACATGAGATGTCAGAAAAAAATAGGCTGAAATTCAGTTCCAATTCTAAAGTTTCTAAATTGTGTGAAAAAGACGTTGGAAGTGGAGAAGAAAACAGAACAGAGAACAGCCACGGCTGTAGCTGAATAGAAGTAAAAAAAAACATTGTAAAAACAAAAAATATCAAGCAGTTATTTGTAAAAGATAAATTGAAATGGCGAGTAAACAAAGAGATTCCTAAATTTTTTCAGGAAACAGAAAGAATTTTTCTGCAACAACGAACTCAATACTAGAATAATTTTTCAATATACCAAATGATATAAATGAATAATAAGTACGCCATCAATTCATTTGACTCACAAGTATAAAATTCATTCTTTTGACCCAACAACGATACGATATTGTGCCATCTTGAGGATGAGCAACATTAATTGCCTCAAGATTCATGATAGCAATAATTTCGAAGGCAATGCGATCTAGAAAAAATATAATTAATGTATTTTATTTTCAATTTGACGGTTTCACTTCTTAAAAAGCACATCGGATTGCGTCTGGAGAAGCGATTAGGCCTCCTCGGGAAGATTGCCTTTTGATAAAATAGTAGCGCAATTGAAATTTTTATGAGATGAAAAATATTGTTGTGATTTGGGATTTATTATAGTGTGGAGAGTTGTCAAATGCCATGGCAATCCCTTCGGCAAGGAAGATCTTTGTGGGGTAAATTCATTTTTTTTGTTATTGCTCGCGCTTCCGATTGTTATTTTCCCACAATTCACCGCCTCGCTCCATGAGATGCAATAAATTAACCCATAAAGTGTGTTCCTCTTTCCATGGACGCTCCTTCAAGCGAGATCCCTCGCAAGATCCCCGATTAATCTTTCAGTGAAACAATTACGTAAAGTCAACACCAGGCCAATGAGAGTCTCTTTGAGACGACACAACGAACGCCTACCGAAAAATCTTCCACATCCAATTGGACATTGCGTCTCCCGATGCCGATGGATTTCGAAGAGAGTCTCAGAGATTAAAGAGACAACGCTGTCGAGATGCTGAGCATTTGCATAGAGTCGCTGATCATGTGAGGATCGGTTTTTGTGTCACTCTTCTCGAACCTTTTTTTTGTGTGTGAAGAAAAATGTTTCATAAGTCGGAATCGAGTGAAAATTTTGTGTCCTCTTCGAGTTCAGCGAATTTCATGCAATCTCCAGAGAGAAATTTGAGATTCTTCTATCCGTCGTGCGGACAAAATACGGATAAGATTAATCTCTTGAATTACTACAGTGTCTTCAACAGTTTCAATTACAATTTCGGCAATTTAACCGATCGCAATTATTTCTTATCCGCATTCAACGGAGCCGCAGTGGATCCCGAAAGAAGTGCTCTGCCGAGTGAAGGTGTGGCAAACAGTGAGGATATCTTAAAGTTCATCCCAAATTCTGAGCCAATGTTCAATTATGAGTTTGATGTGCCTGAGAACAACTACCAAAGATCGACAAATAATTTGTTCAGTGAAATTACGCCAAATGCCAATGAAAGCAATTCTTCACCACAATACTGGACCACCGAAGACCACTTATCTAACGATGAGTGTGAAATGAGAGATCTAATCCCTAAAGATTCGAGCTTGCCAAAGGAAGAATCATCCCAAATGGAGATCAAAAAGGCCAAAGGTAAAATCGCAAGATTCTGCTGCAAAAACTCCCTCGTAAAATACAGAACAATTACGTTTCATTGAGTTATTTGCTCGCAACTTGTTTACTTGCCATCGCATAATTATGTGCCATCATTAAAAAGTATCACTCGATTGCGATGATTACAATCAGATGCGATTTGAGTTAAATGATTCAACACTTGTCGGTGCCTTTTTGCTCTGCGAACGGACTCAAACTGAAGGAATCACTCTTGCTAATGTTCGTTCACAATTTTACGACCATGTATCGTAGAAGCGAGCAGACCGCCAGTGAATCGGAAGGAGCGGACAGCATTCACAAAGTCGCAGGTCAGAGAACTGGAGGCGGAATTCAACTACTCCAACTATTTGACCAGATTGAGGCGATACGAGATCGCCGTGGCTCTGGATCTCACCGAAAGACAGGTGATTCTTACGCTCTCAACGAGCGACAATTGGCGAAAATATTTCTATTCCTCTGTTTTCAGGTGAAAGTGTGGTTTCAGAATCGACGCATGAAGTGGAAGAGGGTGAAGAATGCCTCGAAAGAAGGCCCTTCATCATCGAGAATTGCCGAGACGGAGGATTCTGCCGAATAAGCACTAATTTATTATAAAAATATAACTCTATCGATATATTTATTTAGACAATTTTCTTACTTTTCTTACCCGCCATCTTTTGACCCACTTTAATCTTCAACCCCTTTTTAGCGTCCTTCTTCGGGGAATCAACTTTCTTGGGCTTAATTGGAGCCAATTTTATGGATATTTTCTTCTTTTTAACCGCGCTTTTCTTCGGACTCTCTTTCGCCTTCTTTTCCTCCTTTACTTTCTTACTTACCACAGCTTTCTTCGCAGTTTTCGCTTTGGCAGGCTTCACGGGAGACTTCTCAGCTTTATCTTTTTCCACTTTTTTCGTCTCTTTAGGCTTCTTCTCAGTTTTCTCGGTCTTTTCATGAGTCTCGGGGTTTTCCTTAGCCTTCATTTTTGGCTTTTTCACCACGCTCTCGACATCAAAGTCAATTCCTGCCTCGGACAGCTGATGTTTTTTCCCCTGCACTTTCTTCTTCAGTCTCTCTTGCCGCCTCTCAATCCTCTTCGGCGTGGGCTTCGAGTTGTGGCTCTGAATAGCCCCTTTCCGGCGAGCATTAGTCGACGACAGCACCACTTCCTTGCCGTTCTGCATCTTCACTTTCACGCGACTGTGCATCAAGCGAGGCGTCACCTTCTCTGGCGGGATGTACTTGGTCTTCAAGATGCTCTTCATTAGAAGATAGTTGTTCATCGTATCGGCGGCAATCTCAGCCACTTCCGCAACTCTGAACTCGACATAGCCCACACCAGTGCTCTTCCCAGTTTTCAGCGATCTGGCCACCCGCACGCGGTTCACGACCCCGAATTGCTCAAAGAACGCCTTCAGTTGCTCCTCGAAGAACCCATGAGGCAGGCTTCTGATCTGGACAACACCGCAATTGTATGGTTTCGCCCTTCGTCCGGAAACCTTGGTAAGTTTCTCAGCTGCCGCGGTTTCTGTGACATTTTCTTCAGTTTTCTCGGTTTTCACCTCGGCCTTCTGGTGAATCATGGTGAAGAATAATGTTAGTTAAAAGGTGAGACAACTACTTAGCTGAACAACTTACGATTTTGCTCTTCTTCACGGGTTTTTCCACATTGAAGCGCTTGGAAATTCCCTTCAGTTTCTTTGGCGGTGCCTGAGGCTCCTTTTTCACTTTCGGCTTCTTCTCCACTGCATCCTTCTTCTTGGGAACCGTCTTCTCCAAGGTCTTGCTTTTCTTCACTTTAACAGTGGTATTTTTCTTAATTTTGGCAATCATTTTCACCAATTTACAAATACTCAGCAGCGTGGTTTTTCCAACATGCGGCAAATGACAGTTCCGCTTGGAAGCCTTCCAGTGGCATCGGGTCACACTGGAAGTTGCGGGAAACATCGAATGGAAGTAATTGAAAAGTAACGAGATTGCGTGCAAATATTTATTGAAGATCTGGTCACTCCTGGAAGTGAGAATCTGAGCAGAACAATTATTAATTATCCTTGTCTGATGTGCCAGAAGGCAAAGGAAGGTGCTGACGATCGCTCTCCCTGAGAATTCCCATCGGTAAAAATCCAAGAAGCTCCGTTGCGTGCTCTTTGAGCATTTTAATTCTTTCCTCTTCAATTAGTTGTTGCCTAAAAATTAGGAACTTTTTAGTAATCCCTTCAGAATTTTAGATAAAAATCACTTACATTCTCTCCTCCTCTTTCAGACTCATTTCCTTCTCCTGGATGGCCAGAGATATTTCCCGCTGATGACGCTTTTTCCTCTCAGCCAGGCCTTCTTCAATAGCTTTCCTGTGCTCCAGCTGTTTCCTGCGCTTAGCCTCCTTGGTCAGCTGCTCCAGCTTGTCCTGCTCAGCCAGGATTTTCATTTGTTCCTCTCTGAAGCGATTCTCCTCTTCTTTGGACTCTTGCACACGCATCCAGCGCTCTCGGCGCTGCTCGTCAAGGATCATGCGCTCATGAATGCGCCTCCTGAGTTGCCTCTCCATTTGTTCTCTCAAGTTCTTCTCCTCGCGTTCAGCCATTTCCTTCATCCGCAGTTCTATAATCACCTCCTCGTGCTTCTGGGCATTTTCCTCAATGTCAATGAGTGTTTTAGCGAGTTTTTCTGTGATTTTCTCCTTCTCACACCTGTCTTTGATTTTCTTCTCTTTCTCCTTCTGCACGAGTTCATCCTTCAGCTCAATGTACTCAACAATTCTCTTGTTCTCATCTTCATTCAATCTTCTCTGCTTCTCCTGAAACACCTCTTTGTTTTTCCGGAATTGTTCCAGTTCAGATAATGCTCTTCGCTTTCTTATCATCTTCAATCTCAATTCTTCCATTTGTTCCTCGTAAATTTGCCTCACAATCTCATCGAGATACTGCTTCTCCTTCAGGAACTCCACATAGAGAATCTTATTCCGCTGATGAGATGTCTCCATTTGATTCCTGAGCTCATCTCTCAGGGTCAGTTTCTTCCTCAGCTCGCGTTCCCTCTCTTCCTCCAAGGATTTTTGCACCTTTTCCAGCTCTCTGTCCATGAATTCCTGCTCCTTCTTTACTTGCAGCTTCCTCTGGTACTTCTCGATATCCTTTTCCGCCACCTGAGCTGCCAGCTCCTTGGCCACGTACGCCCTCCTCAGCTGTGCCTCCAATTCCCTCAGTTCCTGATTGCTCTCTCGCAATTGTTGTCGCATTTTTGCTTCGCAGATCCTCCGTCGCTCCTGTTCATGGATTTCCTGTGCTTTTCTTCGACACTCTTGGTCTTTTTCCAGTTCTCTTTGCTTCTTGACCTCGTCCTGAATTCGCTCGTGGTCAAGGAAATTCCTCTCCTCCCGGTATTGGCGCTGAAGACGCTTCTCCTGGGCATTTAGGTCAATCCTGCACCAGTCACTGGCATTGTTTGCGGCACTTCTCTGGGAATTCACATCGCTTAACAATTTATTTCTGTGCAATTCACGGAATCGCGACATTTTTGGAAAAAAGGGGAAATCGGTTTGTTTGTAAACAAACTGCTTGACGTCCACCGGCTGCGTATATACGAGCTTATCAATGGATTCCATTCGAAGGCACACAATTCCATTTATTTGGCCAATGTTCTGTATTGTATTTGTGTGAGTCTACTGTTTGCTCACAAAATTATTGATATAGCACGAATTAGTCGACTTTCTTCAGTTTTTCCTCGACATTCGCTGTTTGCTTTAGAGTTTACCAGCGGCTGCGTATCTGACGAAGTCGGATCGGTTGACCAGGCGCCTCCACTGCGCCGGGGGGTTGCGAAGCCTCCCGACGCGGAGAAAGCTCTCTCTTCTCAGTCGTTTAGGAGCCAGCGCGTGAGATGGTCGTGTGAGTGCTGCGTGCGCGGGTGTCAAGGCCACTGGAGCAATCAACGATCCGTGAGACAAAAACACAGCGAATCCGAAGACATATCATCAATCAACAAGTCCATTAATCCGTGTAGCTGATAGATTTAGCCCGGGATGTGCTCGGTGGAGGCGCTGGTGCGTGCCCTGGTGGACGTCTCGGAGAAGGCGGCGAACGTTGCTCGGCTGTGCCGCCAGAATGGGGACATCTTCCAGCTGCTGGTGGCCGAGAAGTCCCCGGACGAGGCGAATCCTCGCTTCGTGCAGGACTTCAAGACGCTGGCGGACGTGCTGATCCAGGAGATGGTGAGGCACGACATCGGCAAAGCGGTACGCATAATTTGATTTAATTCTGGGCACCCCGATCGATTCGCGCCAGGCGTGCTCCAGCTGGTGAGGAATTACGTAATGAGTGCCACCCTTTTGGCATTCTTCTGGCTCACCCCATCCCACCCTGGCGTGGGTCGAATTTCTGGGCGGTCGTCTCAGATGTGTCGCAATATTGACGTGCCTCTCTCTTTCGCGCACACACGCCAGTTTCCGGACATGAGGGAGAACATCCGCGGCGAGGAGAGCTCCACATTCACCAATTCTCTGGGGGAGACAATTACCGTGCAAGTGGGTGACAGCCTCGAGGAGACAGCAAATCTATTAGAGAAGGTATTCATCTATGCCCCATTTTTTCCACCCTTCCCCAGCCGCTCGTCGTGCGCTTTTTAATATCCGGAAACCCGAGAGAGGCTCAAGGCTATTTGCACAGACCTATATTTAGGCAACACATAAGAGGCACGAGCACAGGAGACGCTCTGCTGTTATCTCCTGGCGGCACCAGACCACCCTCAACCAGGACACGCGGAGGAAGGAATCCGTCTGAAGGTCCCCCGCACGCTGGCGCTAATTCATACGGAATTCCCCTGTGGCAAATGTACTTCCTCCCATGAGCGCCCATTCTATTTCTGGCATCTGCTCGACTGTTTACCAGAAGATACACACAATATTCCATCAAACTTCGCGCCACTCTTGCAGTATCATCTCTTCTCACGCGATTTGGGGCTCAACTTGTGGGTGTGATTATGCAATAATTGGAGAGACGCGCGTCTGATGCAATTGAAGGCAGGAAGGGCGACTGGTTCCGCGATGAAACATTCATGGGCGCGACGGTGTTTCGCGATGCGCTGTTTTTATTTACACCTCAGAACACTTTAATATTCATGAGGGTGTCGGGCAGCGAGGGTAAAGGATGACTCTTGGCTCCCTGACTTGGTACACATTTTGGTGGATTTCCAAGAAGAGTCTTGATGGATGAGTGAAAAATTCAGGCTCATTTATGAATGATTGAGTGATAAGACAATGTAATTAAGTTTTATGGTGATTTCAAAGAGTGTTCCAGTTGAGGTGGCGTGAAAGAAGGGCACAAATGCGGGTCCTGTTCTGATTTGCTAACACCCAATATTTGTCCCTCTTTTGTACAAATATTTCTCTTCACCTCTCCTCTGTGTGACCCTGAAACATTGGAACTGTTAAATTACGTTTTATGCTGAGAATGCTTACAATACGAAATGACGCAAACACATTTTACATTGGATGCCCTAATTAATTTCCCCAACACGAGAAGTGCACAAAGGCAACAACCTCTGGATTACTCTTTGACCTTAACTCCGTAACTCTAGTCTAATAGGTTTTGCTCTGCTTCGTGCTGTTGTTCTTCCTGGAATCCTTTGTATCATCCCTTGTAATCATCTTTAAAAAAAAGAATACTTGCGTACACAACACGAGAATAATATAAAATCGATATTTTTTATCATCAAGCGCTTTTAGCGGGATTTATACAATATAATCCATACTTGACAGACAAGCGAATTTTCCGTAATCTTTTAGTTACAATATTCTTTGACCTTTTGTCACATTGTGAACTACACTTTCGAGGCTATTTTTAAGAGGGTGGTGTGAAAGTAATGAAGGGCAAAAATGTCAAAGATCGATTGAGAAAATCACAAAATTCGCTGATTAAGCTGAAAATTCTGAGGGTATTGAAAAGTATTCATCACTTGTGGCCACATGAGCTTTCATTGCTTAGCATCTCTAAAGTAATTTGGACTAATGTCTGTCAGAATGTCCGATGATGGTAACTATAGTGGAAAATCCTCTATAGTTTGCTACTTCTAAAACAAGCGAATTTAGCATAAATGGCATAAACTCTGCCAAAGTTTTCCACTCGCTTCAGGGTTGTATCTCGAATGTTCGCTGGAAAACTTGCTGGAAAATTCTTCACGGCCTGAACAAGACATTAATAAAAGTGAGGAATTGCCTCGGGTTTATTCTAACTTTGGACTCCAACCGAATAGCGAAAGAATTAGAAATTGAAAAACCTCTGAATCCACATTTTTTCTCCTTTTTTGGGCTAATGTGGAAAATGTACGACTAAAACCTTGTAAAACTTTGTAGATTTAGTTCAAAGATACAATAAATCTTTTCTTACAATATTGAATAATTTGATCTACCATCAAAAGCTTTTATTTAAGTTTACATCTTTATGGAAATTCTGACTAAAGTTAAAAGTTAAACATCAAGTCCGTGGCGAAAATTGCCTCACTCTCCTATATATTTTAATGAAATTTATACAATATTGGCGTTTGATTTGCCAATGAGTTTGTATTTATAAACAAATATCTCGAAGAACGCGAACAACCATTCTTTCCCTTTGGAATTAAGCCATTTTAGACCCTCGAGAGAACTTTCTTAAATAACATTTTTCCTATTTCAGACGTGAGAGCGGTCTTTGGATGCTAAAGTTTGCTTCTGAGTTCTATTTTTGCAATATGAGCTTTCCCATATAACTTCCGACAAAGTTTGGGAAGAGAATTCTCAGCACATTCAACATGTTATGAATCTGCGGGGTTTCCCAAGATGTGAGGTAGGGTTTCTTATATGAGGAAGGAGAGAAAAGAAATCACATATGCGGCATAGGCAAATCGATTTTTCCGACCGCCAACCAATAACCACATCATTTACGAGAGGAGGCTTCTTTATTTCACTGTAATATATCGCTTGATAGTGGCTTTTCCACTTCATCGACGCAATGGCACCTCGAATTCCCAGTTAAACTTGTGATTACGCTCACAAATCACACAGTGAGGACAAATATTTGCATAATTCACTGTACACATCGTGGGGAGCATTGCGATCGGGGGAGTTTGATTGAGCCGTGTAAAATACCCCGTAATTACCTATTGATGAAAATTTAATCCCCGCCTAATCCTCCCATGTGACCCCTGATTGAGGGCTCGGCGTGCACGTGTGAACACGCGCCTGTCCTGCACTGTCGGAGCTTCAGGCACTCGTGCGGCGAGGAGTGCCGCGCACGTAATCTCGGGCGGAGTCTCGTGGGGTTGGGGGTGTTCCTTTCAGCAGATGAGATTATCTCATGAATCTTTTATGACTTTCTCTAGGTGTTGAATGGGAACAAATTGGTGGCGGATTTGCTGGCGGCTGAGGTTCACCGGAGTGTCGTCACGGACGAGGCGCAGAGCATCGAAGGCGTGGAGGGCGAGATCTCGCCGGCGGACGTGGGCATCTGGGTGGATCCCATTGACGGCACGGCGGAGTATGTACAGGGAAAGGCGCGCGAGACGGCGGTGCCGGGCATCTGGGCGTCTGGTCTGCGCTGCGTCACCGTCCTGCTGGGTGTGTTTGAGATTGAGTCCGGCCGACCGATCGTTGGGGTGATCAACCAGCCATTCCTCACCGAACTGGAGGACGGCGCGTTCAGCGGGAAGATCTTCTGGGGCGTCGCCATGGACGGTGTGAAGCGCACCAACATCCCACCGAGAGAGGACGTGGCGGGAGGGCGAAAGAAGGTGGCCATCCTGTCGAGTGCGGAGAACAAGAAGTACATCTACTACCTTAGGGACACGCTGGGCTACAGCATTGTGTTCTCGGCGGGGGCCGGCCACAAAATCCTCAAGCTGATTCAGGGCGATGCTGATCTCTATCTCGTGAGCACTGGCTCCACATACAAATGGGACACTTGCGCTCCGCAGGCCATTCTCAGGGCGCTGGGCGGCGGACTCATCAATCTGCAGGAGACCATCGATACGAAGACCGTGGTTGAGTTGTCGTACGCTAAAAGCTCAGGGAAATGCAATATTGGGGGTGTTTTGGGATTCCGAACACACACTCAACTCATGGAGTTCAGTAAATTGCTGTAAATTCTCACCACTGTGGTATACGAAGCATTTTATTCTTGTAGCGACGTCCACAGCATACAATGCTGGGGTGATTCTGTGAACACATCTCTCTTTTTGATGGGTAGAAAAAAAGCAGGAAAATTGTAAATTAGCAGATCAATCATTTTCTGATGTGTTTTAGACGTCCATGGTGGCAAAAGGATAATAATTCATAGAGAGCAAAAAATGTGTAATGTTGTAATATTGTGTTGTGTGTTCTATGGAAGCAAATGCAATTATGTAAAATAGACAATAGAGTTTATGTGAGGCACAAATGCGGTGTCTTTTCATCCAATTTCGTTACGGAGATGCTCGCTTCTTGCCAGGAAATTGATATCAACCGTGGGAGCGTCGCGAAAGCGATATGAGGTGCAAAACTCGCTTGAAAACCGACGAAACAAGTGCAATTTTCCCATCAGAAACTCTTGTGGCTTGGCAGGAAATTTGTCACAAGGTATGAATGTTAGTTTATACGGTTTGTACAGACAAATTAGCAACTTTTTAATTGATTACCCTTAATGGCTTCCAGCAATTAATGTGATGCGCTGTTCATTGCTTTAATTCAATTAGCTTTGCGTTGGTTAACTTTTTCCATAAAAAGTAATAATTTAATTTGCTTTAAAAATGAGAGGAAAACAGAAATTTAATTATAATTTTTCTCTTGGCAATTATCGCTATCTCTGGGGTAGAGGCAAAAATTCAAAAAGTCAGAAGCGGGAAAGTCTAATCGGGTGAGATTTTGCTGCCGACCCTGGATTTCGATGTTTCCTCACGAGAACATAGAATTTCAATGGTGTGTCATTCTAGGCTCTCGCAGTGAAGAGATGTGTTTAGTTTTCTCAAAATTTACAATTATTTCTCATATTTATTCCATTTATTTTACGTATTATGAATAGATATTCATACAATACTGGTGAGTGAGTTGCAGTTTGGTGCTTTTCTGTGGTATTTGAGGTGGAAAGCCGATGGAAGTGCGCGGCACCTAAATTGCCTCTTCCGCACCCATAATTGCCAATTAATCCCCCGTGATTGAGCGGAAAGGAGTCCAAACATCCTCATTTTCTCCCCTTGTTGCAGATTCAACCTATCAGGAGCACCAGAGTGTTATGGGCAGTGAGAACATCATGGATGAACTGGCTTCGCTGATTCGCACAGACATTCCGGACGGACGTCAGAACCTGAAGGAGAGCTTCACGAACCTGGAGCGGGTGGCTGAGTACTGCGAAGACACCTACTACAGGTGATTGTGCATGAGGTGCTGAGAGTGGTGAGATTCTAGCTGTCTGATCCGTGTGATTTGCTTTGTAGGTCAGAGAACAAGAAGGCTGCCCTCGAAGAGACGAAGAACTACACGACTCAGTCTCTGGCCAGTGTGGCATATCAAATCAACACGCTGGCCTACAACTATCTCCAGCTGCTGGACCTGCAAGCGCAACAATTAGCCGAAATGGAGTCACAAATGAACCACATTGCACAAACTGTCACTATTCACAAAGAGAAGGTGGCCAGGAGGTGAATTTCAGCAGCTGGAGATTGCTAGTGGGTGGATTTCATCTGTAATGCTTGACTTGTTTTACAGGGAGATTGGCGTTCTGACGGCCAACAAAGTGAATGCGCGCCAGTACAAGATTGTGGCGCCAATGAACCCGGAGAAGCCCATCAAGTACGTCCGGAAGCAGATCGACTACGGTCTCTTGGATGAAATTGGCCACGGAGTGGCCTCAGTTCATGCCGCCATGAAGCAGAAGCATCGAGGTTCCAGTCAGAGTTCCATTCAGTCCATGGGTGTGGTGAACACATCTGTGGGTCCTCCGCCCACGACCAAGCCGCCGACTCCGCCCCAAATGGGTCGCGGCAACACTGGGACTCTGGGAAAGGCTGCCGGAAGCACTGGAACTCTCGGCAAGAGTTCTCGCGAATATCGAACCCCACCAGTTGTCGTGCCGCCTCAAGTAATTACCCTTTAGACACGCTCTTGAACTTCTCTAATCTCTCATTTGGCACAGGTTCCGTCACATTACGCTCCCAATTATCCAGTGGGTCATCCCAGGAGAACGCCAGCGGAGCGCGGGCCAGGCTATAGCGCTCTACCGATGCCGCCGAGCCAGCAAATTGCAACGCACATCCACGCTCCTCAGGTGGGAATGGTGCATCCCATGCCGACGCCGCAAGGATCCGTGTTCGACGACAGGAACAGCATGCCGCGTAAGTGCCAGACAGAGTATTTGTGTCATGGGATTTTCTGCTCACTCCCACGATGCCTTTGCATGATAAAGCAGCTCAGCAACTCGCGGATTATAGCTATATTTAAGCAATAAAGCTGGGAAGTCTAAACTGCTTAGCACACCGCTAAACCACAAAATCGGTGGTTTTAGGAGAATGCTGAATATTCAACTAATTAAGGGGTTTTATTAAATTCCTTTGATGGACTAATTTGCGTAAAAATGATTCGGTGACATTTCACCATAGTAACCTCTTTGCATTGCTTGATTGTAGCACGTGTAATGATTTAATAATTCAAATTTTAATTAAATTAAACATTATTTTCTATTTGTAGGATTCTCTTCTGATTTAGACTCAAAGTAGCATTTGATTTAACATGTGCAAACGCAGAAATATTTATAGATCGTTACCGATTTATTTCTGTGCGCATTCCATATTCATTTATCTCTCGTCTATGCACAGGAAGGCTATTAATATAATTCTTTATTCTGTAACCTTTTCAATAAAAGCGCATTCTTATATACTTTATCTACAAGAAAAGTTTAAAACCGAGCCTTGAACTTTTTCTGTGTCTTGCCGTGGGTTACTGAAGAAGACTCATTAGGAAAAGTTCTGTTAGTGCCGATATAGATTTTTTTGTTCATTGGCGAAGAAGATTTATTACATGAGGCCAAAGTACACAAGCTGAACGTTTTTTTTCTTAGTAATGTTCTTGAGTAAGTTTGAACCGACCACAGGGATGACATGAATTCATAATGATGATCTGAAAGGGTGGGGTTTAAGGAAAGTTGAAGGGTTACTGGTGTAGTGAATTATTCTCGAGAGTAAGGTGTTATTAAATTTTAAGCTCTAATTACAGGATGTTTTCTTAGGAAGTCACGCAGAAAGTACATCCTTTGAATAGATTTAGACGCACGCGTGGGTGTCCCTTTGACGAAATCTCCAAATTTATAGCAATATTTGTGACAAATTCGTCGGGAATTTTGAGTGGGAACTTTCCATGTCCTTGTGTAATGGATATTTTTGTATGTTTGCAAAAGGAGCAAAAAGTCCCATGATATACAATCGTGAGTCAGTCACAATAGCATAAATCATTTGCAATGTGATTTCATGTCGTTCATTAGCGCCTCCCTCACCACTAACTATAACTCATGACATGCCAGATCATGGACATCCAGGTCCCGGACACATTGGAATGCACACGCTGAGTCGCAATCGACCTGGCTCGCAGTCGCCACCCTTGCCGCCGCCTCCGCCGCCAGAGGAGACTGAGCACTCGGACTTTGGTCGGCCGCGCACATCGCAGGGGCCGCTGGCGCCCATTGTGCCCGAGGATCAGAACCTCCCCGGCTGGGTGCCGAAGAACTACATTGAGAAAGGTGAGGAGTCAATTATTTTGCTCATTTGCACGCGTTGTGTGGCAGAGTTCAAAAACAAAATGGGGCGGAGATAAGAGGATATGCTCATAATACAAGAGATGTTAATTAATAGAGAATAATGAGTTACATTGAAATAATGTTTTCAGTTGTCGCCATTTACGATTACTATGCTGATAAAGATGACGAATTGAGCTTCCAGGAGAGTTCAGTGCTTTATGTGCTCAAGAAGAACGATGACGGCTGGTGGGAGGTGAGTAACTAATATTTATCCTCTTCCGTCAAGGGTTCGGTAACAAGATTTGATCACACGTGAAAGGGTTTTGTAATAAGTTAGCAAATAATTAGAATAATAACAAAGAGATTGTGTCTTCTTATGTAACTGATGTTAGGACAAGAGGAAAATTCTTGTTATCGCACTCTGTGTGTAGACTGTAAGCGATGTTATGAGTATGAATCTTGAAAGTGGTGATACGGATGAGAGAGGGAAAAAACGAGAAAATTGGCTTCTGGAGACCAAGTGATGGGCAATGGTGATGTGAATGGCGCGTTGCTAAGGCTATAAGCGTTCCAGGGATTCCGAAAGGAAATATGGAAGTGGAGAAAAATGGCCTGAAAGGGGACGCTTTTGTTGGGCAACAGCACGATGGGACATAGACGAATTACCCTCCACCTTTACACCTTTATTTATGATGAAAGAGTGACTAGACTGAGTGAGAGTGAGTGAGAATTATGGACCGTTAGAACTCTCTACTTATTCTCTTTTTTTTTCTTTATGAGAATTTGCGCATAATGAGTGAAATTGCATTTTTCAGGAGAGCCTTTACTTTTCATTGCGCATTGTCGTGAGATGAAATCCCTGTGATAGGCGGTGAATGGTCAATTAATTTACCTCCTAAAGAGCTTGAGACTTTATGGGATTCGCCGTCCCAATCAAGGCTTGATGATGACCATTATCTTCAGTGTCAATGAGACAATTGCCGCATCATTAACTTCCAGTTTTCACCTTCACAATGGTGCCTTTAATGCTCTCTCTCTCTCCCTTTAAACACTTCCTTGCCCGATTATCCCCATGAGTGCTGAACATCCATGAGGATTTTATGGGGATGTCGGAGAGATTGGAGCGCACATTCAAGTGCTGGTGCGTTTTTTTTGGAAAAAAGTCCCCCACATAGAAGATTAAGTACCTACTTTTATCCACAAAGTACATGTGATAATATTAGAAAGTTGTAAAATTCTATCAATTTAGCTTCCATGGAGAGCAATAAGTCAAGCTGAATGAAAGTGTGATCCTTGGAAGAAGATGAGTAGCGAAGAATATTTCACACAATGAAATAGTATTTTTTTGCTAGGGATTTAAAAGTGAGCTTAATTTTTGAGAAATATCAAGCCAATTGATGATGAGAGTTGGTGTCGTGAATGCAAGGAAATTGCTTTTTCTGCACAGGAAGTGCTCAATGTGTCAGTGGAACTGTGTTATTACCAACTGTTGCTTTCTTTTTATCACCTTTTTCCCCCAGTTTTAATATTAAAATCACTTTAATTTATCAATTTGCACGCCGAGTAACATATTTTGGGGAAATTTTGACTGACATGCTTCTCCCCTTATATTCTGGTAATTTACAAATCCCTTTTTAAACCTAATACACTGTGACTTCAACACCTCTGTGCAAGTATAATATTGAATTGAATACATATATTTGCAAACATGATGATATGAATATTTAAATCACAATATAGAATTAAGAGAGAGTGGAGAATGTAAGAGTCCGGAAAGTTTTTGAGAACGAGAGGGGGATAGAATGAAAAAGTATGTACCTCAGAGGTATATATACGTATATATTTAGAATGTTCGTATTTCGCATTCTATGCAAAATATTTCGTGAAAGCTTTTCATTTTGGGCAACTTCGGTGTGTCTCTGAGGATTTATCCATAATACGTTGTATTCTTTGGAATGCTGATAATTGTTGCTTAAAATCTTCTTCAGATTTGAGTAAGTGTGAGAGGAAGGGAGGCGAAGTAATGTGATAAAATTGATGTGCTGCGTTCTCGGGCTTTTTTGGGTATTGCTTGACTTTCACTGGGGGTTGTTATGGGAAATGGTACGAACTTCCGAGTGGCACATTAAAAATTAAAAGCGTTAGAGAGAATGTCGTGTGAGTTGAAGAAGTGGCTGGGAAGTATTGTGTTTCAATAGGTAGATTATTAAGTGGGTGTGTATATTTCCATTCATGAGCAATCAGAGAGTAGCAAAGAGTGTAAATGTGACATGAGTACCGTATGTGATGGAGTAATTGAGAGTTAGCGTACGCTTTCGACAGTATTTAATGTGATTTATGCATGTACCTCATCTCTCTCTCTCTCCCTTTGTACAGGGCGTTATGGATGGCGTCACTGGATTATTTCCTGGGAATTACGTGGAGCCGTGCGTTTAAGCCTTGAAGCACTCTTGGGGCTAATTTGGTGAGCTATGCATTGCACAGTCTCTGTTTTTCGTTGCAATCAGGTACACGTTTAGTAAATGATGTTTAGGTCAAGCAAAAAATGACTACAATTTGTATTTCTCACTTCTCTGGTATTACCTACAGAAAGCTAAATGTACGTAAAGTATGGGATACGCTGTATGAGTAACTATATTTCTAATGGCTATTACATTTTACTTGGAAATTAAATTGTAGCAAAGAGAAGAGGGCGCGCATGTGTTTGTGCTGTAGATTAATAACCTTTTTGCATTGTTAGGAGAATTTCATGCGGAGGAGTTGTAAAGTTATTTGCATTGACTTAATAGGATGATGAGGAGGGAAGTTATATCAAAAATTGATGATGAATTAGGCCTGAGGTGAGCATCCTTCCTTTGGGCGAAGTGTAGGCGATACTGATTAAATTAAACTGCATTATATAATGTATTATTCAATTTTATTCTATACATTTATTTCTACATATACTATACACATAGACTCTTATTATCTGATAAAGACTAGTATTAAATGATAAATATTTATTGTTTGTCTATGGAGACGTTTACATGAGAGAAAAATGAGAAAGGTAATTAAATTTGCAACGTCCACAGAAACAGACTAAAAGCTTCTCTCCTTTCTGTTTGGGGCTTTCTTGAGGGGAAGTCTATTAAATTACGTGGAGAATAAAATTAATTTTCATTTGCCCAATAGAGTTCTAATACTACTGTTTTAACTATACTAAATTGGTGCATTTCTGCAGAGACGAAACAATTTTGACCTTTGTCATGATTAGCTGAACAATATTATATATAGTGTTTAAATTTCTTTTTATGGTGAAAATAATCCTCTCCAAAATAGAGCAACAAATTCAAAACTATATCATAAAGATAACAGAAAATATTTGAAATACAATAACATTTTCAATATATCGTAAATAGCGCGTAATCTTGTACAACATAAATTTTTCACTACATATAGAGGTGGATGGGGTGGACAAACAGGAGAGATTACAGCATATGAGAATTGCTTTATCAAGTTTTTACAATTAGTAGATATTTTATACAAATAGCAGAGCTGAGCAATAAATGTCATAAGAGTAATAAAGTTTTCAATTAAACGATTGATGCGGAAAGAAGTCAGAGGAGAGCAGGAGACTTCGCAGTCTCGCCACGTGGTTGTATCGTGCCATTAATGGAGCAAATTATCCCAGAAGTGCTACATTTGTCACAATGTTTATGGGGTTGAATGGTGTGACTCGTGTCCACAGAAGAACGCTTCCACTGTCACTGAACGAGTTCATTTGGAGCGGGCGTATACGTACAATTGTTTCATCGCAGTGTGGCCCCACCCCAAATTGAATTAATGATCAATTGATTAGTTTCTTCGTCCTCCTCGAACCACAAAAATGTCTCAACTCAGTATTTGTGATGGTATTTATTCTTTCTCCCCATACACCACAGATGTTTGCCTGCAACTTTCTCATTGGTTTTGGGGCCAAACATTCTATGAAAAGCCCCAGCTTATTGTACTAATTGTGCAAACCCCGCGGCGATGTATCGGCGAAAGCATGGCGAGAGTTCTGTGGGGGTCGTACTTAAACGAGGAATTATCACGCAAAGTTGAATTTATCTGGAATTTCCCGCCGATGTTCCCGCGAGGTAATCATGTGTGGGAGCACTTTAATCCTCACTCGACGTACTCTGATGATCTCCACTTCGGTTCTCGCTAAAGTTCAATTTTCACGCAAGTGCCAATTAATAATTAATTGTTAATTGTTCACTGTTAAAGTTTGGCAAATGGATTTATTAAATCACAAAGCACGGTTGGAAGATGAGAAGAGCAAAGAGTATAGTTTCGGATTTCCATCAGTGCTTTATTGATTGACTGTAAATTGATTTCCCCATTAATTGCATTAATTTACTCACCGTAGCGAGCGCGTTCGTCCTGGAATGAGGGGCAATTTGGGTCCCACTGGAGGGCCCATCAGTCCATCTGGGCCGTCTGTCGTGGGGTCAGCGGGTCGGCTGCCTGTCAGAGGCGTTGGAGACCAGTCAGAGCCGGAACTGGAGCTGGGCGGCGTGCGACGTTTGTAGATTGGGGGCAGTTTTCCATCATAGCCCGCGGCGGTGGACGGAGTGGCTCCCGAGCTGGTGTAGGTGCTCGCGTGGATTTCCTGCTGATACAGCGCATACATGTCCTTGAGTTCCGGCGGAAGCTCCAATTTGCCCTCTGGAATTGGGGTCAGATATCAATCGTCTGGAGGAGTTGTGTGCCAGTTGCAAGTGGGTCTGCCTAATTACTCCGTCTTACCTTCGATGAGCCGCCTTTGCGTGCTGATAATGTCCTCACAGAGACGTCTTTGTCGCTCAGCCCTCAATAATTGTAGATCTCGCCTCCGCAATTCACCCTGGCGTGCTAATCTCTCGGCCTGGAGTGACACCTTGTCAGCTTCTAATTCGTGCACACGACACAAGAGCCCTAGCAATTCACGCTCCTCATCACTGCTGATTCTCTCTGGGAGCTCATCCTCCAATGCAACGCCCTTCTGCCTGCACAGCTCCAAATCCTGCTCTGTGGCCAATACAATGTCCTTATAACGCTTCATCTCTCGCTCAATTGCCGCCAATTCGCTCCAGGCTGACCGAATGGCTGTGCTACCTTCGGATTCAGCTTCTATTCAATGCAGACAAGTACAAAGGAGAATGCAAGTTAATGGCAAAGGGGAATTTACAGCACAGTGATTAACTGAGTATTGTGACTAATTAACGGTGAGTTGAAATTATTTCATATATGAAATTATGCAGTCTAATTGCCAAAGTATTTCTAATTAAGGATACATCTCTTACAATAGGTGATAATTCTAATTTACAAAACAATTTGAGCATTAAAATTTTCATGCCACAATTGATCCCACTTGAAATTCAAGCAATCCATCGATGGATTTTGGGATAGAATTTGCCGAAAGCCACAAATGTAAATTAGAATCTTCCACGTTTCATTTTTCAATTAATTTATACATCACATTTCTCAGCCCTCGGCAAAATGTGTAGAGACACGGTAAAATGATTTTCGGTAGACTAATTTCGGTTTAATCATATTCGAGAAACATGAAGAATTCCAAAATGCACAGTAAAATAATTTTTGTTGTTACAATTCTAAGAAAATCTTGGTGATTTGTGTGACTCTAAAGTGGAAAATTAATTGACATCTCAACATTGTATTTGAGCATCAAGCGATATTCTCACTGAGTGCTAATTAATAAACTTTCTGCAAAAGACTCAAAGTGAAACCTGGGAATTAAATTTGGATTTCCGTAGAAGTGTAATAACACGAATTGTCAATTTACACTCTCGCGGTAAGCCAAGTTGTCATTTGTAAAGGGAAGTTCTTCCCACAACTTCTTGTTTCTTATTTTACAAGAGAACTTTCATATTTATTCCCAGACTATGTGATATGTGTGAAATTTTCAGAGTTTATAGCGTTAACAAACTTACCATTGTCATTCTGGGCGTCATACAACTTTCCCATCCTTCCTTGCCAGTGAGAAATGATCATATGCTGTCTCTCAGCATCCAATTCCAGACCCATAACGTGACTTTCAGCCTCCAAGAGACGTCTCCTGAGCTTCATCTGTTGCTTGAATGTGAGAACAATCTGTTCCCGTAGGAAGCGCAATTCTGTCTTTCTCTTCTCGTCATTAGGATCAATCTTGAGAGCCGCTCCAGAGCGTGGTCTCTCCGTTAGCATCTTTGTTTTGAGCCTATTCACTTCTTCCCTGAGTTCTGTCACCAAATTCTGGTAGTGCGTGGTGGGAAATTCTCTGGTTTCCTCCATGAGGAGCTCAGGATTCTGCATCCGAGTCGTGATGTTGTTCGCTCGATTGGCGTAAACCAGAGTATTCTTGGTTTCGTCACGATGACGGTTTTCTGGCGCCACGTGAGCGATCATAACTGTGCGACAATGGCCACTGAGGGCTTCCTTGAGGAGTCTCGTGAGCTTGGAGTCTCTGTAGTTCACGTAGCGAGCTCCTCCAGACAGGGCGTTGATGCAGTTCCCCAGAGCCAAGAGACTCCTGTTGATATGAGCTCCTTCCTGCAACCGTTTGCCCCTGTTCTTGGTCTTCTTGGCGCGCTCAGAGCCCGCCAAGTCTGTGAGGAAGAGCCTTCCCTGCTTGGTGCCCAAGGCTGAAGACTGTGTCACTGTGACACTGAGGAGAGCATGACTGCGAGAGGACGTCTGGTTGGAGCCTGTTGGCTCCATTGTCCTGGCCTTGTTCCCCTTCAGCAGCAGCGAAATCACCTCATGCCTCTGCGTGGTCGTCACCTCAGACAATCCCGCCACGGTGATTCTCGCTCCACGATTGTCCTCCCGCAGCTCAAGTGGGCCGCCAGGCTGCAGCAGGTCCCTGATGAGCTCATTGTAGATTTCGAGGTAGGAGATAGACACCTGGAAAGGGGGCAGAAAGCAAATTTGTGTGAGCAAACAAGAGGCGCTAAATTAAGAGATCCAATCGATCATGGGTCGTGAAAGTGACTTCATTTGGGGGCATGTTGTGTGAAGAGAAGACGGTCACTTGGTGTGGGTGTCTTTCATTCATCACTCACGCCATCCACCCCCGCGTTTTCGCTCTTTTTTGGCGTTGGGAGCACATTTCCGGAATAATCGTCAGTTCAAGGGCAGCTTTTGCGCCTTTTTCTAAAACCTCTTCACGCTGAAGATTTCCCTTAACAAATTGTCTCAGGTGCTATTCTATGTTTCACTCGTTTCTGATATTCCGCACTTTACTGTACAAGGTAGTTTCATTGTGGGCGATAGTGAAATTCTCGTCATTTCTCTTTCTTCGTTTTCCTTTTCAGAGGCGAATAAAAGGGATTCTTTGAGAATACCCTTGGCAATAATTCCTTTGAATAAATTTCTATTCAGATTCGTGTGGAATGTGAAAACTCATTCGATAAGTTTGTTAATTGGAGCTTTTTACTCGAAGCGGAAATGCGAGGAAAGTCTACTTTATGATATACATTTTATTTTCTGCTCGTTATAGTGTTGAGTGGTTCGAAATGCGGTGAGAAATGGAGAGAACACCTCGAATGCTTAATCATGTTGGTGAAAAATGTCTCTAAGGCTTAGAGGTGTGTGTTTTCTGAGAAAAATTTGTGATATTGTCAATTCAGTTCTTCATCACAACTGCTTATAAATTGCGTGGAATTTTTCTATAATATCACATGTTATTTCTGAAATTGCACATTGTTTCGATTTACAATTGTAATACACTTTGCATATATGCTAGAAGAAATTGCTTGGGAAATGCGAATTTCCCGGCAGAGTCACATCTCTTGGGTATATTTATTGCCTTCTGCGCGAAGGAACGCCATGCTTTTGTCTCTGGCATTCCATCGCACTGCCAGGTGGAGAAAATGGGCGAGTGTTTTTGGTTGTGGGTGGGAAAAACGAGAGGTGTCATGCGATAAATAATTGAATGTCCTTCTTTGTGGCCGAGTCCGTGGTCAAGGAGACACTGAAGGGGCAACAGTGTCAATATGGAATGCAATTCAACAAACATGCAAGCTCACACTTAGTGTGAGCATTTGATAGCAATTAAAATTAATTATTGAAGTACAAAAGGCACCGTTTTGCGAAATGACCTCAGAATGTGCTAGAAAACTTTGGCACGATATATTTCACACAGTAAATGCACCGAAATACATATAGGAGAAACTTTTGCAAATTGAATATCCTGGTAGTGTGGGTAGTCATGCAGATTACATGCAAACTGATAAACTTTCCTCGGAAATATTTTATAAATTTCCCTTCACATGGACAGAGTTTCAGTGTGAAAGTCTTCTGAAGGCATGAGGTCATGCAATTCGTGTGAAAATATTAATTATGGCTTCACTATGTAAGAAGCTCTTTTAATGCATTGTTACTTGCACTCCTGTGCAAGTTCTCCTTTTACCTGCGAGTGTTGTGAGTTTAGCACACTATATGGTGCGAAATCCTTGCTATTATACACTTGAGAGTCAACTTTATCCTACTGTTTTGCACCACAAACAATTAAGTGAATAAACAGCGAGCGGAGATTGTAGAGGATGCTTTGTAAAATTCACAGTGGATAATTTAAAATAATAGAACTATTCACGTGATAATAAGAACTTGGGTTAAATGACTTGATTAAAACATGAAAACAGCATTACATTGAGCGTGGAGTTCCTAAACTATTCAATAGACTATAATAAGAACATTGGCGACAATTAAGCTTATTGTTTCGCAATTTGTGTGAAGAACACTCGTAAGAGAATTTATTAGATTTTCATGGTTGTTTAGGTGGATGAAACACTGTATTGTTCGGATATTTTCTGAAAAATTGCTTTATCAAATAGATGCTACCTTTGACGAAAGCTTGTTAGAATTAATACATGTGTAAAATTAATTTATTCATTCCAAACTGAATCAACATTTACTTCGTACGAATTAATTAGAATTAAATTGATTATTAAGTTGAGTGTCTCGGGATTACTAGAGAAATGAGCATCAGAATTTAATTGACAGTGAAAGAGTTTAAGCTTGCGAGAATTACATAAATTAAGGAAAATTTGGCTTTTACATTACATAAGTTTATCAACGTTGAAGGTTAAATCCAAACACATAGTAATATGCTTTTAGTAGAAATCATTGAAATCAATGGGTGTACCTAAACATATATTTAGAAATTCGCTTTTAGGGAGGCAAAAGCGATTTACAGAGATTCCAGAATCGCAAAAACTTTCGTTTTGACTGAATCATTTCTGCAAAAGTGTTTGAAATTCACAGAACTCTTCTACCTGTTGAATAAATCTTCAATCCGTAAATACATAAGGTTTTTCTCTTTAAATTTGATAAAGAGTTTTTTCTGTGCTCAATATGGACTCATGAATGGAACTGCTCAATATTTCCAATCACCTGTTTCTGATTACTTAGACATGTTGTATGAGAGATTGGATTACGAGTGGCGCGAACGAAAGCGAAAATACTATATACGCTATAAGCAAAAACTTTAATACCGCTTAGCAATATTTCTACCCATGAACACATCTATAAACTTTAACGAGTAACTTTCGTTGGGAAATGTCGGATGTTTGTGTTCCCACATCGATTTTATGCCCGACAAATTGAATGCGGGAGAAAGTGAAACTTCGACAGGGTTTCAGTTTCCTATTTTCGAAAAAAAAACTGGAACGATGGTAATGAATTTCCTTCGCAAAATAAATGACAGAATTCAACAGATTCTTTCGAACATGCTACTTTTTCCATTTGCTATTTTTCTCTCCCATCTTTTACACTCAATTTTTTTAATAAAAGCTAAGAGTTTTTGCCAGAGGCACGTTTTACAATTCTCCCTAGTAATACACTTTGGTGTCACCACAGCAAACATTCATCATTGGTATCGTATTATAAAATGGGGCTTTGGATTATATGAGATTAGCTGTAGTCCTCGCTTCATCTATGTCTCCAAATTCACACATCACGTGTCTATGCGCATATTATATTTATGTATTGAATATGAAAGTGAGAATACAACCTGTAAGCTTCTTCAATTTGTGGGAGTTGTTTTCTTGAATATTTCATTTGTATCTGTGAATCGATAGAAAATAAGTCTAATGGCATTACCGTCCATTCATAATTTATGTGAGTGTTTTTACTGATTAATTACGACAATTTAACTGAAGATACCATCGGACAATAACTATTATTTGTATTTAGAGCCTCAAGCATGGGGTTAATGGTTGAATTTTTAGGACAGAAGATGCCAAGAGTTGATTTCTAAACTATACGATTCAACTGCCTCAATTTCTCATGCTAATTCCCACTTTGGGACTCCCACGTGAATTGGGCTAATGTTGTTCATGTTTGTGCAAAACTTTGTATATCGCCACTAAATGGTTCCGAGAGTGGAGCATTTACGGCACTCTCTCCGGAGCTTTTTGAAGCGAGCTGGTGTCGTAAAGACCATCGCGTGCCAGGAATAATGGAGCAAAAATGATGCTAACGTGCACTGGACTCAGATTGCTTCCAGCAACTTATCATGCAGCTCCAAGAAAGTCATATTGTCAGCAACATTCTGAAAATTGCTCATATCGCTCTTACATTGACTCGAGATTTCCTTTCACAAGAGACTTCTGTGTAACGATGAAGAGTTGAGAGCGTGGGAAGCCATTGAATAGGAGTATGTTATAAGGCATCTGTGAATGGCTTTGGCCAGAAATCATAGGAAATACTCAGTTATTGCGATAAAAATTATTTTCATATCAATTGATAAATATCGACTGCAAAATATGAATGTAAATTGCATATTTCTTGGGAAGTTACAGAAAAGTTATACCAGCGTTGAAAAAGTGTTGTTATGAAAGTGTTGAATGTGAATATAAAAGCAAATGTAAATAATTTACACAACGCGCGTGCAACTCGCTTCAACTTGTTAATGGAAAACCCAAAAGTAAGAAGAAAACAACTTGGCAATTAAGAGATCATTGAGAAATTCCACCTTCAGTAAATATTCTGGGGGTGTTTTTGTTACACAACTTCCAAATTTTCAGGATAAATTAGAGATTTATGTGGGATAAAAATCGATTAGGTTGAGGTTTTTCTAGCTCGTAAATTTGTACCGTGATGGAAGCTTAAACTCTAATTCCTCTTCCATTTCCAAAGTGATTTGAGAGATAATCAAGGGAGAGAGAAAGAGGAAAAACCGAAAAGAGGGATTTCAATAGATTATGGTTAATTACTAAACTTATTTTTGCTCAATATTCCCTAAATCTTGTCCTGGATACTTTTTATAAACATTTGGTGACTGTTTTTTTTTTGAAGATCACAAAAACTGCTTTTACGACGGTTTTATTGTGAAACTTTCAAAACCAACTTTCAACTCTCTTGAGAAAAACTTTTCACGGGGAATAGTGATGATAAGTTGACAATAAGTAGTGACACTTTTTTGCACGATGCCACAAGCACTCATTCTTTGTGTGGAATTTTGTTGTGAATAATTTAAATATTACCAGGATTTTTCAGAAGAGATATAATGTGAGAGGAAAGCTGCTTTGTCAGTGCTCTAACCTTTGTATATTTTCTTACTGGGTTGGGAGTTTAAAGCATTTCTCTGCCACAAAAATTTGCCAGTTAAGGGAAGAAATGTTTGAATAGTCCTCATGTCTTTGACTCCTTCCTGTGGCGAGAAAGGTTACAAAGAACAGGAAGCTACTTCAGTTATACTCAGAAAAAATCCCTTTACCATTAATAATCTTGGAAATTCTTATGCACATTTCACTCTGATTGGGACGAAAATTAGGATGTAACTTGAGTCAGGCATTACTCTCGCTAGTTGTATTTCTTAATCTTAGGGAAAGTCGTTTTTTCTGACTGCAGACTTACCCGAATGGCTTCAGGGGTCTCGGATTTCTCGACAAATTCAAATATTTCCGCAATTGCTCGCACCATCAGCCCGTCGTTCTGCTGGTCGGCAACTGCCTTGGGAGTGCTCTCTGTTTGTGGTGTTGCGGCTTTTTTGGGATTGGGACCCAGCATTGTGTGTGTTTTTCCCGATCCTGGAATGGCGTGTCAGTTTAGCATTACACAATTTCTGCTATATTGCCAAATGACTCGACTCACCCGTGGCTCCGTATGCAAATGCCGCGGCATTCAAGCCACTGAGGACGTCTTTCACGAGTGGAGCGGTAGTTTTTGCATACACGTCTTCCTGACTTGAATCCTCGCCAAAGACGTTATCATAAACATACTTCATGGGTTTCGTTTTGCTTCCATCATCAAAGAGTAGAGTTTTCTTCGACGTCACATGTACACATTTGTGCTCGTTGGACTCACTTGATGGGCGGATGCGAACGGCCACCTTTCACGATACATCATCAGTTGATTCCCGTTTTCCCTCCATTAGTGTAATTAAACGGGAGAACTTACTGTTAAGTGCTCCTCGGCGGGCGTTAAACACATCGAAGACGCACTGCCACCACTGCTGGAGGCATTGCCGTTGTTCTGCGTCATTGTCGGTTGACAATTCTCAGCATTTGGTGCAGAAATAGAATATCTCTTGTTTACACTCGAGCTGGAAAAGTTCCATGGGAAATGCACTTTTCAATTGGTTTATTGATGGGAAATGAATGTTTAAGTGGCGCTCAAGAGGGTGGCAGAAGGCGGAGAAAATGGAATTTCTAATTTCAATATCATGAGATACTTATTTCCCTTTTAGTGAACACTCGAAGGACTCCTTCTAGTGCCATTAAGAGGACTACCGATCGAATCAATTACTTTTCCGCCAGTCACTCACCATACACTCTTTCCGTGCTCACACTTTTTGTAGGGCAACTTTCCCTCGAGTGCCATTGGCAGGATGTCGATGTGTGAAATTACTTAAGAATGGAACAATTTTGTGGCGGTTGGGTAGTGCCATTTTCAAGGTTACTTCCCAAACTAATTTCCCCCATTTCAAAACAAAATCCGCATGTCTTTAGTGAATGTCTAAACATCTTGTGTGCTTCGCCCATCCAATTGGGCTTAGCCTTCCTCACGATTTTCCACTCCGCGCTTCAGACAATGGAATTCGTTAACGAACCCCCACGGGCGACTGTTGTGGGTGAAATCGATTGAAGGGGTTGCTACCGATTATGATTTTATTGTTAGCGACGTAACACCTAAATTTTCTTCGCAATTTTCTTCCAGCGAGAGAGAATCGCGATGAAAATGTAAAGCTTCTTAGAGGGTCTTTTTTTCTCGCCGTTTCCACAGTCTCGCCGCTGAACATGTTTTTTTCTCGTGATGAATTATCCAGAATTTCATTAATAATGCCTGAATGATATCGGTCTTGTGTTTGACGATCCCCTCGTGCTGTGTTTTTGTCAATATATCGCTAATGTAAGAATGTAACCATGAAGGTAAATAATATGTCAGGAGACATTTTCTTCCAGGCGAGACACAAGCGGTGAATGTTGCGACATGGTTCCAGACAGAAGGTTTTAAAGCTTAAAGATTATCCTCATAAGTTTTTTAGAGTACACTCTAGATATTCGTAATGTGATTTGGGCCAATTTTGGAATGATACGTCACATAAAATTACATACCTGTCTAACTAAACACATGCTGAACATTCAAGACAAAATTGATATGGCGTAGTCGATAATTGAACAGTGGGGAGTGGAAAAATGAGGGTACAATCTTTCTAAGAATACCAATAACATGAGCAATGATCAGAAATTACATTCACATCGAGTTTATGTATTATTATTCCTCAATCTCTTGATTGGAGTTCATAATTCTGGAGAAAGGACATTGTCCCTTACAAAGACTGAACTAGATACGTTACATCGTTTGCTACATATCGTCTTGAGCCTCTTGGAGTGTTTTAGATTGAAAAGAATTCGAGGAAATTTCTTCAAGTCACTTTAAGAGATTGTAGAAAAATCTATTCACGTGCTGTTTTTATCATATCCCCTGTTATTTCTTCGAGAGGGATTTAAATTATGTGACATGATATGCCCTTTCACTTTCACCAAATTGTATGTATTCACGATATATTGAGGTAACAATAATAAATCATATTTATATGGATTTATGCCCGACTGTTGACTTTATAGAATTTACAGAGAATATTATGGTAAGCCCTAAGTATGGTTTATAATTGAAAAGGCAATATATGAATATCATAATTTCACCGATTAAAATAATATTGTATTGGGCAAACCTAAAGGGATTATGATAATATATATTTTGATACTAGAGGGTGGAAAAGCTTTCTCGAGATCTCAGCTCATGAGCGCGTGTGGTTTTATAAATAACTCACTGAGAATTGTTTTTTTTTGCAGAAAGATGAAAAGTTGTTTTTCTGTATATAGATTTTTTCACAACACGGAAAACTACGTCGAAGGAGAAAAAAATCAATAGTGAAATGAGAAATAATGTGAACGACGGAAATTTATCAGACTTTCTAGGGGAGATTGAAGTAATTCCGAATGCAAAATGCAAGTTTGAGTTAGTGCACTCTCTAAATACTTCATTTATAGTTGGATTCCACATATAGAAGGCAATTTGACATATTTATTAGTCTCGCTGGTTATCGAAGAATTGCAAGATTCTGTATGATAAATTGGTTCAATAACGCAATAGCGAAATTTCCCCGTTCTCCCGGAATGGACAGAATTTTTTTGCTAGTAGATTGACAATTAAATAATGCCACTATGTGGCAATTCCTCACCAATTTCGTAACAATATTGAATTAAATGATGTAATGGGCGCATTTGTTGTAGAATGATTGGGTGCTTTAAAGAGGATTTATTTCAATTTTTCACAAGAGCCATTCTCTCTGGTAATTGTAAGTAATTGACCTAAAAGTGTCAAATGAACTTTTCCGGGAAACTTGTCATTCACAGAATTCAACCATCATGGGTGAATTTATTTCACTTCAATACAACTATAACTTTCACTTTGGATAATTTCACAATAATTCCACTAGATAAGAAAAGTAATAAATAGTTTTGAATTAAATTAGAGTCCATGTGATAAAGTCACAATCACCGGCAAAGGACGTTATTTCACCTGCAAGAGAAAGCGTGATGTTACCTCAACCGTAAATGGAACGAAACTAATGAAAACGCGAAGTTTTTACCGATTTTATACAAAGCAACGTGCATCAATGTTTGAACAGGGGGTTTAACAGGGTGGTGGCAAAGCTGCCCGACATTCAGAACCTTGTTTGGGGGCAATTTTCCCATGAATCGATGAGCAATGTGGCGTGTGAGGAATTTTTTCACCACGCCTCGGTATAACTTATAAATATCTAATGAGTATTTACTGAAATACCCAGTAGATATTACTAGATACTTAGCGCCGCGTCATGAACTTTAACACATACTCGCTTACTATGTTGGTGTATTGGTCTAAGACCAAATACACCCTTTTCACATTCAGCGTGTCCGCGTACATAGCAACATATGTATGTATGAACAAACTTCCTTCCTAAACGTGTATGTTTCAAGCAAGTTTCAGACTTATCTACATTCATATGTACAGTCTCGGCGGTACGACTTGTCGTTATGCTCTTTTCCCGGCTGTCTCGTCAGGATAATTAAATTGTTAAGAAATTCCGTGAATAAGTAATTTGATTTTTTCTACAATACATTAACTAACCAATGAAAGCAAGAAATCTGTACACATTTTTGCTGTTTCTACTGTTTAAAAGATTTTTGCATGCACTTTCTAATTCATAATTTTGTCCGCACTCAAATAAATGATTCACTTGTTATTTTCTCAATTGACACAGCTTTGAGATTTCAAAATTGTTTTCTATATTTATGTGAATGGTATAACATCATTCAACACCTCATCAGCAACCGCGCAAAATGCCAAATTTTAAAGGTTAATTATCTCGTGTAAATATAAAATTCTCCGAATGCATGTTTATTATTTAATTATTAATTGAATTTGTAATACATGAGGAAATATTAATTTTTAATGTTCATTTGAGTCTTGTCAGTATTCCTCTGAATACCATAATTTTAAAAGGCGAAAATAATAATTTTTCTGCAATTTTCAGGAATTTCCATTTTAATAAAAATTCTTTCTACTCTACATAGAATTAATTTCGACAAAGTATATCATTATACTTAGTGTGTTTAGTTCTATTTAATTAGGAAATGAGTGACTAATTAAAAATAGAGGCGACAAGTTGATGATCACACGATTATGGAAATCAATATTGGATGTCCAGAATAGCGCGTTTAATTTCAGTTCGATGGCATTTTGGTGAGTGCTTTAAACTCTATGTATTTTTTCCTCGCATTAAAAAGGCTCGTTAAGAGAATAATTAATAAAATTGTGATAGTCTCTCATTAATGTATAAATATTTAACTAAAATTATAGTATCAGGCTAATTAAAAAGTAATTCATACAGATTTATTTATACATTAATTACTTGATTCCTTTAATTCTATATTCAGTTTATTTGGTAGTTGATAAGTGAATACAACATAACAACATCTGAGATAATTCAAGTGGAAAACTTCTTTCACTGTCACTTGAAGCGCTTGATGAGATGTATATGTATGTAAATACACATTATTCGAACATAGAAGCATTCAGAGAATATTTATAGATTCACCAGTATTTCTTCCGTATTTTCTTCTATATCAATTGTTTGTTTGGATAGAAAATTGCTACCTCATGTATGTAAATATGATAACATTTGTCTCGTAGCGTTTGTACGAATCAATGATTTTGTCAAATGATTTCTCAGTATTATCATTTAAAGGAAAAGTCAGAGATTTGTATATAGAAATGTCTATATTATATGTAGATGCAATAAATAAATAGATTATATTCAAAACACATGAAATATTCTTTAAATAGACAAAATATGAGCTTAAAGTAAGATTTTAGTTGCAAGTTTTATACAGAAAAGCAGGATCACGGTTTTTCAGTATATTGAACTTAATTAATGTAAGAAACACCACTTTAGCTCCAAATTTTATTTCCTGCCTTCAATTTCTGAGCGTGTAGATAATGAAGGTGGGAATTGCAGGTGAAGTACTCTGGGCTTCAAGATTCGCTATAATACCAGGAGCGTTGTAAACTACGAAAGAAATTGGAGCAAGTGAAGGGACAAACGGGCGGAAAATAATTGAGGAAAATGGTACATCTGGTATATTATCTTCTACTCTGGCAAAATTCATGAGTCCTTGAAGCTTTTCTGCAAACAGCTCGCTAAGAAATAGGGAAAAATACGTTAATTAAAATTAAATTGAATAAATTTTTAAGTGGATTAATTTTCAAAATATACAGTCAATGCAGAGCATATTTCACTTATTGTAATTACCAATCAACAAATATCAGATCTAATTTAATACTTTCAAATTAATATAAGAACCCAACGCCTGACTTGGTAAACACTTTTATAATGTTTTCGTGAAGTGAAGTGTGCCTTCCCTGACAAGACAAAGTAGTTTTTCAACAACCTTGTGTAGTATATTAACTTGACATGGAGCTAATTGTTCTTGTAATGAGTTGTGAATTAAAAGTGAATGAATTTTTTTTTTATCTCTTTAAATTATACAACCTTTTTCCTCGCCCGTTAGGAATAGGAATGTGCAGCGATGCAGAAGCTTTGTCGAAAATCTGAATTGTTGATTAGCAATTAATGGCAATGATTTGCGTAGCTATTGATAATTGCACACTCTTGTTGAATTAGTCTGTGGGTGTAAAGTAAACTTGTGATACTATGTGTACAGCGGTTTCTGTGCCATTTCGCGGCGAATTATTATTCGGTTAGTCCTACCAATGATGTGGAAACTGTTAATTTCCTCTTCATTGGTGCAATTCACATACCACATTAGAGCATATGAATATTTTATGAATCATTTCATAAAGTATACTGATAATTTATAACGTAAAAAATCATTACTATAATATATTTGAAATGAGAAGAGCACTGAAATGGTATCTCGTATGGAAAATCCCATTTGATTCACCATCATTATTGAGGAGAAAAATGATAGAATTGGATTGCACTTTAAGCTGTGTCAACTTCCTGAGAATATAGAAAAATTGAAGGAGGAATCATGTAGAGGTGAAGAGAGATCTTGAGATGTGCCTTGGCTGTTGCGAAGCGGATTTTATCAGAATTGGATGGTATATCATGAATGAGGACCACCTTTAAGCCTAAAATACGCATGATCGGGACTTTTGCTGAAGCTTTCGCATGGTTCGTGATGAAGCAGCAACTTCCAATCTGGCAGTTGGTTCATAGATTCTTCCAGTTTAACATGGTTGTGAGATTTCTCAACATTTACAGAAGAATGATATAAAAGACTTGATGAGAAGGAATATATAATTTTGCAAATCAGTCAAAGTGAAGAATAAGTGGGGAAGACGAAGTGCTCGTGCTTCTGGAAAAAACAGTGATTTACTTATTGTTCTCTGTGTTTTAGTATTTTGCTGAAGTGCAAGTTGTTCTCGAATTGAATGCGGTCCATCCTATTATAATAAATTAGGCATGTTATCGCACAATTATCCCTACTGTGGGATACCATAATCCTCGTCATAATCTCTAAGGATAAAATCTGTATAAGAGACTATTAATTTACCAATGTCAGAGTGTAAGCATTCACCAACCAATTCAGTGAGAGTTTAATAGCAGTGTTTTCATAAATTGTAAAAAAAAATCGAAACGAGAATTCCTATACCTCTTGACCCTACTGTTGAACCTTTTCTATGCTTTATAAAAGGAAACAGCTTCACTTTGTAACGAAAACTTGTGTTTACACTTAAGAAAGATTTGTTCAATACAAATATTTCTTTGCGGAAGTAAACTCGACTTTGAAATGCAAACACAACCACTCTAGTGAGTTCATAGCCTTTCGAATTATTTGGAGTTGTAGGAGAAAAAGTAATTGTAAATACGTCCTGCTTGATTTTATGTAAAACAGCAGTTAAATCTCTTTTCTTTAATTCCCCTTTACCGAGAATTGCGTAATTTTTCCTACGAGAAATGAAAGCTTTGATGTTACTGCGTATGCTGATTTCATTATTAATTCATGTATTCATATTCCCTTCGGGGCAAACTGTAAAAAATCTGTACGTTTTTTGGGTATTTTTTTTTAATATTGTATTGATGCTGGGTTATGGATGACATCAAATATGTGGGATTTGTTGTCAGTGGATTGCGTGGAATTCAAGCAATTTTCTTAAAATTAAACTTCTTTATTTGCTAATAATGAAAGTTTATATGTTTGTGAAAGCTTTGGGAAATTTTTAATGATATGAGTTTTTTTTAATAAAATATTCCGAGAAAGTATCTCGTTTAAAAGCTGTCTCGTTTCAACTTCACATGTTGAAATTTTACGATTTTTAATTTATTCGTAGAATTTTACCTGTGCAATTCTACATATAAAAATTTTTCATTTTAATTACATAATTTCCTATAAAAAGTCTATACATATGTATAATAAATTACGAAATCTCATTTGTATACACAGAACAAAGTATGGTCATTTTAATACAGTGGTGGAAATACCATAAAGTGCCATAACAATAAACTCGACTTCAAATTGATTTTTATACTTTACACGTGTGTTTCCTGGATATGCAGATAAAAATCAATCAATTGATATTACTTGTTGATTGGGAAATGAAAACTGAAAAAGGGGAGACATGTGTGAGAATGGTCAATGCAGTATAATCGTTCCATTAGGGTAAAACAAGTGTAAAAGCTTTTTTACTGCACACCCTTTCAGCGATATTGAGCATTCTGTGCTCCAAGACTTCTTCCTTTGACTACAATGGGAGTTGGAATGGATCGTAATATTTGTTTACAGTAAATTTATATTGTATTCAAATCGTACAAGAAAGAAATTGAGTTCTTTTTCCACATCAAGCATCGCGTGAGTGGGCGAGAGACAAAAATGTACGAAGGTTCATGGGTCGTATGTACACATTATACACACCTTTTATTGAAAATCATCTTTTGGCAAATAAAAGTCTGAAATTCGTAAATGCGAACTCTGGAGATGATTGTGTAGGAAAATGGTACATATGGCTTGTATATATATGTATATATGTATCAGTAATTCACATATATTACTTGTTGGAATATTTACATTTTGTTTGCTTTGCAATGTTTATTTTATTTGGTAAAAAATTCCATAATTCCATAAATGACTTAGAAACAGTTGTTTTTACGTCATAAGTGTTCAATTGTGACATGGATTCTAAAGAAATTTTACATTAGAAAACTTCTATCAATACCTAAAAGCTTTGATCTCATCATGAATTGCAAGAGTGAAATTTCCTGAAACAAGTCAACCAAGTTTCTACTTCATTCAGTATTTCACATACTTTTGAAAGGCATGGAAGTCATGAAAGTGATTTCCATTACGATACTAAGACAGTATTAAATAACGGCATATGAGACTGAATGTGGTTGGAAAATCTGAAGGAAATGCTTCATGTGACATTAACACGTCTCCATTTGCAACCACATCACAAGAGAGGCACAAAATTAAATTCTTCGTTTTCAGTAGTGAATGAATTAACCACAAATGTGAAGTAGTTCTACTGTTTCTCTACTGTAATTGTATGCTGATGAGATTTCATCTTGGATTTCATCGATTGTTTTTTTCAAGGAAACTCGGTATTTTTAGGATCAAACAGAAATAATAGATAGGTGGAAAATCTGAAATTCAGGAATTATTCAATAATGATTCTTGACGCTTTGTAAATTACCTTTTCAGTGAGCTTTTCAGTTCATACATTTGGTGATATCTTGGGTGATATTAAAAATTCTCAGTGAAATTGTTATTTCCTTCGACTACATTCCTGAGCAGTTTTTTCTTCATTTTTGCATTCCCGTACATCCATTCCATTAAAAAGTGGGAGTGTTTGTTGTCACAAAGTTTATTCAAGGATGAATTCCACTACGCTTTGGGAGAGAGCGTAAAGAATTTATGTATATTATGGAAACACTGCAAATACTGAAATTATTTTTAAAATGATTCAGATGAACAGATTCTTTACTTCATTACACGAATGACACGATGGTTAGTTAAAACATAATGAGATATAAAACAGAATTATTTATAGAGCAAAACATGGTGAAAATGATTTTATATATGGTGGTATTGTGCTGTATACAGCAGACAATATATAAATTTCGAGTGTAAAGTTAAACTTCCAACCATCCGTAAATTCCAAAATGAGATTAGCAAAAGAGACAAATAAGATGCGTATTGGCCCTGAGGCAAGGTCTGTGAGTTGAGAAAGGCTTTCATCGACTTATCTTACCAACATCGAATAATCTCGTGTATCGAAAGATGAACAACACAACTCTTCTCGAAAATACGACGAGTTCAGTGCTGGAACAGGAGGCCGAGGCTGTCCGTCATCCACTGTACATCGTCCTCCCTGTGACTCTAATCTATTCCATCATCTTCCTGACTGGAGTTCTGGGCAACGTCATCACATGCATAGTGATCTCAAACCATAAGTCTATGCATACCGCAACAAATTACTATCTCTTCAGTCTGGCCATATCTGATTTGCTGCTTCTGATATCAGGTAAATGAGCTTAAATCTCATGACAACATAATCAGCATAAAGCATGTCAATTGCCCTCATGAGAATTCCAAGTATTATAGCTGATCGTGCAATATTGGTTGAAAGTGGTTGACTAAATATTGATTGTCATTTGTGTAATGCAAATGAGTTAATTAATACCAAACCAAATGATTTTATGCGGATCTATGAATGCATGTCACATCATTGCAGTGATGACATAATGACTTTTATTAAATTCATAAGAATGTTAGCGCATTGACCGCACTATAAACACTGAAATTATCTATTGATTTATATACCTAAATGTCTAAAATCATAATCAAAATATCCCTGAAAGGTGGAACCACAGCAATTCCATTAATCTAAAATTCCGTATTTTACAAATAGAATTATTGAAAATTATGAGTAAAAATGCGTGATTGAAAATTGAAGGCCTGTATTATTTCTGATTGCGGAAAAAATATCAATCAATAAATTCCAATCATTCTTCAGAGTTTTTCATTGAGTTTCATAGAAGCCTTTCAATGAGAACCTTGGAAGATCTCTTTAAGACTTCTGCGAGGAAGTGTGGGTATTCAGTTACTCAAAGAAATGGAAGTTTGAATTGAAACTTTTCCGTTTCAATACCTATTGAACGCTTTCATAATTTTTCATCGTGATCTTATTTTATTTTCAGGTCTTCCTCAAGAGATGTACAACACATGGTATACATGGAGTAATCCGTATCCATTTAATAAAACCATGTGCATACTCCAGGGATTCGCCGCTGAGACATCCGCCAACGCTACTGTCCTCACGATTACAGCCTTCACAGTGGAAAGGTAGGAGAATTAGAACGCATTTACGGGATGTTTTTAATTGCATTTTTGCTCTACGACGAGAATCTGCTATGAATTACGAACGAGGCGCCTAGAGTAATAAGGAAACAGCTTTAATTGGAAATTTTTCTCACCCTGGGTATCGGCTTGTTGCGGGAAAACTTTTCCACGAAATTAAACAAAATGTACATGGGAAAGATGCCGAAAACGTGTGGCGAAATTCAATCAGAGATGAATTACCATTTTTTTCCAGATACATGGCCATTTGTCACCCATTCCTGTCGCACACCATGTCGAAGCTCTCCCGAGCAATTAAGTTCATCTTGGCAATTTGGGTGCTTTCCATGTGCATGGCCATGCCACAGGTAATATATTGGTTTTTTTCTCTTGAGTCTTCGTTCGGCTTTAGCACAAAATAATTATCTGCATGAAATAATTGAACTCAATTTCTTGTTTACTCGTAATGCAATTATAAAAAATACATGCCTTAAAATTTGCCTGAATTTAAAGTGTGATTCAAATGCGGACCTGAATTTTCTTCAGTTTTCAATTTTGCTATCCATGTTCTTGAATTTACTTATGTTTGAATTCATATAGCTTTGAACATTGAGTCTCTCTATTGTCAATATATCATACTTTTGAGATTCTTCTAAAGATTTTATACTTTCTCCTTGACTCATTTCCAATATCTATTGCTCTTTCGATGTCAATTTATAAGAAGTGCATAGCAATTCTTGAAGTACGTATAACTTACTTGCATGATTAGAATTATTTTACATATGAAAATTGATTACCGAATATTTAGTAAGTTATCGTGTCGTGTGCCAGCATCGCAGTAAACTTTGTGATAAATTCTGGCCATGAATAATTTTCCCTTGTTTTCATTTAAAGTGCAAACTATGAGTAAACAAAGTTTCGTATAGTTTTACACGAAACATGTTTAATTAACAAATTACGCTCTTAATAAAATCAATTAAAACAAATATTTAGCCATATTTCAGAAATAAATTTCAATTGGAATAAAATTATGCATTGTTTTTCTTAAAGTTTTGTAATTAACAATAATTGCGTAAACACCACAAAAGTTTTATTCTAAGTGACATTATTTTATTTTGTGAATTTTCGAACAGATTTGGAACTTAGGCTTAACAAAGGAACAATATTGTATGCCGAAGGAGGAATCTTCCAAACACATTTTCCTCATTTCCACCGTGCTTGTTTTTGCCTTTCCAATGGTCGTCATAACCGTGCTGTATGTGCTGATAGGATTACAATTGAGGAAGTCTAAAGTTGTGACAAGAGGTACAGTTGCTGGCAGCAGTGTGAGATTGAAGGTAAAGGTAATTGAATGTTCATTATTTAATGAGTCAACTTCCATGTGAAACTAATACACTTCCCTGTCAATAAACTGCATAAGGCGAGTAAATGAGTCCTGTTTGAATCATTGTGGAGGCTTTTGAAAATGTTGCAAAGTAGGTCAGATACCAAACCAGAACCATTCTCGAGTGGGATGCTTTTTGCGAAAATACTTGAACAAATTGATCAACTGTCGAGTAGGATAAAGTAGCGTATATTTTGGTTGGGGTAGTATAATTAGTCCGGGGAATCGAATGGTAACATTTAGTGAAATGATTTTCCATAACATCCCCTGCAAATGCTTAGTGAGGTGTAATGAGTTACTCTAGCGACAACCGCATTAGCAAATTAATTTGATACGTGGCAACTATGGCAAATAACTGGGTGATGTGTTTACGAATTACTGTGGTTGTTTACACCCCAAATATAAAATTGCAGAGCAGCACATTCAAGCGGAGAGCGCAACAAACAATCATTACGACTGTTGATCACCAGCACTCTCCACTCACGATGAAGTCGCTCCAAACGCAGCCAAACATGATGCCGTACCAATTTCCTGAGGCAACAGATGGACTCGGTGGCAACGGAAATCTTCCTGACCTAAACTCGCACAAGAATCCCACGAATGGGGCGGTGGACGAGGAGGGCAGGAAGAACTTCTCAACCCGCTCGCAGAATTACGCTTCCAGGCATGTGGTGAATATGCTAGGTGAGTGCATAATGTTTTATCCCACAAGTCTATTGAACTCCGGTGGGTGTTTATCGGCAAATCCACAAGACTAGACCACTTCTGTGTGTCGCAATTGAAATTGACGCACTGCGAATTGCCGCTTACTCACACCCTTTGTCATAGACTTACCTCGCTTTCTCTTTTCAATGAATACATGAATGATCAATAAAGCGTTTTGTGAAAATTGAGACGCAAAACATGTATAAATCTCATTTGAATATTGAACACTTCGTCAATTGCCACAGAAATGCTTTTCTACGGCAATATGCATATATATTGTTCTCCTGGGTGACGCTAAATTAAATTTTTCAGCTGTTGAAATTGATTGAATTGTTTGCGAGGTTATTTAATTTAATTTAATTTTCACGCTTGTCATCACATTAATTAAAAGTAGTTGATAAGAGGATTGTCCAAATCGAAATGGTTTTATATAATTTAGCGCTGATTGCGGTAATCGCTGAACTCAATTTTCTATGTATATGTCTATTATTGGGCTATTAAAATTTAACCACAATATCCGTGACTGTTTCGGCATTCATAGTCTTTGATCTTAAACAGAATTTAATAGCAAGTAAATGCTTGATGTTTGATTTATACGGTCAAAGCGATTAGGATTTTTGCAAATTGATTAACTTTTTCAATTATGGGGTTTCCAAGGAAAACGGATTCAACAATTTAATATTTTTAAAGCATTATTCTGTTTTCTCCAGCACAGTCATCGCACATTTCACACCTCATATCAGATTGTCTGACTTTCAGTATTATCCTATGAGGATTACCCACATTTCACATTACTTGAAGCGGGTGAAATGCTTTATATCTTTGCATACTCATAAAACAATCCTCCGCAGAAGTCTGTCAGTCAATTTGACATTTTAAAGCGCACACAATCTTGTCTTCTTCAATAGGTATTCAAAAAGTGTTCAACTAAATCTTTGGAAGAAAATTTTCAATTCATAAAAATGGAAAATTTTACTATCTATCCATGAAAATCAAGTAAATTATCCATTCAATTATTTTGTGAATAAAATATGTATAAATATTTGCTAAGATCTTGCTATTCCTTGATTTTCCGCTCGAGTTTCCGTCTAAATTGCGAAATCTCCCACCCTTTCTTTGAAATAGCAATAAATTTGGTACAACATATTGGTGCCTATCAAGTAAAAATCACAAGCGAAATTTGTGGGGTTGAAAATGTAGGGCAATCCCTTAATTGAAGCCTCAAAGTCAATGTTGAAGTTGAATTCAGTATCTGAAAATGCATGACGATAATCACATCGATATAAAAGAATGAGTCTAATGAATTAAAATATATTTTTAGTCTTGTGTTTCTCGTCTGAATTGCGACTCTTATTCACTGCCATGTTTGCTGATAAGGGTTTCTAACTCAAATATATTTTTCTCTATGGTTTATTTTTTCCTCGAAATTCATTATTTTACAGCCAAGAGAAATCTTTTACTCGGAATAACGCCGCACAGAGAAATTCTATTGTCTTGCTCTCTTTGTATATAACTGATATTTTCTGAAGAACTCTTTTACAACTCAACCATACACAAAGTGTGATAAAAATCATTTCGCACGTAAATGATTTTATTTGGCTAATATTGTGTGACAGAATACTTGAAATAGAAAAATGTTGTTTGTACGCTGGAAGTATAGACACAGACAAAAGACTTTATGGGGTGTGTTGACAATGATTAAACTTTTACTGTATATACTGTTTGATGAGGAAATAATCTTAAGAGGGTCGAATGGGAAGCCTTAGATCACAAACCGAAAGAAGTTTTCTCTGATAGAACTATAATCTAACAGAAATTGTTCAAGAATTACTCAGAAGACTCTCATATTACTCTGAATAAAGCTCTTCCATCCTGAGTCGGAAATCGTGAAGCACATCTTAGATTATATTCCTCTGTGATTATGCGCTAGGAATTAACCGTGGCACAATTTTTAGGACAAAGTTATGAAAGTAGGAAGGTGTGTCCTAATTTGGGAGACCAGATTATATGCCTGGAATGGTACCATAGAGATAAAAAGACATCTTCAAAAGCTATTGACATTATTACAAACTGGTGATGTAAATAAAGATTGATGTGAAATTTCGTGGCAAATTTCAAAATGCTATTTACTGTGCCTTTTTGCCTTCCTTCATAAGCATATTTTCCTCACAGGCTGACGAATCAAGATGGAAAGGCCTGAGTGCCCATTCAAATATTTGTGTAATGAGACCACCATTGAAAAGGGACAATTTCGGTTTCTTCTTTAAGATTAAGGTACGAAACATGTGTATATTCATTCAAGAGCTCTCATTGAAAACCAATTTTAATAGGTTGGTTTCTTGGCGAGAAGCTTCTCGACATGGCTTTTAACTTTATATTTTAACATGCTAATTAAAAATTGCCTATCTAATTTACATATATAATGCATTGTTTCCGTGCGCGTCCCTTAATATTGCTAGTAGGTAGATTTCTTTATAAATAATGTATTACACGTCTCTTTTGTTTCACAAGAATACTTTGCTGATGGCACAGTGTTCAAGACAAATAGGTCAAAATTGAATTTAGCGCTTTTAAAGGTTATCACAAAGAAAGACATTCTTTTCCTGAGAGATGTTTGAACGGCATGGTAAATATTTATTTTATCATTTCCGTGAAAAGCTAATCTCCTGCGAATTGGTGGGTCTTCTGCACTGGATTGATATTTTGCTAAGGCATCAATCGAGTGCAAATTCCAAGAAGAATCCGGAAAAGTTTACCTGTGAGTGCCTTCATTATTTTAAAATTGCGTCATTCATCAAAGTGTTTTGATTCATGAGAGTTACTTTAGCCTGAATCCCTCGTGATTCTTCCGTGAATTTCTACGACGTTACAGTGAATGTTTTTTTCCTCAGCTTGTAAATTTCTGATTTCAAATACGATGAGGAGGCAGAAAATGTTCTTTTTCAGTTTCTTAATTATACTTTTCAATGGAAAAGTTTTAACGTATGCGCAATTTGGAATGGGAGAAATCTCTCTGTTCTTTTGACAAAGATCCTTGAACTAGGGGCGGTGAAAAATACGTGGGTTGTCAAATATTCACGCTGCCAATGAAAGGAAGATACATATGTACATAACGATCACGTGTTTGAAATGTTTGGGAAATTTGTTGACTTTTAACTACAATATTCACTTTGATTTACGGTGTGATGTCTGCATATTTCAGTGGCCGTTGTCGTGGCATTCTTCATATGCTGGGCTCCTCAGCATTCCCAGCGTCTCTTCTCTACCTACGCTCAGGAGAACAACAATGAGCAAGTATACATAACTATCTATCAAACAATGACTTACACGTCTGGCATCCTGTACTACCTATCAACGTGTATCAATCCATTTCTCTACAGTATAATGAGTTATAAATTTCGGGAGGCCTTCAAGGTATTTATTGAACCCATTTTCACCAATGTAAAATAAATATAACATTTTTATGTAGCCATTTCGAAGGGAATTTACACAATATTTCGATAGGCACTTCTCGACTTTAATCGATTTTTTGCGATGCCATAGACGAAATAGATGACTTTTTCGTAGCGCCAAATTTAGAAAATCGTATAATAGAGATGACAAAAAGCATAATAGGAAAATCGGGGAATTCAGAACACGTCTCGTGGGAAAATGGAATACATAGAGTAAACTGACCTTTACCCACAAACGCAATAATCTTAATCTTTCCCCACCAACCCTGAATGACTTTAGTTCCTCCAACACTCCTTACAAAATGAACGAGACTCTGATAACACGAGCGGTATTGCGTTCTTCTCGATCGGAAATATCAAAGGGTATTCACGTGTAGTTGCGAGAATCTATCCATCACTTGTTAGTGTCCATGCAACAATCTTACACCCTTTCTACCTCTTGAAATTCTAACTCTTATTTCCTTTGATGTGCAGAATAGTTCATATGAGTTATGCGCCAAATGTAGTGAGGCAATATTTCATGCAAAATTGGAAGTTTGAAAAGTTGAACATGATAACATAAATTTGCAGTTGGAGTGTCATATGTACATTTGCAATTTTAGTGACTAAAAATCCGTTTCAATCAATTTTCACAGTTACAGTGCATTTTAAAGTGAATTTAGTAAACTCAACTTGAAAAATTCCACCAAATACATTCATTGGGAAAAAACCATCCTTTCAGTGATGGAAAGCAATCACACGAGGGCGCATTTAGCTTTATATAATATATACATTGCAATAGTTGAGATTGACCGCATGCCCACATCAAATCAGTGTAGGTTTTGTGCAAACATTAACACATTTAAATGCCACTCTGTGGGACAGACCAAAGGGCAAAAGTGCCCTATCTCAATGACCGTGAATGAGACGTTAATTAAGAGAGAGCATCTGAATAGAAGTGCCAATTATTTCTTTCCGCGGCTTTCCAAATCTGCCCCATAATATATTTTTAGATGCCGCAGTCGCATGTACATTCTTTCGCTTCGGGGTGGCGAAGAGGTCAGAGTGGAGCGTGTGAGATCCTTTCCTTCGTTCTGGTGGGATTAGAGAGGTTGGGGTAAAAGACAGATACAGAGGAAATTGCCGAAAGAATGGAGGCAAGAATGGAGGGTAGAGTATTTGGTGAAATTCAATGGAGATGAGGTTACTTATTGCCAAAACAATGTGATTTGAGACTCAATTTCATGAGTTTCGCCTCTGGGGATGTTCTCAATTTTACAGATAATGCAAGAAATTGTACGCATGGTATTTATTTACCGACTTGTATTAATAATGTTGATTAAGGTGAACTTCTCTTCTCACGTACCTCACCCTCTGCTCTCTCTCTCTCTTTCTATCTCTTTCTCGGTGTTCAGGAGACCATCGCCTTCTCCCTCCATCGACGCTCAACACGTCCCGGGCGCCAAGGTAGGTTTTATCGAACTGTTTCGCAGCGTTCTCACTCAAACAATTCTCATTCGGCGAACACTTGCTCGTCAATCTGTTCCACACAAATCACACCATACGCGCTTCGGCGTCCGGAAGCAGATTTTGGCCGACTGCCCGCGAACGCCCAACGTCCCCTGGTCGTGTCCTTCAGACGCTTCGCTAGGCCGCGTCCGGGTGATCATGATTTATCCAATGTGCCCATTAGCGAGAAGTCCAGTGACGATCCGACCTCCTCCACGGCCAGCGCTGAGCCCATCCTCAAAAGCCAGTGCTGTGGCATAGCCAAAATGGGCAACTCAGCCATCTCCATAAAGCCCATCCCGGAGAGCTTTCTGCCGCGTCGAATGGACATGGGGCACCGGTGGAGTGAGGACGAGTCGATATTCCCCACCCAGCCCACACATCTCACGCGCAGTGATGAGAACTTGCCCCAATTTGTACATGAAGCCATCAGGGAGAACATGTACACGCCAGGCCAGAGACATTTAAGTCAAACTGTCGGCATGCAACAATCCATATTCCACACGGTGCAGGAGAAGGCTCAACAATTTGTATCGCGTCACGTGTACATCGACTTCAATGGCAAGAAGAGCTGTAGGTCACCCTATGATAGCCCGGAGATGTCCAACAGCTCGAAGCAGCTCGAGGAGAACCTGCAGAAGATCCTGGAGGAAGTTGTTCTGCATCCGATCAAGCATGCAAAACCCCGCCGACGAGTCACGGATTTTATCCGGCTGAATGGGGGCAAAAGCAGTATTTGCTGTCTCAGCAGCGCCAAAGAGCCCAATTCCACGGGCAGTAGTGTGAACAGCGTATTCGAGGGCGAGCAGAGACGCATGGCCAAGAGCAAGAGTCTGCCAACGTTCGCTACTTTGAATGTCGCCACAAGTAGCGAAAGCTCACAGCGGAGCTTTTACCATCCACCGGATATATTCGCCTAGAGACGCCCTCTGCTCACCAACACAGAACTTTCGGAGTGAGGCGTCTCCACTGAGGGCTGTCCTCAGCAGAGCAGTGTTGTTAAATTACCCCCGTTTTAGACTTTTTATGACGTGTTCGCGTAAACAAATTGGAAACACGTGTAGATAGGTATTGTGTCTGCTAGGATAGATTTTGTAAATGAATTTAAATCGTATTAATGTTAATATGAATGGTAATTTTGTCGTGATGTTATTGTGATAATTAATTTGACTACAACGATTGGATGAACCAAAATTCATACAGTTTTTTAAGATGTTCTAAATGTGATATACATATAATCACTATCAGTTCCAAGTGTATTAGAGAAGTTGGAGCACAATAATTTTCTATTAGAAAATGAAATTTTCTAAACTTTATTATGATGTAATTTAACAACACTGTGCTTAGTGAAAGCTCACCTGGCGCCTCCACGGCAATGTATTGCATCATCGTGGCTATTATCACCTAATTGTTGAATGTGTGATTGATATAACCTGTGAAGAAATGATTTAGTGTGATTACTGAAATGCTTACCGTATCATAAATCCACAATCTGTATAAATCCCCATCAAAGTGATTAAACCGAATGTCGCTCCCAATATTCTGTTTACTTTGCAGTTTAAGTGCATCACTTTTCTTATTTCAACCGTCCACTGTGTATTTTCAGATGACTGCAAATCAACATATCAATTATGTTCGTTGGCAAATCATTCAGACGGTTTTGTTTGTTCAAATCACAGGCGAAGACGTTTGGAGAGTGTATAGATAAACATCACGAAAGATGAGCGTTTAAGTATTTTTGGCACAATTATTGCAGTTCAGAAATATACGGATTTCTTGTAAATTATCTTTTATTGAACACACATTTCTGGTCATCCAAGCAACAATTTCTCAATGAAGTTCTCTTCTAAGTGTGAATCTCAATTTAACATCAATCGAGAATATTTACTATGACAAGAGCAGTCAATATTTGAATTTTTATTTATTTTTTATTTATATACTGTGTTCATACTTGGCGTGAAGATTTCTGTAGATACAATTTTATGTAATACATAAATATATAAGCTTAGAGGCTTATCAATCTCTAACTGAAGTATTCTGATGTCAACGTATTTTTCCTAGAAATTCGATACCAATTTTTGTTGATTTGTTTGGTAAATTGAGTAGCTTAACAAAATTCACAACAATGGTTATAAAATACGGTTTTTATTAAAATCATATAATATAATCAAAATAACATCACGAAGTAAAATATTTGTAGTATCATAGATAAAAATTCCCTTGAAAATTCCTTATTTTTCACTTTTATGAATTCGAAATGATATGTTGGAGTAGCAGGAGACAACTTCCGAGTAACGGATAGAATATTTCTAGAATGTGTAGGAAAACATGATTTTTGTTGGGATCTACTGCATAGGACAAGTGTTCACAGAAAACAAGCATGCACAAATCACAAAGCTTTGAACCACAACTTGTAGAATGCAGAATTCTTTGTCAACAATTTTAGATATAAATCGCAAATTTCAAAATTAAATTAGAATCTCTTAGAGAAGTGAAGAAAAGTTTTTCATAAAAATTCTTTGCAATAAATATTATTATATTATGCATAAAGCACTCACCCTTATATGTTGGCAAAAAGCAGACCACTTGAAAGTGTGCAGAGCAGTCAACAATTTTCAATGAATGATTTTCAGTGAATTTTCTATATTATTTTCGTACTTGTCACATATTAGACAAAGGGAATTTTGATTCTATGAAAAAGGGAGGAAACAATTCTCAAAGTATTTCATTTTATGGTGAAGAATTTACAACATCCTACATGAAGAATGAGAGAAACTGAAAGAAACATTGTTCCATAAAAAATGCTACACACCTTTTCAGCTTTTGATATTAAAAAAAAATTGTCTATCACTTTTATTTCTGAGATGAAGAAGAATGGATGAATTCGGGAAAATGAACTAAATTTCTTGCTGAATTCACTCGATATATTTTGTAAATTTAAATTCATAGAAATGTTGATGGAACTTAGAAGGTTTCCGCGATTTTCTCTTTCACTACTTTCCTTGCATTATACCTTTACATAACTTTTTCAATATATGACTGATATGGATTCATATGGAATTTTCGTTTCATCCAATGCTATTTTCCAGTTCCATTCTACGCAATACAGATATACATATATCATACATATATACATTTATCGTCGCCCTGAAATCTGTTGTTCCTCTGGTGAATCTCATCTGCTGAATGAACTGATGATTATGCCTTGGCAAATAAATTCAGCCGCAATATAAATAATTACTAGTGAAAGAAAGTAATAGGAGCTTCCCTGGGGTGGCCTTGCTTGTGTGTCCCATTAAACTTCAGAGAATGGGATGTTTTGTTTGTCCAGTGATAAGGTGTGTGCGGCGGAGACGGACAATGAAAGGAAATTGACAAACTCCAGCCGTGTCTCACATCAATCTTCACACAGTTGGGAATTGGGAGGTTTTTCTGATAAATTGAGGAATTCAGCTCCTGGCATCATGTTAACGTTTCCCCCAGAATCCTCGTCTACACACAATTGAGGGACAAATTCCCGCGACACCCCCACATTTGACAGATCATCCGGCTGGAGAATGCTTTAATATCGGCCAAATGAGACCAAATTCTATACCTCCTCTCCAAATTTACCCTCACCGACCCTCCCATTACGCGGGCAATCTTCTCGGAAATCAGACGTTCTCAGCCTCGAAATTATGCGTCTAATTTAAAATAATTGAAAAGGAGCTCGAGTTCACAGTTTCCAGTGTAAGATTTGAGAAGATTTTCCGCACTTTCGCAAGACCCAAACACACTGAATTCATCTACATAAGGATATGGGGAAAAATCCCAACGGTTTTATGACCCCTGATTTTTATTTTCTCGCTTTATCGACAATTTAGGTTTCGCTCTTGATGACTGTATTTATGTTAGATGTCTAATGAAATATATCTGCCTATCAAGCGCTACTGACTTATAAAATTCACACTCTTCCTATATAATCACTATAGTCTTTTGATTATATATGATAGTCACACTCTGGCACATCTTAAGTAAACAATGATTAAATTTCCTCCTCCACAAAGCGAAAGAGTAATATAAAATGCCTTTTTCAGTGCGGAAACCTGACTGGAATTTACTTTTTATCATGGTAACAGAGTAGATGAAAGAATAATCAAATTGGTACTTACAAAGTCTTAATTTTTCGAATCCTTGTGCTGTTCAGGAAATATTAAAACGCACCAGTATTACATAAATGGGGGTATATTCAGCTACTATAGAACCTTTTCTTAACATTTATAGCTATTTCAATATTATTATTATGTAATTTGCACAACATCATCAATGGTAATTGTAACACTCGGTTGCAAGAATGCCAACAGAAGGAGAGTCTAATACGAAAAAATTATCACATTGTCGTTTGAATTGAATACACAGTGCAATAATCACATCAATTAATATCTCTGAGCTCAGTGCCACGCTATGTTGGCACTCAACTCCATTTCTCATCTCTTCTCACGTAGCTTCAGTTGCTTCATGTACGCATCGAGTTCCGTCTCCAGGAACTGCACATCTGTGACTTTTGCGGAATCTTCTTTTGAAGATAGTTGAGTATTGTCTGCATACTTCAGGCAATTCCCTTCACCATTCTGCGTGGCTTCATCTTGCCAATCACTTTTGCAACTTAGCATATCCCACGAATCCTTTGAGTTTTCGTGGTAAAAGTGGTATATGTGACTACATTTGACTGCCGAGAAATCCGCCCCACAGTGGCGACAAATATTGTCCTGTGTTGAGAAAAGCACTTCATCCCTGTCGAGATCATCGTCGTTGAGTGTGGTCTCCCGAACATGACAGTTCTGATGGACGCGACCGTGCGACTGTCCATTTGGTGACGTGCGTGGATAAATGTTGACCACTGTTTTGTGATACAGCGGCAGCTGTGGTGCTTTCTTGCCGTGCGATGAGTACTCCTCGCCTGCGGACTCCTTGAGGATGTCCATACCAATAGGGTACAAGTATGCATCTGCTTCGCCATCGTCCACAATTCCAGCCATGCTGTTCTGGTGGCTATTTACAGAATAGCCTCTGGACATAGTCACCGAATCGATGGATTGCTTTTGAGTAGAGGAAGAGTAGACACTCTCATCTCTGATTGAGTTCCCTTCAATGGATAACAATAAAGATTTTTTTTACAGAAGGTTATTCGTCATGGAGACCATCTCTTTTGCCATGGGTATGCCAAAGATTGAGTAACACATTTGAAAGAATTGGGCATTTGGCAGGGCCAAAAGTTTCTGACATGAGAACAGAGCAAAGGAAGAATATAATGCTTAAGAAAATTTCTCTCAAAGTCTAAGTGGTTTCGGATATTGATCAAAGTCAATTTGGAGAAATTGGTGGAACAAGCAGTAATGGTTTAGTGAGTTCACTTGATTTTTGTTTAACACTAGGACAGCCATAACGATTAAATATCCAACCTTTTAGAAACTTAATATTTTATTTATATATAGATATATTTCTATGATTCATTCAATAAAAATGCAAACCTACGTTTCAATCTTTAAAAATCATGCATTTTTATAAAACGGAACTCTGTTCTAGGCTAACGTAAATCTTCATTTTGCATCACAAATTAATGAAAAAAAAATAATTTCCTGTCAGAATCAATAATTACCTATTTTGCTACAAAATTAATTAAATGGTGAAGTATTCCAATATAAAGTATTTTTCAGAGTAAGAGAAAAATGTATACATCATAAATAGGAAGTGGAAAATTCAAAAAAATAGTGGAATGAGAAATTAAATGGCCAGAAAACGGATGAAAGGATTTGTCAAAATGTCATTCTCAGTTATACCAGTATTAAATATAACATTAAAGCATTCCTGCCATAAATTCAATCTTCAAACTCTCACCCCGTCCATTAAAAGTTTAAAAGGAGCAGAGCGATGGAAGCTTCCCTGATCATATGTTATGCCTTCGGGCTAACACGCACATTCTCGTTACTTCTTTCGCGAATCGACGCGAACAGAGGAATTCAAGTGATATAATAATAATTTAATGGGGTGAGAGTATAGGTATAAACTCAAGTATTGCAGGTAAAACGAGTGAAATATTTCCGACATGAAGCATCTTGGTGAGAGGATGAAGCATAAATAGACGCCCAATTGAGCATGAAACTGTGATAAGTGCGGTAAATGTCAGGTTATTATGTGATTACTCAATCTGTGGGCATGAGCTGGGAACGACATGTGGAAGCAACAAGGAAAGCAAGGTGGGATTATCTCACCGGAATATTCTGAAGACTCTTGAGCTCCGAAACGTCTTCGCTGATTCCGCGACAGTATTCTGTAGGCGCGCTTCGCATGGTGCCGTTGCCGCCGAAAGTGGCAGCATTTCGCCAGAGTCTCCTGAACAAAACAGACTAAAATTGAATTAAGGTATATTCGTCATGCAGGAACTTGCCTACAATCAAACTCAATCAACTCAGCAATTAAGGGAAAAGATTTAATTAAGAAGTATGGGTGCTTTTGGCACGCGAAATATGCTCGAAAAACTTTTCACTCCAAAACTTGTACACCATGCGTTGTGATTTATTATGCATTGTATGTGGAGAAGCATTATGCGAAGCACAATATGTGGCAAACTCACTAATTTAGGAAGCTCATTTTATATTTCTTACGCATTATTTTCTATTGTTTATGCCTGCTTTGAATATGGGTGGCAGCAGGGTGGTTTTCACATAAATGAGGGCTTACCTTAAATGCCTCCCGGAATTTGTTGCTCATGATGTTGTAAAGCAAGGGATTAATGCAAGTTGATAAATAGTAGAGAACTCCGGAAATGTACGTCATTATCACATAAATTTTAAGCATGAAGGGATCCAGCGATTGTTCAGGTCCTGTGCCGTAAATGGCCACGAGGCGCTGAGCATGAAATGGGGCCCAGCATATAAAAAATGCCACCACAACAGCCACTGAAAGGAGAAAAAATACATTTTGCGTATATTTCATCGACAGTATAACATGTGTATCTTGCGTGGTGCTAAAAATTCCTGAGGTGCTATAGGTAAGGAGAGCAATAAATATCCGGAAATTCATCCCCAAGTACAATAAGTGCCTAAGGCCAGAACGAGACGTGGAGAGGGCTTCTTCTAGTCAGGTGAACATGCTCATATAATTCAATTTGCGGAATTTGATAAAATATCTGTCAATAAATATTACTGCTTAAACACAACTTATAAATCATGGCTTCCGCCAAGGAGTCAGAAACTTAGGCGAATTTTGCCAAAAGAAACTTTTTGCCGCTGAGAGAAATCAAAAACAAGAATTTTCGGAAAAGATACATCACTTTATGAATTCGGGAAAGAGTCTGTCATTTACCTGACAAACTGTGTGCATGACTTGAATTAATTAGATCAAATTATCCTTTTGAACATTTTCAACTACAATTGTGGTTTTGATATTGAATTTCAACTGCGAACTAGTTTTCAGTGACATATGTAATTAACTTTCTTTCCCGTAAGCTGTATGCGACAACATATTTGAAGAAGATTGAAATTAAGGTATGTTATTTGCTCTCTTGCAATATTGAATATGTGTTTTCGTTTGTATGCTTCATTCGTATGATTGTACATAATGTATATTGACGTACAGCTATGTATGTAATTTATGGTTATCTTCTTTAGCGAGGTAATATCGAATTCAACGAATAGAAGGAATTTATACCAAAAAGATTTTTCCTCTCAAATATGACATGCTCGACATCTGTGAATCAATGATTATGTATCAAACAAAGTAAAGCAACGTCATCATCTGTCATAAAGGGAAAATAGGACTGAACACGAAAAATGCGGTGAATGAGATTCCAAGAATTCAAACTTTATATAAATTTAACACAGATTTAATACCATAGATGATATGCATATGTGAATCAATATTATCAGTTCTTTTTTATTAACCTACGAAATGTTTGTATGAAATAATGAAACTATTAAGCCATATTAATCCAAAGTTCACTGTGTTAAATATTACTTCAATTTATTTAATTATTGTATAGCTTTTCCAGTTTTCCTCTAATTATTTTATCATTTGAAAATAAGCCCTTCCAAATGAACAAAAAAGTGATGACAAAATATGTATTTGTTATGAAAATTAACCGCTTTGTGCAAAATTTGTTCATGTAATTCTACACAGTTGCTGTCAAATTAATTTGACAATAATTTCATATGTATTTTTCAGGGTATTATTATGAACAACCCGAAAGCTTACATAATTGGCAGAAAAATGTGGGCACTGTGATTCTGTTTTTGTTAATTAGTCATTTGTTCTCTGTTTATTTCATTTTATGGCCTTAATTTGAGAATCACAACGAATCTCTGTGAACACAATACGGAACTACATACATATTCATATCAAATGTGTCACGCAAAGGTAATTTCAACTTGAGATTAACTGGAGGGATGATTTCATGGAACAGGTGGATATTAACTTAAGTCGAATCTTTCACTTTTGCTCCATGTCGTCATATACATATGACATCGGATCGAGATAAAGTGTATGTTTAATCTGTGAGTGGGAATGTGATAATTTTGCGCTGACAGTGACCGAGAATTTCTTCGCCTCTCCCGTGCTCATGATCCACTTGTGGAGGAGCCTTTCTATGTCAGGGACAAATTTGTGTATATAACACTCTATGTACACAGTATCTCTGTCTTTAATGTTACTGGAGTATCTAGGACCCCTCAAAACTCATTCGGGGAAGACACTTCAAAAGCAATCTTAATTTTTTATGCCTGTTAGGCATCTGTAGATTACCTCCCGAATTTCTTTTAATACAATCTTCGTCATTTATGGAGGAATTATATTTTTCATTCGGAATTTTATTATTGAGTTTAAAAATTACCCTTAGTCAATGGATAATTTCAAAGATAAATTTGAAGGAATGCGCATTTCTTCTCAAACACTCAATACATGCCTATATAAATATGTAAATTACTCATGCAATATATGTACATATGGTGCAAGTTGGATTGTTTTATTAAAAATTTGTTACAGAGGAAAAAGTTTATTGAATAAGTCTATCCACTTGATATACTTAAAGACTGAGTTTTCCCTGAGTTTACAAGACTTTGATCAAAATATGTACATACATGAGTTCGTCATGAAGCCTTTTAAAATCCTAAAAGAAGAAATACTTTTGAAAGATTTCACTGTTAATTCATTTGTATGACTTTTTCTCTTCTGTCTTATGTACTTGGTATAGTGGTAATATTATGAATATTTCAAAAATTTGCTTACCAAGCATTTTAAGGACCCGTTTAGTGCCCAAATGAGTTTGCTGTCGACAAGAGTTTATATGTCCTCGTCTATTCCAAGTGGATCCACCATCTCTCTTCATCATGCTGGATGTCCGTAATTTGAGGCCGATGAGCACATAAAGCACAGTGATAAGAGTCATTGGTGCGAAGAAGAACAGGAAGGTGGAGAGCTCGAATGAGTGTTTTATAATTATTCGCTTGACTACGCACTGATCGATGCCCAGGTGATTAAGAATTCCAAATTGGAGGGCCTGTGGAATGGCGAGGGCGAGCGATAGAATCCAAATGAAGACAATCAGACGAACCGCACGGGAGAGCTTTGACATGGTATGGGAGAGAAAGGGGTGGCAAATGGCCACATAGCGCTCGACTGTGAATGCTGTGATGGTGAGAACGGTGGCATTGGCGGAGGTTTCAGCTGCCAGTCCTCGAAGAACGCAGAACGTCTCGCCAAAGACGTAGGGGTACTTCGACCAGATGTAGTACATCTCCTGTGGCACACCAGAGATCAGTAGAAGGAAGTCTGAAATGGCCAGACTGAAAAGGTAGTAGTTCGTGGCCGTGTGCATAGCCTTGTTCCGTGCTATCACGATGCACGTGCTCACATTCCCAATGACGCCACTCACGAAGATCAACAGGTAGATTACCGTGATTGGCAATACTATATACAGTGGATCTCTCTTTGGGCCGAAAATATCTGTGAGATTGTAGTCTGTGTAGTATTCCGTTTCGTTGTCACTGTCATAGGCACTCCCTTCGTCGGTAGTGAGATTCCTCACTGCCAACGAAATCGTGATGTTTCCGTTGATTATATTTTCACTGAACAATATATGCAAAGTATTCTCATCCATCTTGATCAGTAACTGTTCTGCAAATATTGGAAGTCACTTCCGCAACACTGAATCTATTACATCACCACATGAGTCGCATGAACAATCTCATGCTAATTGTGTCGTTGATGGTTTGTTAAAATGTTTTAATTGAAACACTTCATAAGTACATAAATACCACTTGTGAGTGTTGGGATAATAGGGTTATATCGTTGTGAGCTGAACACTGAAACAATATAAAAAAAAACTCAAGATCATTCGGAGTCATCAAAAAATATATATTCAACAGATGTGTAGTTTTCTCCTCTTTTTCAATCTACGTGGAAACTGTCAATATATTTTTTAGCGGGAAATCAAAAAATCCAAAGTTTTATGTACATACATATAATACATACTCGTCTACTCCATGTTTCATGCAAATCTATTATATTCTGTAACTCTGCAAAGGATTCTAAATTAATTGCCACAGCTATTTGCTTGTATGATATTCCCGTCCTGGCTATGCTATTAATATATTATCAAGTATTGTACCATCTGTGGTGTATCTATATTTCTACGGAAATTAGCCATGATCATGCACAACTTTTCGAAAGGATTATTATCATTGCGACTTGAGTGATGTTTTAAAAAGCTGCTCATGGTAAATATCATTTTCAAAGCAACTATTCATTATGCTAAATTTGAACATTTTACTTTTCATGTTACATTACCAGGAAAATTTAATGAGCGACCTGAATAGTGTAATACTTGAAGTACTATTTTCTTCTAATTTACATTCTCGCAAATGTATATTATGGTCGCATGATTTCTTTGATGAAAAACAAATTGGTTTCATAGACTCTCGACTCTGTGTATTATACATATGAAGTTTCACAGTAACTCTTCAGCAAAATTAAATTATGCTAATGAGTGTCACAAACTAAACATTTATTATACTTAAACCATAGCCCAAAAGTAATACTTCAACAAACTGTGTGACTTTTATTTCAGTCAGGCGAGAAAGTGGCAATTAATGGAAGCGGTATTTCACAAGTAGTAATAACATTAATTGATTTTTAGCGTTTGCTTACAACATCTAATGCTCGATGGTTGAGCTTTTCCCGCTGAATCATTTTGAATATTTTTTTATACACTATACATGTTTCTTTTACATATGTAGATATGTTCTCGTATTAGCACAAATCCTCAATTAGCTACACACTTGAACTTCACTCTATGTAAACATGTCTCAGGATTTTATATTTAGCAAGTAGGAAGTTTGTTCTTATCGTGATCTTCTGAAATCCACAACTACACACGCCGCGGTATACAGAATAACATGAAAGTAAACTGCTAGAAGCTTAATTGTCTTTAAACTGATTTATGAAATTAATATATGACAAATTTCAGTGGGGCGAGTTATTCAATTTAACCACTTTACCATATTAGTTGGGAAAAATTTGTTCCTCATGAAATACACTGAGATTTTGGGTTTTGTGTTGTAGAAACATGGGAATGTTAAATAATAAATAAGCTTAGCTTCTGTAGTTGAAATTTTGAATAATGCGTGCATGAAAAGTTATTCTCTAGAATTACCATCATTTAAATAAGAGAGCTATTGAAAATCCAAAATAGATGTAATGCATATCCGCAGGTATACCAGGAAAAAGAATTAATGAAAAAGTAGCACTCAATACATTACAGAAAAATACGGATTATTTTATAGAATGCATAACGTGGAATTCCTGATGATTTACGTCATTACGTTTCAGGAATATGTGCGTTCAATTGTAGTACATAAATATAAGAGAATTAATCATATAATTACCGTTGTAAGAAGACAAATATAAAATTCTTGGAATATGAGAGATAATGAATTAAATCACCCAGTAAAGTCTCATCCATTAAACTTTAACTTCTACACCAAAAGTAAAAAAAAATTATTCTTGATCAAATTGTAATACAAGAAAGTGAATTTTTAAAAAGCTTACAAAATAAGTTCAATAAATAATTTACTTGTAGTGTTATATGATTCAGACTCTTAACATGAATTCTTTTGTGCAAACATAATAACACACTTTTAACATAAATACACTGAGTACAATGTTTTGACACTTTAATTTTATCACCTTTCACTATGTATTATAAACAATCCCGAAGAATATATTAAATACCTATACAATTTTTAGAACACCTTTATGAGTAATATGGAAAAATTTCTTGAAACCGTTCAAACATCTTAACAGTTCACAATGACTTCTCTATGAAAATTCATTGCACTGTCACAGCCTCCTAATGCGAAATTTATCACTGAAACCGATGCTTTGTATTCAAAGAATTTCCATCAGCTGTGGTCCAATGCCATGAGAGAGGCGCTTTTCCTGTTCGTCCGCACTGGATGGCGTCGCGGAAGATACTGACTTCGCTGTTACATACAGCTCCGCTGTTTCCCTCAATCAGACGCTCGAGTTTTCTCTCGACCGAATGGATGACTGTATGTTCCTCGTGCTATGTGGGAGTGAAAGCTCAAGCTGCGAAGAATACCAGGCTGGAAACATGTTGGTTTCATAAAATACTTGGATATGAATTAAAAAATTACACATTCTTCAGTGAGCTCTGTAACATTTGATAAATGATATTACATTATACCACATCGCAATACCACAATTTGAGTAGTATATATACATTTAGACGTGAATTAATTTCGTAGCAGGTGATAAAAGATCAAAAAGGAACCATAAACAACAAAATATCGTCTCGTTGATATTTAATAAACCAAACTAGAAAGTGAATTTTGAACTGATTTCACTTTAGAAGTCCCTAAACATCTCATAGACATCGAATAGAGAAGAAAATCTTCTCAAAAACCCATGACTGCTGTGGGACAGCCATAAAAGTGGAAAAGTTGAAAACTTGAAAGTTTAAAAGTCAAAAAAATCGAAAAGAACTTTATGCCCTTTACAAGCACAATTTGTGCCAAGTGTGTTCTGTAATATTCCATGGCGAGAAAGCGTCAATTCGGTGGCCACATGATATATAACACATTACATAATACAGTATATGTGTGAAAACTTACACAGTAAACTTTTTCGAAACATTTTCCACATTTACTTTACTTTTAATGAAGAAATTGAGAAGGTAGTGAAGCCAACTAACAGAAAAGTAGAGTTTGCTAATGGCTAAGGAGGTATTCAATTACTGAGTCAACATCGATGTAAAGATAATTTGAATTCTCTTTAAACATTTCCAATAGCTGTAGTAGATCACTTTCAGTTGTGGTCCCTTTTTTAAGCATGCAGTAGAAAAAGCTGTAATCAGATTTCTCTACATTCCAAAAAAGAACTCTCACATGTGTAAAGATGGAGCTTTAAATAATTCATTATAGGATATAATTAAGTAGAGAATATTGAATCACTTATCAAATATATTTGTTTGTTTGAGTGTTGCTTCATCTCGCCTTTTCCTCTCTGAAAAGTAAGAATTCAATTAACTCGATATCTATCTCTGGAAAATTTTATCAGCGCTGTGCGAAGATATTAAAATTGTCAAAAATTGAGATTGTACGCTTCAAATATTTGTTCATGTCAGGAGGGTAACGAAGATTGGAAATACTTGAGGGGTGTCTTTCAACGTTGCCAATTAGTTTTTTAATGTTTAGCTCACAGTTTGCATGCGGAATGTTGTACTTTGAAGTCAATCATCTTGTAAAAAGGATCGTAATGTTCAGTGAAATAGCTGGAAATAAAATATTCCGCCATATATAGCATCTTTATCTTGGCTTGGCCTTTATTTGTTATGAAAGGATAAGTGCTCCTTTCAAAAGTTAAGGAAACATTTTATGTTATTTTTACTCACTCTTCGTCTGACATTCTTTTACCATTACGTCCCCAACTTTCAGCAGTTTTGCCAGAAATGAAGTATGCGGTCAGAAAAGTGTGTGGTTTCAATTTTCTTTTATCCTCAACCCCTAAACATGTGACCACCACCAATGCGTGCTCTTCATCTGGTTGAGCATTGTTATGAGGTCGTCTGAATGAAATATTATGTGATGATCGGCTTTATATTGACATCCCAGAACTTATGACAAAAGAAAGCATCAAGGCATGAAAAATCTCGCTATTGGAAAATGTATGGACATAGAAGATTCTTATGACCTGATGCAATATTTATGCTATGAAAATGATACTGTCCCGCTCCTCCCATCAAATTCCGATGGGGCAAATTTCATGATATGTCTATAGGATATTACATTATGCGTTCAGCACAACATAATATTGTCAAACACTTCTCATAAAGTTTCCTTTTCGTCGGCACGTGTAGGAATTTTATCACAATTTATATATTGCTGTTAGATATGACTTTATACGTGTCCATCGATGCACATCTCTTCTTCGTTCCAACAATGGTGAGTCGACCGCAGTCCTTTTTCTAATTTTCTCTCAGTTTCTATGAGAATTTTTTCGAATCTCAGTAATTTATATATATTGTTTCATTGGAACTGAAATCAGATAAAAAAGGAATTTCAGCGAAGTAATAGAACTTTTCTCTGAAGATGCTAAAAATAAATCAAAATCTCATGTTATTGATTAGACTTGAATTTATAGGCTTGACAGCCAAAGAGCAGACGCTTTAAAATTGAACTTACTTTACTGTATTGCACAAGGTATTGCATATTCAGAACAAGATTTTGATCGTGAGCCTTCACATAGAATATATGTGTTACAAAGTCTATAAGAATTACATATCTATCATAAAATATTACGCAAGCGTAAATACTAAGAATTTTTCTTGCATCACTGGGATATTTAATAAAAAGCATAATAGCATCTAATTGAAACGAGATATGTGTAATTTATATATTTTGAATTCATTGATAACATAAATTTACAAGGAAATATGCTAATTTCTCTCTTGAATGAAATAAAGGATTTGATGTTAATGACAAGGAAATTATGTCTCAAATGTCGCCATAGAAAGGTATGAGATTTAATTTATGTTCATCAATCAATATTGAAGGACTCTTTTTATACATAATTAGGCTATTTTTGGCATAATTTTTTTTTCACTTCCACAAACAAATGATTGCCAGTAAATTTCAAAACAAATTTCCTACGTGTGATTTGAGAAACGTGTGTTCACTTAGATTTAACATTTTTTGTCACAATATCCGCCTCTAAATCCACTCAGTGTTGAACTTTTTGTATTTCCACACGATACGATAAAACAAATATTCATATTTCAACGGTTGAGAAATGCTAAGACTGTTTATTTGATAAATTTTTGCTGCGCAAAGCGCCTCGATTTTCAAGAACAAACATTCATAAAATACGTGAAGCTATTTATATTCAAGTGGGACCTGAAATAAAAATATTGTGGCAGAATTCTTCAAACTTGGGATCAATCAATATCTTGAATGACTGGCCAGCGTTGATTTGATGTAGAATATACTTGATAGCAGTGTATTTGCCATTTCAATTTAATTTCCTACAAAAATGCAACCGAAATTGAAATGTCCTAATTAAAGACAATTGTTGGTTTATATATCTTTGTTGCTTTATCGAACCTTAAAGATTTCATGAATCCAAAATCTAAAGCATGAGTTAGCAAAAGTGATAATACTTTGTAATGGGAAGTGTCATCATAATATATCATTTATGCTGTACTCTCCTAATGTTAAATTGTGTTGAAAATTAAATGCTTATTTTACATTTTCTTTGAATAGAAAGATACCACTGAATTCTAGATGACTCTGTTGCGCCGGAATAAATATTCTTGTTATTGTTTGATCAACATTTGGAAGGTCCTTCCACACATTGAGTATATTTCGGGAAAGTGATAATATGCATACATACATATGTCAGTGAAACTCGGATATCTAAGAATCGCAGATTTTTTCACTTGTACTGTGAGAAGTACTATGTTATCCTTTATCATGTTACGATGCTATAACCATTTAATATATTTCCTTTCTCATTGGATGTAGTACGTCGCAGTGATTAAGTCTGAAATTACAGCTGGGAGATAAACGAGCATTATTGATGCTTCATCACAAGCTGCGCGTCTGTAAGTTATTATTGTGTAGTCAAAACAAGTTTCTCACAACAACGAAGAAAATTACTAATCATGTCACATGCAAAAAATGTAGTGAAGTCGACGCTCAATAAGGACAATGACAGATGAAGAATCACTATATCACTCGCGTCATAAGGAAAAGTTGTGTATATTTATAAGACAGAAAATTAATGACACCGAAACAATAAAGCCGAACTGTGGGCGTAAAAACTTACAATCGATATACTTTTGTGAGCACGAGCCGTTGTAATTTTGCAATGTCAACGTATATATCCTTATATCCATTGAGCTTTTAATAGTACACTCCCCAACTTGCTTTTTATGGCTTAAATCCAATTTAATGCTATATTATTCACATAGATGGTAGGCCGATAGAAAAGTCGTAAAATTGTGTGTTACATTAAACTGACCCCGAATCTCTCGGCACTTCTCTCTAAACTCACTCTGGTAATTTTCTCACATTTTCTGGTATATACTCCATGGTTGGAGTGTCGGTCTTAATGAGGCACTGAGCATATATAAATCATGCGTTTGATATATTTATAGTATCCACAGACTTTATGTTCTTGTTATGACGCCATTAAAGTCTCACTACTCCGTCTACAAAAGCGCTCATTCACGAATTCATTTGTAAGCGTCACCACGTGCTTGCATAATGATAAGGCTTTCAAATTGGTTTCCAATTTACGACTTTGTGAGCAATGATACCAAGTTCTTAAAAAGTGGTTCAATTTTACGTTACGGGTGAAAGGACTGAGAATGCGAGAAGCTTCATTTTGAATAATAAAAATGTACAACATCTGAATTGATTGAATTTGCCATCGCACAATTTTGTTCGAATGTCTTCCTTATCGCATATTGTACATTTGCATTTACTTAAAAAAAAATCCATTCCTTGTGCTTTAGCAACTTTCCAATGTGATCTGTCACGCTATTCACTGCACTTTATAATACCATAAGAATTTCTCAACTACTGCAACGAACTGCCACTTGAGAAGAGAACTTGTCAGCTTCTTACATGTTCATATTATAGTGATTGAGCGCATTAGTTGTCAAGTACTCACCGTTCAATGGCAAGCTTCTAAGAAATTCTACCTATTTCGTGACTTTTAGAGTGAATATTGCCAATGTTACTTATATTAAAAGAAAATGCCATTGCATATTTCTCTTAAAGGTCAAAAAATATTTCTCTGAACTATACGCACATTGCAGAAAAATGGACTATTCTCACAATATTGTTTTAAACGTTTTACAATTCTGTTTCTCAAGATAAATATACTACAAGAAAATTTGTAATTAAAGAAAACCTTTGCTCTCTCATAACACAGTATAAAACAAGATTTTGTACTGTCTTTATATTTCTGATAAATCGTTTTTCCTTTAATTCGTTGTATTTTTGTCTGTCCTTCTTCAATTTTCATGCGAACTTTCAGGAAAACAATGAAAAACATTATGCAATGTGGAAACTTATTATAAATTCCCACTGAGTAATTTTGAGAGAAAATTTGTCTATATTCTATGTTTGGATATGTATATTCTTGCTTCAGCGCATTTGTAATGAGATGACCATGATATTTGCCTTCTGAGTTGAAGGATTTTCTCTCATTAACTACAATAGGAAAATTCCACACGCATTTGAGGATATTCTTACTTGAACCTTTTCAGTTGAAATTATTGGATGAAAATCTGAATGAAATGATTTAAATATCTATATCTCTGTGTGTATATATTTATGTAAAATGCGAGATATGATTGTATTTCTCTTTCTTCAAAAACTTTTCCTTCTACTGTTATTTTGTACACAAATCCGCCTTTAGATTATCATCCGCGTGCCCAAATGACCTTTAAAGTGAGAGTTTTGGATAATTAATTACTCTTCGTTTAAGTACTTTTAATTGCTTATATTTCACATTAATTAAATCTTTCATTTCAAAAGAAGCCAACAGAATTACAGAATGATTTGATTTATTGACAGGCATTTGCATGCATTTAAATAAGTTGAAAAGGGGTTCTAGATTTGGGAAACATTGCTGTATTGAGTGGGAGTTTGTGTGCTAGTAGAATATTATTCTTTACACTTAATATATTATATGTGTGGAGATATGAAGAATGTTTTTGGAAAATTGCAGGAAAGATTATCTTAAGCTAGCATATCTTGAAACCAAAATTGTTTTAACGTCAGCTACTCAATAAAATGCAGAATAAATGATATTAATTGATTCTCCCTGAAAATTATTCAAGTTCACAAACGTTTCGTTGAGTTTCAATTTTCTGTTTTTCACTTTAAATGTAAAAGAAAATTACTCCTAATGTATAATTCATAATATTAAATGACATTTTGACGTTAATTTCTCCAAGAATGCACAATTCTATTGTATTGCAATATCATAAGCTACGTGCTTGTCAAGCAAATTAAATTGGGTTTGCATTAATTAATAGCGAAGCTGAGTGAATTCGTAAATTATTAATATTTGTCTATCAACACAAATAGCATTATACATTATTGGCTGAAATATTGACCTCTTATTGCTGAATATATTGTGTAAGAGTCCATACATTTTGCATGCGCCTTATCTAACAGTCGGAGAAAAATTCCAGGAAAAGTGCTTGCCTCATCAAAATGAACATATTTAATGAGATGTATGAGATACCACCCTCAGCAGTAATACTTTCGCCAGTGCTCAATAATGTTACGTATAGTGGTGCTCACAAGTGCTCTTCTCTGTGTTTTCCTCGCATCAGCAGGAGCACAGAATGTTCCCCCACTGCCTCCAACTCCTGTAAAGTGGCTTTATTCTAAATTTTGTGAATGTAGTTATTATAGAAATTTGCTTTATACTTTAACCCTTCAGACTGAAATTATTCGTCACCATGGATATGTGGCTGAGGAGTATTCTGTCACAACACCTGATGGCTATGTTTTGAAGCTCAACCGAATTCCTCCTTGCGGTAACGACACTGCTTCTCATCAGATTGTTTTCCTGCAGCATGGAATATTGGGATCTTCTGCCGATTTTCTGCTTCAGGGGCCCCAAAAGTCCCTCCCATTTCAACTGGCAGAGTCTGGATACGACGTGTGGATGGGAAATTTCCGCGGAAATGTGTATTCTCGGAAACATAACACTTTGAGTACTAGAGAGCGCAAATTCTGGGATTTTGAGTGGCATGAAATGGGTGTTATGGATTTACCAACAATGGTAGATTACGTGTTATCGGTGACAGGGGAGAGAAAATTGCACTTTGTGGGTCACTCTACAGGTGCAACAGCTGTTTTTGTCCTTCTCTCTATGAGACCGGAGTACAATAAATATTTTAGGACTGTGCAAGCTTTAGCTCCAGTCACTTTCATGAAGAACGTCAGATCCCCTTTCTTTAAGACACTCTCCAGGATGACTCTCACGACTGAGGTTGTCTCTGATTATCTGGGTCACAGCCAATTTGTGCCATCACAAAGGATGCTGGATTTGGGTGGAAGGATGCTGTGCAAGGACCACGCAACCACACAATCTCTGTGTCTTAACACTCTTTTCCTGGTAGCTGGATTTGATTCAGATCAATTAAACAAGGTAAAATTGTTCTTACAGAATTTTCCGCGTATTTCACTTACATGATGAGCTACAATTTTCCAGACTCTTCTTCCCGAAATTTTCTCCCGCCATCCCGCCGGAGCTTCAGTGTATGAATTCGTCCACTATGCACAAGAGGTGAAGAATGGCAATTTTGCACAATATGACCATGGCACTGTCGGAAACCTGAAAAGATACGGATCGACTAATCCACCATCCTATGAATTGAACAAAGTGGCTGCCCCTGTAACGCTGCATTATGCTCAGAATGATTGGCTGGCATCTGTAGATGATGTGGAGCGTTTAGCTCAAAAGCTGCCTAATTGCACTGGCAAATATTTGGTGTCATCATCCAAGTTCAGTCACTATGACTTTGTGTGGGGAGCAGATGTGAAGCAACAAGTCTATGATAAGGTTCTGAAAGTGCTGAATAAAGCATAACAACCTCTATAGATGTTTCAAAATTCAATAATAAATGAATGAATGCTCTTAGTGATTCAAATAACATTACACTGAAATAAAAGCACACGCTTTGTATAGAATTGTGCTGTGTAATTAATTCCAAGCAAGTTGATATGACTTCTACACTGTAATAAAAAATGTTATTCTGAAAATAAATTTGACGCAAAATGATTTTTACGGGCTGAAATGTTTCAGTGTGTCTGTTAACTTTCTCTTTCGCTATTTTAAAATAAAATGCATTGATAAGAAACAGTTTCTTAGACATTGTCATAGTACTTTTTAATATACAATGTGCGCAAATGAATCTGAAAAAATGATATCTCTGTGCAAAACTAAGTAGAGCTTATAATTCCTATCATGACAAAAGAACACACGTGAAGAGACTCTGGCTATCTGTCGCTGCCAAAAGTCAAAAAAATAAATCTTCAGATACGAAGTTAATGATAAGATACAGCAAACATTATAAAAGGACCACCTGCCGAACTCGCAATTCAAAGTGAAATTTTCAATCAGTTGGTGACGTGAAAACATATTCACAATGCTGCGAATTTTGCTATTCGTGGCTGCTGTGGTGTACAGTCAAGCCCTTCCAGCTCAGACTCCTGTCGATTTGCAGGGTGATCTGGATTATACCCCTATCGATGAGAATGGGCAGGTTTTGAGATTTCTCTCTGTGGTCAGTATAGTCAAACTACAATGTTTTAAATAAAGTGTAAAAAATTGGTAACATTCCATTCGTTAGACGGAAATGATTGAGTCGTACGGATACCCAGTGGAAACACACGTTGCTCAAACTGCAGATGGATATCTTCTTACCATGCATCGAATTCCTTATGGCCGAGCCCCGGGTGCGGGACCAGCGCCAAATAAACCCGTGGTTTTCCTTCAACATGGACTGCTGTGCTCCTCCGCGGACTGGGTGGTAATTGGACCCTCACGAGCGCTTGCTTACCTTCTCGCCGATGAAGGATACGATGTTTGGATGGGAAATGCAAGAGGCAACACCCATTCAAGAGCCCACATCAATCTTAATCCTGACCGTCGCGCATTCTGGGACTTCAGCTGGCACGAGATTGGCATATTCGATCTTCCTGCAATGATTGACTATACATTGAGACACACTGGTCAGACGCGCCTTCACTATGCAGGACACTCCCAGGGCACAACATCGCTGTTTATCATGCTTTCTCTTCGTCCCGAGTACAATAACGTCATCAAATCAGCTCATGCTTTGGCTCCAGTTGCCTTTATGGAGAATTTGCGAAGTCCATTTATTCGGGCTTTTGCTCCATTTGTTGATCAACTAGGTATGTTTTTTGCATGCCTGAAATTTATTGAAGAATTTTTTCACTACTCTATTTATTACACTTTTATTTCCTTCTCAGATACTATAACGAGCCTACTTGGAATGAATGAGTTCATGCCCAGTAACACTATGATGCAGATGGGAGGATATTTGACGTGCAGGGATGAATCCTCTTTCCAAGAAGTGTGCGCTAACGTACTGTTCCTAATTGCTGGATTCAATTCAGAACAGTTAAATCGGGTAATTTCTTAAAGCACTCGCTTTTCCTCTAAAATACTTTTGTATTTATATTATTGCATTCACAGACAAAACTTCCTGCTATTATGGCGAATACTCCTGCGGGAGCTGCAACTCGTCAGCTAGTTCACTATGGACAACTCCAACAATCTGGTCACTTCAGACAATTCGACCACGGATTTTTCGGCAATATGGCAGAATACGGTTCCAGGAATCCACCAGATTATCCTCTAGATCGCATCACAGCTCCTATCGCTCTTCACTTCAGTGACAACGATTGGTTGGCAGCTGTTGTTGATGTGAATCGCCTACGGGGACAACTGAGAAACCTTATTGGACATTTCCGTGTGCCGTTAGCTTCCTTTAATCATCTAGACTTCCAGTGGGCCATAGATATCAAACCGTTGCTCTACAACAGAGTCATTAGTTTGATAAACCGTTGGAATGATTGAGCATTTGAATTTGTGAACAGTACATAAAAACGGATTTGCGAAAAACCTTTCTTTTAATTTAATATGTCTCTGGTGTTTTTAAATTCTTTTTTTTACATACTTTTCTACTTACAAACATAACATTCTCCACCTAATCAATTTGAAAAGTAAATTGTTTGAATAATAATATCTATATTGAATAATTGTCGTAAATTTAAAATGTTTAAAAAAGCCTTTTTCTGTAACATGATAATAAAAGTATTAAATGTTGTGCAAATAAGTGCGAGATGACGATATCTCTGTGTAAAAGACTAAGCACCAGCTTAGTACCAAATAAAAAAATTATATAATAAAGCATATACGTAAAGAGATTGTTGCTATCTATTCGAAAAATAAGCCAAAATTAATATTTAGATACATAAATGTCTGACGATAAGAAGCGAATTACATTATAAAAAGATCGCTTGGTGAATTCGCTACTCAAAGTGAAATTTTCCATCAGTTGGTGAAGTGAAATCTTGCTCACGATGCTGAGAATTTTATTGTTCGTGGCTGCTGTGGCGTACAGTCAAGCCCTTGTAGATCACATCTCGGTTGATTTGCAGGATGGTTCAGACTTGAATTCTCTCTCTGTGGTCAGTAGTTAAATTAGCATTGTGAAGCATAGTCAAATGGTAACATTCCATTCGTTAGACGGAAATGATTGAGTCGTACGGATACCCAGTGGAAACACACGTTGCTCAAACTGCAGATGGATATCTTCTTACCATGCATCGAATTCCTTATGGCCGAGCCCCGGGTGCGGGACCAGCGCCAAATAAACCCGTGGTTTTCCTTCAACATGGACTGCTGTGCTCCTCCGCGGACTGGGTGGTAATTGGACCCTCACGAGCGCTTGCTTACCTTCTCGCCGATGAAGGATACGATGTTTGGATGGGAAATGCAAGAGGAAGCACCCATTCAAGAGCTCACATCACTCTCAATCCAGACGGTTTGTTAGATCGTTATGAATTCTGGAATTTCAGTTGGCACGAGATTGGCGTGTATGATCTTCCTGCGATGATTGACTACACTTTGGAAGCGACAGGGCAGATTAAACTGAGCTATGTTGGACACTCCCAGGGCACAACATCTCTGTTTATCATGCTTTCTCTTCGTCCCGAGTACAATAACGTCATCAAATCAGCTCATGCTTTGGCTCCAGTTGTCTTTTTGAAGAATCTGAAAAGTCCCCTTATTCGGGCTCTTGCTCCGTTAGTGGATACTGTAGGTAATATTTATTTCTTTCCTATGCTTCGCATAACTTTTTGTGTTCCATTATTACACTTCGAAAAAGTCAATTCTACGACCGCTATAAATGTTACTCTTTACCATATTTTACTCAAATCACAAAATTATACAATTCATTAACGTTTTTATTAACCTATTATCTTTAAAAATACCTTCAATAACATTTGTTTACTAAATATTTGCTCACTAGATACTTTGACAAAGTTGCTTGGAACGAGTGAGCTCTTGCCCAGCACCGAGCTGATGCAGTTAGGAGGAGAATTGGCCTGCAGAGATGGATCGCCTTTCCAAGAAGTGTGCGCTAATATGTGGTTCCTTATGTCTGGATATGATTCAGAACAATTAAATCGGGTATAATATTTTCAATCATTCATATACGCATTATTTCTGTGTTTATTATTACATTTACAGACACAACTTCCTGCTATCATGCATAATACACCTGCTGGGTCTGCAGTTCGCCAACTAATCCACTATGTACAACTCCACAAATCTGGTCGCTTCAGACAATTTGATCACGGGTTACTTGGCAATATAGGAAAATATGGCTCCATCAGTCCTCCAGATTATCCTCTAAGTCAAATCACAGCTCCTATTGCTCTTCACTTTGGTGACAATGATTGGTGGGCGGCTGTTGTTGATGTAGAAAATCTACGAAGTAAACTCCCAAACGTTATTGAATATTACAATGTGCCATTGGATGCTTTCAATCATATTGACTTCCAGTGGGCCATCGATGTCAAACTCTTGGTTTATAATAACCTCTTAAATATAATTCGCATGTACGATAATTGAGCATTCAAATTTGTGAACAGTATGGAAATTACAAATTAAATTACAATAAACAGATGATCTTATCTTACTTTTGACATCGTAATTGGTCCTTTAAAATTTCTTGTTATTTTCTGCAGAAAAATTGCTTTTTCTTCATAGCTTCAAAATATGGTGTGATGAATATCTAAGTACAAGTCTTAGTATGCCGAATAATTGTCATACATTAGAAATACTGAATTAAAATTGGGCTTCCTGTGAAATTGTAACAAAAGTGTGAAAAGTGTGCAAGTATATACGATATGGGAATATCAACGTCTAAAAAAAATAGCACGGCAAAATACTTCAAATGTTTAGGAGAAAAGAATTCACCTGATGAAACATCTGTTCCAACAAATAGTAAAAAAAATTAAGATAGAGACATATGCCTAACAATAAGATGTGGATAACCTGAATAACCTTACCTATATAAGAACTACTTGGCGAATTCGTTACTCAAAGTCAAATTTTCCATCAGTTGGTAAAGTGAAACCTTGCTCACAATGCTGAGAATTTTATTGTTCGTGGTTGCTTTGGCGTACAGTCAAGCCCTTGTAGATCACATCCCGGTTGATTTGCAGGATGGTTCAGACTTGAATTCTCTCTCTGTGGTCAGTAGTTAAATTAGCATTGTGAAGCATAGTCAAATGGTGACATTTTATTCGTTAGACGGAAATGATTGAGTATTATGGATACCCAGTCGAATCGCACGTCGTTCCAACTGAAGATGGATATCTTCTCACCATGCATCGCATTCCTTATGGCCGAGCCCTGGGTGCGGGACCAGCGCCTAATAAACCTGTGGTTTTCCTTCAACATGGACTGCTGAGCTCTTCCGCGGACTGGGTGATCATTGGACCTGACTCAGCCCTTGCTTATCTTCTCGCCGATGAAGGATACGATGTTTGGATGGGAAATGCAAGAGGAAACACCTATTCAAGAGCTCACATCTCTCTCGATCCAGACCGTGTGCCAGATCGTCACAAATTCTGGGACTTCAGCTGGCACGAGATTGGCGTGTATGATCTTCCTGCGATGATTGACTACACTTTGGAAGTGACAGGGCAGAGTAAACTGAGCTACGTTGGACACTCTCAAGGAACAACAACTCTGTTTGTGTGGCTTTCCCTTCGTCCCGAGTACAATAATGTGATCAAGTCAGCTCATGCTTTGGCTCCTGTTGCTTTCATGAAGCACTTGAAAAGTCCCTTTATTCGGGCTCTTGCTCCACTTGTGTATGTTCTTCGTAAGTACTGTTTATGCTTTTTTCCTTTATTACTTTATTGTATGTTTTTCATGTTGTAACTTTTTAATTCAATGGTTCATTTCTTCTTACTTTATTTTACAAACTGAATGTTTTCTACACATTGCTACTTTTAATTTTTTTTTAACCTTTTATTATACATTCACATGCTATGTATTCAATTCCCAGATATTGTAACAAGGTTACTTGGAGTGGATGAGTTCGCTCCCAGCACCAAGATGATGCAGTTGGGAGGAGAAATGGCTTGCAGGGATGAATCGCCTTTCCAAGAAGTGTGCGCTAATGCACTTTTCCTAATTGCAGGATATGATTCAGAACAGTTAAATCGGGTATAATATTTTCAATCATTCATATACGCATTATTTCTGTGTTTATTATTACATTTACAGACACAACTTCCTGCTATCATGCATAATGTACCTGCGGGAGCCGCAACTCGCCAGCTAGTTCATTATGCACAACTACACAATTCTGGCTACTTCAGACAATTTGATCATGGGTTACTTGGCAATATAGGAAAATATGGCTCCATCAGTCCTCCAGATTATCCTCTAAGTCAAATCACAGCTCCTATTGCTCTTCACTTTGGTGACAATGATTGGTTGGCAGCTGTTGTTGATGTAGAAAATCTACGAAGCAAACTCCCAAACGTTATTGAATATTACAATGTGCCATTGGATGCTTTCAATCATATTGACTTCCAGTGGGCCATCGATGTCAAACTCTTGGTTTATAATAACCTCATTAATCTGATTGACATCTACGATAACTGAGTATTCTTTATAAGCAACCTAAACCTTATAAAGATACAATAAAACGCAAAAGTGACATTTTTTTGCATTTGACATGGTGTTAACTATTTTGCATTTTTTTCTTCTATACCCACATTATATATGTTTATAATTCTCTCCTCTTACCAATTTTTTAATTACATGATAAATATTTATGTCGAATTATTGTCATAAAAAGAGACGTTTCAATATATTCTATTGTTTCCACAAAGAATGTGTCGGATGTGTGCAAATAAATGCGAGAATGATATAGTCCTGTTTATAAAAAGCGAGTTTAATGCTTTATATTTCTCCGACATAAGAATAATGTATCTACGTGAAAAGCCATCTGTTGCAACAGAAAATTTAAGTAAATATTTAAATACATAATATGTCTTGCGATAATAAACGAGTAATATTATAAAAAACCACTTGACGATTTTGCAAATCAAAGTGAATTTTTGGAAGAGTTGGTGAATCTTATTAACATTGATGCGAATTTAACTATTGGTAGCTACTGTGGTGTACACTCAAGCCATTCCTAGGCCTATGTTAAACCAATTTGGGAAAATTCAGTCGTCAGTTATAAAATTAATTCAACATTATACAGAATGTGCAATTATATTATTACAGAATGATTTTAACATGTCGGGTTTTCGTCGCCAATGTTTGCCCTCCCGCAATCCTTTTGTTGTCTCATTTTATTAGCTGCAATTCGTCAAATATTGTTGTTATATCTCTTCATGGAAAGTAGCTATTTTCCAGACTGTTTATTCATAAATATTATTCCTGACCGACCATAATGATTTCCGTGTTTTATCAGAATGTGTCAATTCAATGAATAGAAATTTTAGGTCAAAATGTATTTCTCAATCTTAATATCTATATGATGGAACTAAGGTATTAATCAGAAGTCAATGTCCAGTTGAGAGTGAGATATGCGTTGTTTTAAAACCTCTCAAGGGCCTTCTTCAAATCTTCGATTAATTCGTTTATTGATAAGATATCAGAATATATTTATTTATGGCCAAACCGTATAAAATATTGCTTCAGACACATTTTGAAGTGCACCAGTGAATGTCAGGTATTCTCGAAAGAGAGAGAATGTGTCGATTATTAATTATATTCTGTGTAATATTAGCAAGTGAAGCTGCATTTCCTGAGGAAACGGATGAGCGCAATAAGTTTCCAACCATTGTAAGATTAATGGTTTGTTTACAATATATTATTTCAAAGCACTTTCTATTCAGATGGAGTTAGTTGAGGCAAATGGATATCCACTGGAAACCCATATTGCTCAAACTGCAGACGGATACCTTTTAACCATGTACAGAATTCCACACGGAAAAGCTCAGGAGACTTCATCGTACATTGATAGACCTGTTGCATTTCTACAACACGGATTACTTACGTCTGCAGCAGACTGGATTATAAATGGTGCAGAAGGTCTTGCATACCTTCTCGCCGACGAAGGATACGATGTTTGGATGGGGAATGCAAGAGGAAACACACACTCAAGAAATCACATATATCTCAACCCCAAGAGTAAGGCATTTTGGGACTTCAGCTGGCACGAGATTGGCGTGTTCGACATTCCTGCGATGATTGACTACACTTTGAGAGAGACGGGCAAGAAGAAATTAAGCTATGTAGGACACTCCCAGGGAACAACAGTGCTCTTTGTGACGCTGTCCCTTCGGCCAGAATATAATGCCAAGATTGATATTGTGAATTCATTGGCTCCAGTGGCATATATGCCAAACATAAAATCGCCTTTCATTCGATATTTCGCCCCTTTTGTCTTCATCATTGACAAAATTACTAGTTTATTGGGGATGAATGAATTCGCTCCTAGCACACCAATGATGCAACTTGGTGGATATTTTCTATGCAAAGATAATTCAATTTTCCAAGAATTGTGCGCTAATTCACTCTTCCTAATTGCCGGTTTTAATTCGGAACAGCTTAATAGGGTAAGTAAAAAAAATTCTAATTTAATATCTTAATTGCTAATAATATTATAAATTACAACTTTTTAAAACCTTTTTACCTCCAAAATAGACTGTCTTGCCTCTAATGCTGGCTTTTACACCTGCCGGAGCTTCAAGTAAACAGTTAGTTCATTATGGGCAGCTCTTCAATTCCGGGAAATTCCGCCAATTTGATTATGGATGGCTTGGCAATTTAAGAAAGTACGGATCGTTCCAGCCACCAGAATACCCACTGGAAGCTATCACGGCTCCCATTGCTCTGCATTTTAGCGACAATGATTGGTTATCCGCTGTCAGTGATGTTCAACATCTCCAGTCTAGACTGAGGAGCGTTGTGGGAGCTTTTCGAGTGCCTCTCGCCGCATTTAATCACCTTGATTTCATCTTTGCCATCGATGTGAAGTCATTGCTCTACGACCGAGTAATAAGTCTGATGAATCGCTTCATTTGCCCTTGAATATTCAATAAATACACATTTTGTCCTGAATATAATCTTTTGAGCTTTGATGTCATTTTCCATTCAAAACACTTGAGTCGAGCGTTGTGTTATCTTTCCCAAATAGACAATTTAGAAAAATAAATTTTAATCTGAAAAATATTTGAGAAAAATCAGAAAAGTAAAACAAATAGATAATGTAATTTCTATCAGTGATATTTGGCAACACAAACAGAAGCTTTGTAATATTCTCATATGTATTTCAACATTTCCCTATATTTCAATTTCTTTGGATCTTGCGAAATTTCAATATTACTTCAAGTGTTGCTTAATTACTTTCCCCGTGAAAAATAAAAGAAAATGTGCAAATATTCGCACAGAATGCCTAACATAGTATAAAAACCATTGGAACTGCTATAGTAATTGTTAAGTTTCAGAGTGATCATGTATGTGGCTCAAAAAGTTCTGTTCGCGTTAGTTCTTTTCATTTCCGGTGACAAACTACAATCACTTGCTTCTGAAAATGAAGTTCACGTTAAACAAAAATCTTCCATCTTGCACTCGAAAAATGACTTTGTATGTGATTTAGAATACAAATAGATAATATAAAAATGTATGTTGGTCTCAAATTTTTTTTCCTGTGAAACATTATGGGAAAAGTTGCTCTTTACTAATAATTTATAGTATAGAAGTGTAGATTTATGTTTGTTAAGTTTACACAGAGATAAACAATAATCCAATAGGAGTTATCGTTTATGGTTTGTCTGTATTGTATTAAATAAAATTCTGGCATTGCTCGTCATATGAAGTACGCCAGTTGTGAGTGTGAAGTGATATGGAGAACTGACTTTGAGAGCTGCTGTTTGTCTTTTGTGAGATTGTCAAAGAAATGAGATATCTGCATTCATGCAGACGTTCTATACGTGCATTTGTGTGTTTTCATGCATGAACTAAAGCGAATATATCTTACTAGAAATCCCTTTTACCTTTACCAGGTAGACCTATCAAAATCTCATGGTTATGCGGCTGAAGAGCACACCGTGAAGACAGATGATGGCTATCTTCTGACACTGCATAGAATACCACGTGGAGTGAAAGCTCAGAAAAACAGCAAAGGAGTTGTGTTTTTGCTTCACGGTCTCTTATGCTCATCTGTCGATTGGATTATATTGGGTCCTCAAAGTGCTCTGGCGTTCCTGCTGGCAGAGGAGGGCTACGATGTGTGGCTGGGAAATGCCCGCGGAAACACATTTTCTCGGCGACATGTGTCTCGTGGGGTAGAGAGTAAGGCCTTCTGGAAATTCAGTTGGCACGAAATCGGGATTTACGATCTGCCGGCAATGATTGATTACGCTCTCAATGCGACTCGACAAACATCTCTGCACTACATTGGCTACTCACAGGGAAGCACTGCCTTCCTCGTCATGGCCTCAATGCGTAGGGAGTACATGAAGAAAGTGTCCATGTTTCAAGCCTTGGGTCCAGCAGTTTATTTGTCAAATACGAGGAGCTTCGTAGTGAGAACTCTAGCGCCTTTCACCAGTCAATTTCAGATGCTTAATAGCATTCTAGGCACCACAGAGTTCTTGCCTCGTGGGACTTTATTGGACTCGGCAAGCAAATTATTTTGCCACCTGCACTCTCCCATAAAGATTCTATGTAGTAACATTTTATTCCTCATGGCTGGATTCGACTCAGAACAAATAGACATGGTAAGAAGATTTTGCACTTATTTTGCAATCTTTCTTTTATGATAATTTAATCATTGCTCTGCAGAAACTTCTCCCTACGATTCTTGCGCACTCTCCAGCGGGAGCTTCAGTAAATCAAATTGTGCACTATCTCCAGTGTGTCAAGACAGGAAAATTTAGTTTATTTGACTACGGAAGTTCGGAGAACATGGTCAAGTATAATGCAACAACGCCACCAGAATATCCCATCGAACAAATGACTGTGCCTACAGTAATTCATTATGGTCTCAACGATGTTTTCTGTTCGGTAACAGATGTTCAGAAATTAATACAGAAATTACCAAATGTTGTCGGAAATTATTCAGTACCATTTGCCAAATTCAATCACTTAGACTTTATCTATGCAAAACGAGCAAGAGAATTGGTTTATGATAGAGTAATTGAAAATCTGACAAATAATTTGGAAAACAATATTGAGAGCTAAATAAAGTACTCCGATACGATACAGCATTTTCATTTCTTCATGTCCAAAGTTTACACCGATATTTTGATACTCTTTAGCTGAAGTAAATTCCATTTCTCCTATCTGTACACATCAGAGCGGTAACCCAAAGTTCAAAATTGCTGCGAAAAGTGGATAAGAGGGGATTCCAGTACTATCTACAAGCATCATTATGTGATTATATGTAGGTTTATAAATTGATATGTTGTCTCTCATTTCAGTTCACCAATTTATCATATTTGTCTCAAGTATCTACCATCATGTGTTCGATGCATGGAAAATTGCATCATCATAATAAATATTGAACATAATGGAAAAAAAAAAATTTGGTTTAGAATTTGAATCTATATTAAAATATCCCACGCAATTAAACCATATGATTATTATGCAAATGATTTTGACATTTACTTTTCTGCATCAAAAACTCATCGATTCAGAATGGAAATTAATTACAATTTCACAATAATGATCGAATGTGTGATTTTCAACCGACTTTACGTCTCAAGTTTGTTGAACTGTCTTTCAAGTGGTTGATGAGTTTCATTTTAATCTGTTATTTGGGGGGAAAGTCAAATGTTTGTTGAGTATCAATAAAGATTCCCGCATAATAGTGTAAATTTTCTTCACAACATATTAATCACTTGAGTGAATTTAGCTTCGCGCCGCGCTTGTTTATCGGCAGCTTATAATGGTCTATAATATTCTTAACATAAATTATTCATAAAAGAAGTGAATTGAATTTCAAATTGTCCCTTTACACTCAATGATTCATTCGGGATTATTGGAAATAGAAAACCGTCAGTGCATGTAAAAACACGATAAGTTGCACCTCGCATTCGAAAGTGCATTAGCACCATTCTGATGATTAGAGCTGAAGATTGACACTTTGGCATGGAACATGCGACAGATTTGAGACATCATCAGCTTATTTATTCAGTTGCTCTCTGATCTCATCATCAAAGACTGTGCGTATTTGAACTTTAAACTTCCACATGATATGCGCACGGGTGATTAAATAAACAAATGAGCGAGAGAGTCCCAGTTATTTCAAATTGATTGTAATGTTCTCCATTTCAATTGAGATGTTGATTGTTGACTCATAAAATTAACCAACACTCATATCATCATCAGTCACGATGTGGCATGAGTTTTTAAAACAGTTTATAAACAATCTCTTCTCTCTTGCGACAACGTTTTCTTTTCTCCTCAGTGTGCACTAGAAAGTGAAGCCAGAAAGACGCTTCCTTGAGTTTCCCTCGAGTCCGGTGACAATTGACTTGCACATGCTGTATTTTTTGTGAACTTACTGTGCTGCAGTGGAAAAATGAGACATCTCCTTGTGCTGCCCTTAGTGATTATTATCCTACTTAGTGCTAAGCCTCTTAATGGAGACAGTATCTTTGGGTTTTGGTCTCGTCTCATGCCGGACTCGTCGTCCGTGGAGACAACGGCCGAACCCCCAAAGTCATCGAGGGAGAGTTTCGCCATGATGGAGTCAATTGAGGCAATCTCCACCGAATCTGTGGGTCAAATTGGCGAGATTAGTAAAATTTGGAATCCTCTAACATGGTTCCAATCCGGCGAAAAGGAAAAGCCGCTACCCTTCAATTTGGATTCCGAACTGGGGACAGTAAGTCGACTTCAATAGAGTGAGCTTTAAGCTCGCTTTGTCACTTTACCCTTCATATATAATCATTTCCATCTGCATGTATTAATTTCCTTCGACTTTCCGTGCGGAATGAGAACATGAACGCGAAAATGTCAGAGGCTCACTTCAATAAAAGTTTAATATTTAATATTATGTCATTTACCGTATACACAACTCGTTATATGATTACAATACATACAATTATGTATGGAGAGTCTAGAGAGTAATGAAATATGCTATGTAATTCGTCTAGACGGCAGACAGTTGTGTGGGAATGAACTGTGCCTTTTTTTGGGAAATTTAATAAAGGAATCCCGCTCTTTATGTGGAAAAAGTCAACAATCATTAATTGGATTAATCGCTAATGGAGTGAATTTCAAAGTTCAATTTCGGAGAAATTGTCTGCTGGACTGTGATATTGCCGACAAAAAATTCGCTGGATTTGCAGTGCCTAAGCCAAACAAATTTTTACCAGTGACACAGTTCACGAGGGTATCAGGGTTCCGTATTCCTATCATCATTCACTTCAGTGCTCAATCTCGGGGCTTTCCATGCGAAAAGATAAGGATTTCGTTCTGCCAGTGGCATAGTAAGCGTATCAATTTGAGGGATGTCCTTTAGCTTTCTATCGTACTTGAGCCTTAAATTGTCTATAAACACTGTAATAATCATGATTTATCCCAAGATTTAACTTAAAGAATTAGCATAACATACCTAAAGACAGCTTTATTCATGACATATACGCCACTGAATTTCGTCAACTGTTTGCTTAGAAATTTCGGGAAAAGTCTTAGAATGTGACATAAAGAATCGATTTTCTCATATCAAGTTCCTTGACCTCTAAATCGAAACCTGTCTGAACCACACTTTGACGCTCAAAACTTTGATATCGCTTATCTTATATGTACATAATCCTATTGGGCGAAAGGTCAATCAAACATCTCCTAATTCGCTCTTGAACGAAACTAGAACAATTTGCAGCTCATACGATTTTATCTGTCCTCCAAGTCGAGCACGTGGCAAAAGCAATCGCCTTTGGTACTGATTTAATCAAGCATCCAATTAAAATGAGTCTCACTTGCAGGCGGAGATAATCCGGCGGCACGGGTATCCTTCGGAGGCCCACACCGTGCAGACTGAGGACGGGTACTTGCTGACTATCCACCGAATTCCCTGCGGTCGGTCCGGGTGGACGAGCTGTCTGGCGCAGGGGCGCGGACGCGGTCGCGCCGTGATTGTCCAGCACGGGCTTCTGGGCAGCTCGGCCGATTGGGTGCTCAGTGGCCCTGAAAATGGGTTAGCCTTCCTCCTGGCCGACGTGGGATATGACGTGTGGATAGGAAATGCCCGTGGCAACACATACTCCGACCGCCACAGCACCCTGAGGAAGGAAGATAGTAAATTCTGGGACTTTAGCTGGCACGAAATGGCCAAGTACGACATTCCTGCTGTTATTGATTACATTCTCGAAGTGAAGAGTGAGCATTGATGCAACACAATTCCCACAAAACATCATACTTGCCAATTAATTTGCAATTTACTTTTGCAGACACCGAAAGCAGAAGGTATTCCAATGATACAGTCAGATACAGGGAAGTCTTATATGTCGGCCATTCAATGGGCACCACTATGGCTTTTGCTATGCTATCAATGCGACCGGAATATAATAGTAAAATCAAAGCAATTTTTGCACTAGCACCAGTTGCATTTATGGCGCACGTCAAGAGCCCTTTGAGATTGATCGCGCCATTCTCGAAAGACTTGGAGGTACCAAAACAGTCAGAAATACGTATGAATAAGATTCGCAAATTATTTTACGTAACTTTTTTTTTTAATTTCAGTGGCTAATTAAATTCATGGGAAATGAGTTTCTGCCAAAGAATAAAATCATAAAAGTGAGTAATTAATTCAAAAATTTCTATTATTTATTAATCTACTCATTGCACATGAAAGTTACATAAAAGTTTAAAATATGCTAAAAGGCGTCCCTTTGAATTATTAAAATTGCATTCTCGCTGCTACAAATGTACAATTTAACTGTACAGTATAATAAGGACTAATCCATGTAGATATGTGAATTTGATTAACTTTTTGAAGCACACTTGTCAGAAGCACTCTGAAAACACAATTTTAGGCAACATATTAAATCAGTAACCGTGAATTTCTGGTAGATTTTTCTTTAAATAGAACACAGGTTGTTTGTGATATTAAATAACCGAAAGGTATCTAAGAACATGCATTTTCTTCTGGCTATGCGTTGAAAGTGTATTGAAATTTTATAAATTACTTGATAAATTTGCATTCTGATTTGCATAACTCCCCACGAGCATATAAACAAAAATATAAGTGTTTTAAAATAGCGAAGAATTCTCATTCTCTTAAGTGGTGTTGCACATGTGAATTGATGAAACATTCCACAGGAGTGTGTGATACAATTCATCCACTATTTATTTTACATTTGACAAATTATTCTTGTCATAAAATCAATAAAGGCCCATTAGTTATTGTTTTCGTTTCCCATTTTGTCCAGCCTCATGAAATGCAAATCTCCCCGAAATATTGACACAAGCAAAGAGAGAGAGAACATAGACAATTTGCCTAAAACAGTGGAAGCCCTAGAAATCTAAATTAATTTTCCATTATGTCTCTTCTGGGAAAGTTCCTGGCCAAATATGGATGCGAGATGAATAATGTGGAGCGCTACATATGTGAGAATAGCATTTTCGTCTTGTGCGGTTTCGACACGGCGCAATACAATACGGTGTGTGGAATTTATTGCTGCTTTCATGGTCGGTTATTGCTCAAGTGGAGAGTATCCAATTCCAGAATCTCACCCCCGTGATCTTCGCCCACGCGCCCGCTGGCGCTTCCACGAAGACGTTGGTCCACTACGCCCAGGAGATCCACGAGAGGGGCGACTTCAAGCGCTTCGACTACGGCCGCCGGGAGAACGAGGCGCGCTACGGACAGGCGACACCCCCGCTCTACAATGTGACCAACATATCGGCCCCGGTGGCATTGATTTATGCGACCAACGATTGGCTCGCTGGACCTCAAGTATGTATAGAACTGTCAATCTGAATATTCGCCCGATGTGTTCAATAGATTCGGTGAAACGATAGAGGATGCCATCAATCCTTTCACTGCCGCTCGTGCCATTGTATCTAAATGAAATGATCAATTAGTTTATTATCCCTTATTCCGCCCTCTCAAGGACGTGGAAATTCTGCACAAGAAGCTGCCCAACTCCATCGGCATGTTCAAAGTGCCCTTTGAGGACTTCAACCACTTAGACTTCATGTGGGGACTCGACGTGAAGCGCCTCGTCTACATCGATCTGATGGAGATGATGGAGAAGTATCGGCCGACGTGAACACCTCGCAGGCATATCAACTTTCGCTGTTTGATTACTTAATCAACTTCAAAGTACTGTGTTATGAAAAACATGGCTTCATGAGCGCATGAATGATTGAGAAAGGCTCGGTGGTTCATCATCAGATTAAGAGAATCATCCTTATAGAAGTTTAATATAATTTTATTGCCGTTTATGTGAAATGTATTTACGGAGAGCTAGACAAAATACTCGAAATATGAAATAAAGTTAAAATTTTCCATGCTCTGTTGCAAATTAAAAATTAGCAGCTGAATTCCCCTAATTAATTCTGAAACTTCAATAGAGATTTTATTTTCAATTACAGGTACAGAGAGAAGCAAAAAAATCTACTTTTAATTGGAGTGTTGTTTAATTAAAAGCATTTTCAGGGAATGCGTTATTACTCTTTTTGAAAGTTTATTAATAGTGTAACAGACTTTGTAATTTTAAAATTCATGCAATATGATACGAAAAATTTCCATGGAAATTTTATTTTTATTTTTGTAAACGCTAAAGCATTAAATTCGGCTCAATACGCATCATCATTGGCAAATATCAAACAATAGGAAAGTCAGTAAATAATACTTTGGAATTTATAACTTCATAGGCCATTTTCTATGGAAAAACTCATCGATTCAGGTAAAATTATACATATTTCATTTAATCGTACATTACTTGATTTTATGTATTGCTATTAGTTAGGTATTCGAATGGTTTTTAATTGAAAACGAGCGTAATTGCCAATCAATAATTTCATGTTCAATTAATTACCATTCATTATGAAAAATTACAAACAGTGCTTTATTTTGTAATAATAAATAATTATATATTGATTGATATTATTTGTAATTAAGAGTTTGAACCGTTTCAACATATCAATCATCCCAATCATGGGCAAAGAACGGAAAATCAAACGATTTTTTCTCTCTCGTTTTTTTGTATGAACATTTTCTCCGTGTTTATGTTGATTATTGGGATATTGAAAAAATACGCAAGAAACATGTTTGAATCGTGTGCATGATTATAATCAGATGCATTTCACGTAGACGATGTAAAATAACTTTTATATACGCGCGTAGAAAAATGTATTTTATACGTCAACATTATTGTCATCAATAAGCATCGGCCATCATAACCTCACAAAATAGGTGTTTGCTTATAAATTGTTTGTCATCATGTCTGGAGTTGGGAACTATTTATCTGAGCAAAAGAAGACCACAAATAAGGAGTTAGCCTCCGAGTGGACAGAAATTGAGGAGCTCTACAACGAGAAGTAAGTGGATATCCTGTAAATTTCCCATTTCCTGCAGTATTTCACTGTGAAATTTCGCTCTTTTTCTCGTCAGGCTTTGGAATGAGTTGACGATAAAGTTGCAAACCTTTGTGAAGCATCCCTCGTTGCAGAATGAGGAGGCCCTCGTGCAGCTGTACCAGAACTTCTTGTCCACCTTCGAGACAAAGTGAGTGAATTGCTTCCGGAAGCGCTTTCTTTGGTGCTAATACGATAATTTTCAGAATAAACCCGTATGGATTGGTGGAGATTATCTCCATTGTCGTGGGGCACATCTCGGACAAGAAAGAGGCTAACAACTTCCTGGAGAAGGTGAAGGAGAAGGTAAAGATCTGCGATGAGGCCGTGTGGCTGTGCAAAGTGTTGCAGGGCCAAATCCAGCTGGAGCATCTCAACGATCTCGAGGCCACCAAGAAGATAATTGAGGATCTGAAGGAGATCTTGGAGGAGGCCGGGAATGTGACTCCCGTGCACGGGAAGTACTACATGCTGGCCAGCCAGTACTACCGACTCGTGGGACAGCACAGCGACTATTACCGGGCGGGCTTGCAATTCCTCGGCTGTTCGATTGACGAATTTCCGCTGGATGACTGGCCGCAGCAGGCATTCTTCCTCGGCTTGGCCGCTCTCCTGGGTGAGGGGATTTACAACATCGGCGAACTGCTGGCTCATCCCATCCTGCAATCCCTCACTCACACGGAGAATGACTGGCTGATTGATTTGCTGAAGGCATTTAATTCCGGAGACATCAACAAGTGAGTTGCAAAGCTTCCCTTTATCCACTATTAGTGACCAATTCTTTATTGCATTTGCCAGATTCGAGAGCATGAAGCCCAAGTGGTCGAAGATCGCCGACTTGGCGGCCCAGGAAGTGAAGCTGCGCCAGAAAATCTCCCTCTTGTGCCTCATGGAGATGACCTTCAAGCGCCCGGCAAACCAGCGCACTCTCACGTTCGACGAGATCGCCAAGGAGACGAAGCTGCCCCTGAACGAAGTGGAGATCCTGGTGATGAAGGCGTTGGCACAGGGCCTGGTCCGCGGACATATCGACCAAGTGGCCGGCGTGGTGAACATGACGTGGGTGCAGCCGCGCGTGCTGGACAGGGCTCAGGTGGCTGCCATGGCCTCCACCCTCGACACTTGGATGCTCTCAATCACGGAAATGGAGAAGCTTATCGAGAGCCGCGCCAACGAGATCCTCACTAATTGATGCCCTTTTGTACTTCAATCACGCGAATATATTATGTCCTGTGAGAGGAAGAACCGTAAGCATTGAACATCCAATTAATTATCAATACTTCTGCCTCTAATTGCTCGCTCTTGAATCAAATTTGGGTTTACTAGGGATTTAACGGTCGATATTCGATTGTGTTGATTAATTGCAAGAGAGAAAGTAGATGTGAATTTTCAATTACAATGGGGGGATTTTACGCTGAATACCAATTCACGGGAAAGGAAATTGATATGCTCTCAAAATTATTTGTCCAACTTGAGTAAAAAGCGGATCTCGTCATTAAAAAAATTCTTTCTTAGCTGTATTTTTGAGATAAGCGACAGTATCGTCAGTACATTCAATTGAAATGTTAATTGTAAATTGAAATTCTTGTTAGAGTTTCGCATAGGGCTAAATGTTGAGGCAACGCAGTCTGGTTTCCGGCACGCGTGACGTGAACTCAAATGAAATAGGCCTCCGTGTCTCTTCGTGCGAATCCCGCCTGATTCTTTGTGGCGTTCGTCCCATGACGGCGCTCAATTTGATCTGCCGGTGGCTCATGAGCTGCCGCACCACCTCCTCCAGCTCAAACAGGTGGTCGTCGTGCGCATGGGGCAGCTCCTCCCGCATAAAAGTCGCCAGGCGCAGGAGGTATTCGATGTTGTGGCCGCAGGAGCCTCGCGCGTCCACGATGTGGGTGGCGAGAGAAGCCACAGGCTCCTCGCCCACCCACTGATCATTCTCGTCGGAGGCAATGTAGAGCAGCACGGGGAAGGCCTCCCCGCTGTGCGCGGAGTCCCGCGATGCCACGCGGGGGAAGAATTTGGTGTACTCCACAATGTAGCCGCCAAGCTTGCACTCGCGCTGCTTAAGGTAGTCCAACGCTGTTGGCCCTGCAATCTTGTACGCGCATCCCCACGTGATGCCCTCCTTGTTCTCCACGAGAGTGGCCACTCGTCCTGGCTGGAAAGAGCAAAAGAGAGTGGAGAAGTTCAATCGTGGAGCAAAGTCGTAATTAATACCCCAAAAACAACCTCATTAGTCTCATGCACGCGTATTACAGTTTTCAGGGCAAAACGCGATGGTAAATTTCCACAGACTGAATATCGAATTTCCTTCCCATCGACTCAAGAATGGCCGAGAATCACTTTCATTTATCTGTTCTGCAATACTGAGTGTATCGTATTTCGCTTGAAACATAACGTGTTCTGAAAGGAAAACTATACCTTGTCCGTTGTGCCTCTCTGAGTTGTGTTTCCCTGCCAGAAGCGCCTCACATAGCCGCGAATGTAGCCCGTGATGCACTTTGTGAACTCGAAGCCGGGATTCCAGCAAAGCGACCCGTAGCCGAAGACCCACACTGAGGGAATGTCCTCGTCGGGATCATTGTTGTTAATTCCGTAGTCCTCGAAAGGGGACTCGTCCGTTGCGAAGATGTTCTCCACGTTGTCCATGTTCACTCCACTGCAGCAGCTGCTTAAACTAATACTCGATGCACTTTTTTCTCGTCGTCCGAGCTGTGGAAAAGTCCACGAAATCGACTGTTTTGCTGTTTGACTCGTTTCCGCAATTGTGAAAGAGTTGCCAGAAACATTGAGCACTCAGGTGAGATCTAAAACACTAGTGCAGCTCATTAACACTCATTCACTAAAATCTACTATCACAAATGTTTCCTCGTCTCCATAGTTGTTACTTGTATTATGCCATTGGATTTTGCAAACTATTATTCACACTTCTGGGCGCTTCTCGGTCAACTGATGGGAAGATCCGCGAGTCTGATCCAATCTCGTGCCTGTGAAGAGAGAGTCTGTGTGATTAAATGGGCAACAAAGGCGCTGTTTCTCAATTTAATTCTGGCATCGAACTCTGTAAGTGTGAAGAACAACGCAAAAGGCAATGAATGTGGGTGGGAAAATTGTGCGTTGGTCATCACACAATAACAGTGGGCAGACTTTGGCCCTAAGAGAGAGAATTTCTCTGCGACATTCTATCCAAAGCGATTCCGCTTGGAAAGCAGTTAGAAATTTCCGGTTACCTGAAGAAAGATCGTCAGCATGATAAGAAGGTAGCAAAGTGTCTAAAATAAGATGTATATTCTCAAAGCTATCGCTTAAAATCTCAATATCCGGTGAGGGTCATTGATCCGTATTTATTTTTCCGATCTTTTGCATAAGCACTAGGATATTAATTTCCGCTGTTTCTGAACATTTCTTTGGAGTACTTCATTCCACTTCGGATACATTGTGTAGAGAAGTATTTGTGAGACAAAAGAAATTAAAAATAAATGCACTCTAAGTAAAGATAAACCTTGAAAGACCTTGTCGCAATTTCAAGACTGCGCATGAGCAAAACACTAAATAATTTCCTTATCTTTCCATTGTTGATTCCAAATCAATTTGATAGGTATTTTCTGGAGGGAAACAGACATGAATTTGGCAAAACTGGGTCAGTGGATGACTTTTTGATACTATTTTTTCGCAAATCTGAGAAACAGATCCCAAAATGATGCTCTTTGGGAAGGTTGAGCGGCGTAATTCAGTGAAATGTGCCAGGAACGAAGGCGACATATGGAAATTTATTACTTACACAACACTGAATTGACTATTTTTATCCAACACGAATTTTTACATTCAACATTTTGCGACTCACAATCATACAGAATCAGGCTCGCGTGGCGTGAACATCCGCCAAATTTATCTGAGTTGATATAAATACGCGATTTGTGCGTAAAACATGTTTGTTTGGATTCTGTCGATGCGAAAAAGTCCATTGGCCTGTTGATCGGCTGCAGAAAGCGGGTTTAATAATTGTGAGAGGAAAAACATGATATCGCGGGGGACGATAAGAACATTTACGTAGACAAGATGTGGTGTGAAATTGGGTCAACGCCAATTTTAGAGAATTAGGTCAAGGATAAATCGCACTTTCACTGACACAATTCGCGAAGTGCGATGTTTTTTCATCTCTCAGCATGTAAAATATGGGCACTAATTTCATTCTTGTGGACGTAATTTGAGATAATTGAGCGGACGAGGAAACAATTTGTCCCAATCGCCCACACGTCAGAATTCTGCCAAGGGGATTCCGAGAGATAATGATTCGAATCGATTTGCTATTGCATCAGACACTCACATTTAGCAGATTTTTACTTGGAGGATTTTTCTTTCACGATGATTCACTGCAAACCACTTTGTACAAACACTTAATCACAGCAAAAATACATGGAGAAGTTTCACGAGTTCATTTCAGTAACCCAAAGGTCACCAAAAAGTCACAGTATTTACTGGGATTTGGAGTTCCTTTGCTCAATGTACAGCAATAAGTGCACCACTCAATTGATGAGTGATTGAGCGGAGTTGCGAGTGCGAAGAGAAGATTTCTCGCCTGGTAACTATTAACGCAGCTTTAATACTGAACTTCATGTTCGCCGCTCCATGGTCGTATGGCTGTAGCTGGACTTGACAATATATCAGTTTTTTCTGCCTCACTCTGCCACACAATGCGCCTTCACGTTGCTCTTGCAGAGGCACTCGCACAAACACTAAACACGGCACCACAGGCAGAATCCGTTGGCAGAGCTGCAGAATGTCACTCTTTTTGCTGACCACATGCCAATTTCGACTGTAAATCTATATTGGGTGGAAAATTCCATGAGGATCGGCGCATGGCAGGTCCCATCCAGAGGGAGACGCACGGTGCCGAGCGAGACGGCTGACTCAACTTTCTTCAGACCGCGTGTACACGCACACCTTTCGGCGGTTTAGGGGACACAGAGAAAATGATGCAACAACAAGAGCGCCGACAATAAGCCACTTTCCTCCGTTCACCGGTTCGATGAATGAAGTGGCGGAACAGATGATTATAGCGGTATCACGCGTTGTACAACGCGCGTTCTATTCTCAGTTTCTCTGTTCTTGACCGGAAAAAAATCGTGCCTTTCAGCCGGCTCTCGGAAATTGTCAACAAAGAGAAGTGGCGGAAGATTTGCTTTCTTCTGCAGATTCTTTTCACATTTTGGCTGCATTTTTTGAGTATATTTCTGAGAAATAAGTTGTATTCAAAAGAATACCATTGACCTGCAGCGAAGCGTGGTTATTTGATCCTTTGAAATGAGTTTGTTCATTGACCGCTGAATAAATGAAAAGGATCAATAACAACCTTGTAGACGGAAAATATAACATTACAATACAATACATTATTTATTTATAGATTGAGAAAATCAATATTACTCTGTTGAAACTTTCGAGTCATAAATAGTAAATACAGATTAAAAACCGTCTCCGATGGTCCCGAAGTTTGAGAATCTCTGTCTTTTTCTATTTTGCCAGCATTCAGGCGACGTTACGCTTCAAATTCCTCAATCTTTAGCGAACTTTTCGCATTATTTCAGCGTGAAGAAACCTCAAAGGAACATAATTTTAGGACATTTATACGACAATAATAATCAAATCACTTAATTAAACACTCATTATTGCAAATTCAATTCATTTTACGCCTGAATGGACGAGAAAAATGTTGATAAAGTCGAAATGAGCAACGCTTTGTCTCCTCCTTCGGGATTTCCACGACTTGAGTGTGAAATGGGTGGAGCTGGGAAAAGATTTTCCCACTCTACACACAGGCAAATGAAACATCTGCAAGCCGAGAAATCCCAATAAGAGACAGATTTACAAAAAATAGTGTCACATGTGCTTTTGAGGATTCATCGTCGGGGCATCAGTAGTGTTTCTCAGTCACGGGAATTAAAACCTACAGTTGAAAGACTGAATCAGTTAGGCCGAGTAGTGCAATTTTCGATCATTTATAGCAATTACAGATGCAATTTTCTTGGACTGTGGCATGATTTGCTGGGTTTTGTGTAGAGAATTTGTGGAGAATATTGAGTGAAAATTGAAACAATGACAAAGTTTAGTGAAAAGTCATTCTGCAAAGTCTCACCAGACACCTATAAGAGTGGCTATGAGGTGAATCACAAGACATCCTCGCCAGTGGGGGATTTCTATTCGCAATACGGAGTGTCCATGCAAGTTCCGAGCGATGGTCAGAGAGGCAATCGGTTTGAGATTCAAGCGCAAATGCCTTCAGATCAGGATGACAATAGTCTGAGCTCAGAGGAGCACGTCCTGGCGCCTGTGGGATGTTCAGCTGGACAATCTCGTCCATGCCTGGCCTGGGCTTGCAAGGCATGCAAGAAGAAAAGCGTGACAGTGGATAGGAGGAAAGCTGCGACTCTTCGTGAGCGTCGACGTTTGCGAAAAGTGCGTTGAATCGGGATTTTGTGTGGAAGTACTTTTGCTCACAAATACAATGTTCTTCTCCTTTTCCAAAGGTTAATGAGGCATTTGAGCTGCTGAAGCGGCGGACGAGTACAAATCCCAACCAGAGACTTCCGAAAGTGGAAATACTCAGAAATGGTATTGAAAGTTAACTGAAATTTGGAGCAAAACTTTCTAATCTCTCTTTCTCTGTTGGTAGCTATCGAGTACATTGAATCCTTGGAAGACCTTCTGCAAGAAACTCCGGCTATCAGACAAAGTCCTGACAATGTTGATGATATGTCAAATCAAACGACTAGATCTCAGGATTACATGGTGAGTGTAGGCTATATTATATGTTTGCACATCCAGTTATAATTTTACCCACTTTCCGCTCTAATAAATTGCCATTCACCAAAGAGCTCTTCAAACATCTCGTTAGTGTTAGTATATCCAGAAGGATTCGCTCGTTCAAAGTAGAGATCTTATTAATTAGATAGATGGCGACGTGAAAGTGTATATAAATCACTGAAAATAACGAATCTCTTGTTGAAATTGCATTAAAGGCCATGCAGTGACTAAATTCTCGTGGCATTTTACGTGTTGCTCCAAAAATTTAGTGGGTTTCTCATACGAAAACTTGTCATTGACTTATTTCCTCAATTAATTTTTCGCAATATTTATCAATCCGATTGACATAGTGAGCTCTACATTAGAATGTGGAGGATTTCGGTTGGTGTGGCGCTGTTTCTCTGACACAACAATTAATAGTCCCGTCATTTATTATCATTCCGCTAATATATCCCGACACTCGAGAATGCCCTCATCCGATGAGGTGATGAGAATATTTAAGAAATGCCACCGTGGCCAAAATTATTGCCCGCTCCGTGAATTGCGCACAGATCGCCAGAGTGGAAATGTTTCAGAGTGAAAATCAATTTGATGATTTGATACACCATCGCCCACCCACGATCCAACCCTCAGGCTTATTTACATGCCGGCAGAGTCTCGCTATAGAGTCAGTCTAATATTAGTCCAGAGGAACACTCGTCCTCCTTGCCCGCGCTCTCATCAATTCTCTGCGCTGCCTCTTGTTCACGGCGGGTGTCTTCAGCACGTCTCGGTGCAAGGAACACCGGTTGTAATGTTCAGTCGACACTTCGTGACAGCTTGACAGATTGTGAACGCCACAAGAGAAAGCCCGAGACTTGCTAACTCTCCACCTTCTTGCTCCTTTTCCACATTTGGAAACAACAACTTCATTTCCGCGACGTGGAAAATCAACTCCGGTGATCCCGAGTCACTAATACACTTGGCGAACATTCTCATAGATTAACTTACTCCTGGGCTAATTCCCTTTGATCTACCGGAAGCTAATTTGTCGTATTCTGGATAATAAAAAGAAGCTATTCAATAACCCAAAAATATGCGAAATTTGATTAAATTCACGCCTCTTGACACTTTTACTGCCTCCTCTTTTCCACTGAGAAAATAGATTTGATTGAACGACATATTAGCATATCTTCTTTTGTGGAGAAAAAATCCTTTCATCTTATTGACAGACTTATTAATAAGGCAGAAGAAAAAACCATAATTCCTCTCTCAACAGCCGCGGGTAAAATGTGGCTGATGAAAAATGTATCCATTGAATCAGGAGGGAGTGTAAATGTATTTACTACCCAGAGCAATCAAACGCGAAAAAAAGGTTATTGTCTCCATCAAGTGATCATATTCCTGCGCCCATTTGCAATTAATTAACTTTTACGATGCCCCAAAGACTGTCTCGAGCGTGTGTGTCTCCGCCTGGTGATATTTATGAAAATGTAATACAGCGCCTCATAAAATTATTAATTATTTAATTAAATTCGACAGGCACTTAAGATGCATTTGCTTATTTTAAGTGCCTTTTCTTGTACCGAAGCATTTTTTGCCAACCTCTGCGGGGCGCACACATGCTGCACTTCTAGGATTCATCTTCCCGCATTTCTCGGTGTGGTTGAGGGAGCAAAAAAGAGCATGATGTGAACGGTAGTGTCGTGGAAAACTTCAGTGGTACTTTGAGATTACTTTCTTTGATGCAATTAGTGTGAGTTTCTTGTGAACTTCACGTATCATTGTTGGTGGAAAAAAATTTGTTTCATGCATCTGCGAAACATCTGTTAATGTTTTTGCCATGAAGACAGTGACTTGAGACTTGTTTTGACTCTCGCAAACACTCATCATCGTCGGAGAAGTTAATATCGTCTTATCAAACTTTATATCTGCTTTCACTTTTTCCGGAAAGAATTAATATGTGAAGAAGTGACACTACAAATGGCAATTAATTCTCAGATATGTTTCTGACGAGGAGATGTAGATATGCGAGACATTTTACCCAATAAAATGGATCATATAGCTCATGTACCAAATTCCGAAATCATGTTCGAGGCAGCGGATTTCCACTTCCCTCACGAGCCATATCGCAGGGAAATTTGTAATGACAACCCATATAAATCACGATCTGTTTTGACTTGTCGTTTCCTTCCACATCTTCCCAAAAATTTTCACTCCAAATGACTTCTGAATGGCACACAAGTCGAATTTAAATATTCCAAAGTGAAATGTGACTCCCTCAGAAATGCTACACGTGATTTTTCGGGCTACATCAATCGCATAAATTATTGCTATATCCCCGCTCAAATCACCCGTAAAAAATACACGTTGAATTATGAGAAATAAGAAGGTTTTTTTCCTAGTTAAAAGCATCTTTACACTCTTCCTAAATCCTCCATAGATGAGTTGTGCAATTTATATTTATGCCTTCGACTTTAGTTTTACACACAAAAGCATAAACATGACAAAATTTTACGATCACTCGCCAGTGAGGATGAAAATTGTCAACATTCTTGATACCATTAAAATGCCTCACAAAATTTCCTGCTTAAAAAGTGAGGGTCTTTTCTTGGTCACGCCGAAGAAAAATGTAGATTTTCCGAGTCGTGTGATCTGCACATTCCAGCAGAGGAAATATCAATAATATATGAATATTTATGACTACTCTTGTCGTGGGATATAAAGATGACATCAATAAAATTTTAATTTTGCGCACCCGAAAAAGCCAGGGATGAAAGACAGTAGAAGGCGTTTCAATGATAAACTCAAAGTGTTATTTTCACCATATTTATGAAACTATAGAGATAAATAAATAGATAATCCTTTAGAAAATAAAAAGAATCACAGGCGGTGTGGCGACAAAATCCTCCAGAATCTCTGTAAAAATAAACCGGGTGTTTCCAATGAGATATCTCGTCTAATCCTTTCCATGGCTTAAAAATTCATCCCTCCCATATAGCACGGCATTTTCATGATTTATGGGCATTTTCCGCGGTGCAATGAGAGTGGGAAAAAGGAGGAGAACATTCAATGGGATGGAGTGTATCTCAGCGTTTCTCATGCTCCGATAGCCATAAAGTGATTTGTCCTTTTGATTGAATTCTGGCTGAACGCCAAGGAGAATCTTAAATGTTCCTTTGCCGTTTGCTGGCTGGCGAAACGGGGAAGCTGATCCACTCCATAATGGTTACTTTTCTAATTTAATTAGAGAGTCTCTCTGAGCGTCTCTTTCCTCCTCAGCCCAGAGAGTGTTGACTATCAAAAGAAGGTATCCTCTGCTGTATTGCATATTTATAAAATCTCATTTAGCAAATGCATGTTACATTCACTAATTATAAATTTGTTGTTCGCGAGAAGAAGCGAGATGCCCTGTCGTATCCAACGAGCTGGTGAGCTTGTGGTGTTGCCGGGCAGGGAGGTGGGAGGACGACTTGGAGAGTGAACATTATCGTTTCGATGAAAACCAAGAAGCAACACATTTTCAATCCAATTTGGCACACCTTTGATCAATGCACGCTTTCGCGGATGCCGCATAATAACTAATTAACTGGGCAAATTTTCAAAGAAATTTGCAAATTAATTATTAAGAATTTTTCTCCGACTCGCACTCTCACTTTGTTTTTGTCTGGGCAAGCAACTTTACAAATACAGAATCCCAACTCAACCCGAGAGTGTCTACAATTCGACGTGGAATGAGAGACCACTGAAGAGTAGTAAAGAGCAGTAAATTTACGATATCTTTCCAGAAGACAATAAATTTGTTCTAAATCTGTGCTGGTAAAGGAAACCCGCGCGCTCTCGGGAAAATTGGTAACAGTGACATTCCTCTAATTTGTTTTTCATGTATCATCCGCGCGCTTTTCACGTTTCTTTTTCTCCTTCTCCCCGTTCATCTGTGAAGAGGAGTAACTAGAGGATGGCAATTATTTTTATCCAACACATAGTCCTCGTCTTTCTCCCCTTCATTTTCATCACATCAGCTCGATCGATGGCTTCTGTTGTGCCCAGCTAGACAAACTCCTGAATCACGCGCGCCTCTCACTAAATGTCATCCTAAATCTCATCTTAAGTGGCCCATATCAGAGATATTTTTTGAGACAAAACACCCATCGTGAAACCGAAAGTCGCCTGAATGGGTTTCCCATTGGCAGACAAAGGTCTTCCTCTTGGCAATTAATGCCTCCAGCTAGAGTTTATGGAGCATTTCACCATTACTGCAGACGAGAATTTCGCTCATGATGTCTAAATCATAGGCTTATTGCAATTTCTTGACATAAAATTTTCTTCTTGTGTGGCTTTTGCAGTAGCAAATTGCTTGTACAATTTTTCTTATGTCATTTCACGAGGGATTTCAGATCAACTGAATGTGCACATGTGCAAATTTACCACAGAATTAATATTCTCCAGACAATTTGCAGTGGATTTTCATGAAGAGGAACATATTAAAAGAAAAGCACATTTCTGTCCGATAAGAAGACAGAGAAATTTTTCTATACAGCTTCAGGAATACATTCGCCACATGTGCAATGATGCGCTTTTTCTTGAATGAATTCCTAATAAATTAATTTGCCCTTTTTGTCACCGAGATGCATAACTTTCTTGCTGTTAATGATGCGAAGCGCCCTGAGAACATTCTCTAAACATCGTCTGCAAAAAATCTTCTCTGTCTCATCTCAGGCCAAAAGGAGTTTCTCCACAAAGCATAGATCAATTTTGCAACTTGTACCGAGAATTAACACTTAATTACGCTAAGGAGTTCGGTGAATTCGTACTTCTATTTTCACACTGGATGATCTCGGCAATAAATTTGCCAGTGGAAATGCCATCAGGTTCACTGGGAGTTGTGTTCAAATGTCATGAACTCGCGCGATTGGAACATAACGCAGATATTTGAGATTGTTTCATTCCTCTTGGCATGAATTTGGAAAGATCATTAAAATAGTTGCCACGTCTCTAGAGCCGTGAGAAGCACACAATTGAGTAATTTTACAGTATTTCACTTTTCCTCATCTATTTTCAGAACTGTTGTCCTGGCTCATATTTGAAAGAAAGACTGCATCAATTAGCCAAAGACACGGACAGATTTACGCCGATTGCCGGTGAGTTTTATTCTCTGCCAAGAAAGCTTTTAGCGATCGCAGCCTTTACCTGATCTTCTCCCTCTTCCTCCAGGCTACATTACGAATGGCAGTGCCAACGGATCGAGTCTCGAGTGCCTTAATTTAATTGTGCAGAGTATAAATGCCGTACAATCGTCACCAGTCCATCCATCGTCAGCCACTCTGCCCAGCAAATATGACACTGCAGTTCAGTGATTATGACTGTGAGCCTCATTCAAGAGATCACACATCAGCCTCGCGAAAATTCACGCACACCCAGTGTCTTAAAATGAGATTATAGTGATTGTCCTGAACATAGGCATACTTAGAGACATTTGTTTTAAATAAATAACTTAAGAAAAGCGACTCTTTTGCCCATGAGTTAAGAGGATACGCGGTATACAAGAATAGGACAGGAAATGTGACATAAGGATTGGTTTAATGAATATACTCTTGTCGAATTAATGCCCTGAGAGTGTTTAATGGCTAATGACTCGGCTTTCTTATCGGCTCCTTCAGATAAATAAATGTTTTCATCGCCAAAGTGCCACTTAAGACACTCTTCTAATAGCTAATGTACTGCCGGAGGAAGCAACTCACCCCAAAATCTTGTTGAGGGATCATTGTGGTGTCAAATTGCTCTTGAAATTTCAACATCATCTGCCGCTTTCGACACTCCTCAACAGATCTCTTCAAGAGGGTTCTTTTTCCATACACCGCAATGCACTTGAGGGAAAGGGGAGTTCCTTGGCAAACGAAGAGTAATTTATTTATTTACATTTCACTCCCAATCGCCCAATAAATGCACGCCCGATCCTCGCTATATGGCATCATTAGAGAAACACGACCGACGCATGCCTCAGCGACTTTGGCAGGAAATGTGGGCGTTCGTCGCAAGGAGAGAACATTCCAGCTCCGGAGGTGCTCTGAACTGTGTCAATTTGCTGCACAAAACTCCACTAAATGGCCCGTAAAATGACTTGACAGTCGGAAAAAATGGGATTTTCTTTAATCTCCCAAACGTGCTAAACTCTGTTTATTTTCTCAACGATTCTCTTATTCTCGACACACTTTTCATTGTGTCTTAGTGAAAATTACTGAATGAATAGATTTTGCGGGAATTGATAAATTTACTGGTGTCCTCGATGGCACATTTAAAGTCATTTTGACCGGGTTTTTCCGCTTATTGTACATAATCACGACAATTTTGGAGTCTGCTCTCTCAAACCCCACGCAATGTACTTGGGAATCAGTTGACGTGACGAGCACGCGAACTGATCCCTCAGGAATAAATCTGGAGAAGTGTCCAATGGCATAGAAGAGGGGTTGCTTGTATGCTTCATCTGATGTCTTGTTGACAATAACCGCTGATTCCACATGATTGCTGACATAATTCGGTCCTCCGTCTTCATTAAGCAGCAAATTCCAGTCAATCCATCCGTTAACTGAGTGCTGCAAATCTTCAATGTAGGCCAAAATGTATTCCTCAGCGCGATCCCAAGACCCCAATATTGGTCCATGAGTCTGTAGAGGTTTATCCCCAATACAGGACTCAGTGTTGATGATCAGCTTCTCGGGAAATTTATCGCTTGCGCTGTCCAGAACCGCAGCTGGGACGAAACGATCCCAGTACCAGTGAACAGCGAATCCGTCCACATAATCCATCACATTCGGTCTGGATGTCTTCATCTCGTTGAACCACCAGGGAAAGGTGTACCTCTGATCATCGCCGGCAAAGATCTTGACGTCACTATACGGGCTGTTCTTCACAGTGGGTCCCAAGTGGTCAGCCACCCAGGATCCTTGCGCTCCGGCTGTCCATCCCAGACTCATGAAGTGCACAAATAGGAACCCAATAACACCATTCATAGGCTCATTTCCCGTCGTGATGCCCCACAAATCCACTCCATTCCTCGACATTAACTCTATGTAGCGCAAATGGTAATCAGCCCATGTTTGGTAGTACTGCTTCTTGAGAGAACTCGCTCCTGACCACTTGTTGTTGCTCTTCATCCATGGCGGCGGACTCCACGCACTGGCCATGATTTTAATATTACTATTCTGAGAGGCACTTTGCAGTTGCCTTAGTTTATCGATGAAGCGCAAATCTCTGGCATCAAGTTCAGTGAAATTCGTCAACTTTGCATCATTTTGTGGTACTTCATTGTATGCCCATGCTTCGAGATCAAAATCACAACCACCTGGAATTTGAAAAACCTTTAAATAGCCAAGTCAATGGACATCAAATTTACTTACCAATAGGGATTCTCATGAAATTGTATCCAATTCCAGCTGAAGAGTAGTAAGATCTGTAGAGAAAATCCTGCAACTCTTGTGAAATTTGGTCTAAATTGTGCGCTACGGATCCAGTGAATGCGCCTCCAAATCCAACGACTTTCTGATACTTCTTTGATAAATCCACACTGACTGATGCATCATTTTTGGCGAATATTCCAAATAGATTTGACGCCCAATTGTAATTTTGTGCCTTCTCACTCATAAGCAGAACTTGAGGTTCAGGTTTGACTGCATAATCCCGTATATTTACTTCCGAAGACTCTGATGGCCAAGTGAATTTGCTAACATCGAAGCGAAGACCGGCCTGAAAGGCATGATAAGACGGTCAATTTTATCGCAGACAAACATTATGCGTGTTGACTTACTTGACTTGATGATACAATCACCAATTCGGATTCATTGGGATTATCAACGGATTCTTCAAGAAAGTCACAGTTTGTTTTGTTACACACACAAACAAATCCATGTTGATACTCTCGCAGATTGCATGGAATATTCTCAGCTAAAAATAGAGATTCTCTCTTCCGTTAAGACGTGATATGTTTGGCAGTTATTGCGCTCTTACCACTTAATAGGGCGACTCTCACAATGGCCAAATACATCAACGAGAGAAGGTAATTTCGATTGAGTGCCATTTCGGTGGAATTTCACGCTGCTTTACTGGCCGAACGTCCGGCAATCACTAGACACGTTCGAAGGCAGAAGTAGACTGAGCCTTGGCTGAAAATGATAAAAGATTGACTGAAGTGCGTACTTTCACGAATCAAGGCTAAGGTTTTATCAGCAATATTCAGATTGAATGCCCCAAATGCACAAAAATTCCATCGTGTCTCGCGCCAATATCTACAATAAAATCGCCAATTTATTCACCACCACCCCATTTTCCTGCGGTGATGGTCGCAGGATAAAGGCTGTGACTGTAAAAAATATTGAGTGAATAAATCTAATCTAATTTAATCTAATCTATTTGGTTTTGTGAATTTAATTGAGTCAATTTAAGGTATAAATTTAATGAAGTCCCTTTTATCTTGCATGACCCCAATCAAAATATTTTTCTTGTCATGAGAGTACAATGGAAAATGTGTGTTTCAGTGAATCTGAGCGCAATTGAATGGATGGGTCAATAGAGAGGCGTTTCTAGAGAGGAAAGTTCGTCATCAATTAACCACATAAAAGGCAAAACGTTTCCAAATTTTCCAACAGTCAAGTTGTTAACTTGTGGTAAAAATGAAGATATTAGTGCTCTCTTTGGTGATTTTATTAACAAGAAATAAAGTATTAAGTGATAATATTCTCATTTTGAATGAAAGAACCGCTGAAATAACCACAAAGGCCGTCTTGGCTTTCTTCTATGACCAACGAATCATCTCCTATATTCTAACTCAAGAGGAAATGGACTCAATAGCCTATCAACTCTTCAAGACGGCCCTCTACAATACATATCACTTCACCTTTTATGACTTTGATATTAAGGATTTCAATGATGACTACGTGTTGCCAGGCACTCAGAAAGGAATTACACCACATTCCAATATTCACAGCTACGTTTTAAGCTCTGAAGCATTCTTTGGCCGCCAAGAAGTGATCCAGAAACTCTTCTCGTTGAATCCAAATGCAAAATGGGGAATTGCTATTACTAGTTTCATAGATGAAAACGATATTCTGCATTTGTACAGAAAATATTGGAATTTATACAAAATGGCATTTATGTTCACGTACTGGAACACTTATGAGTTTACGTTTCCCGACAATCTGATAACAAATATTACATATGCTTATTCTGATAGATTATTTCTGTACTTATTCAATCCATTTGAGATTGATAAAGATGGCTTGAGAGGCAAAGTGACCAGACTGGATGCATCAGAAATGGAAACCGCCGAGGAATGGGAACAAATTTTTCTCTTTTACGAAAATCTCATGGATGATCTGCACCAATACGAACTGAAGGTTGTTCTTGGAGATGACGATCTGCTTGTAGCCCGAGAATCGGATAATAAATACATATTTCCTGATGGTGAACTTGTGACGACGCTGATGAAGGAAATGAATTTCAAAATTGATAGACTACCACTTGGAGATGCTCATCTCGGTTTCGTGTTGGAAAATGGAACTGCAATAGGAGTGACAGCAGATGTTGAATACAATCTAGTTGATTTTGTAGGAAATTCTCGTCTTATGACTGATTTAGGTAAGATTGAGGCTCACTTCGGGAAAACGCTTTTTTCACGACATTTAATTTCCAGAAACCAACCACACCATCTTCCTGTACCCTTATCTTGAGTCTCAGAGTGTTTTTCTCGCGAAGAAGAGACTTCCAAAGGATAAACGATTGACGGTGATGCCGTGGTTGAACTACAGCTACCCTCTTAATTACTACCACGTGATCATATTTATAATCTCGATACTCTTTCTCGCCATCTCTGAAATCTTCTTCCAATGGAAACTCTACAGGATGAAAATGGATATGGATAAGATATTTATTATTTTCCTGGATACATCGACACTGATTTATAGTTTCTTAGAAGAGCATTCGGACTCACTGAAAAAATGGACAAAGATTTATCAGAGGATTTTTCTTTGTAGCATCATAATGTATTCCATGTTGCTAACTAGTGTGTTCAAAGGGATTGTGGTTAAGGATTTGAATAATGCTTTCGTCTTTGAGGATGCCATGACCGTGCAAGACATTGAGGAATCAAATCAGGGTATAATTTACTTTGATTCAATTCACCAAATCTATCGAAAGTTTATAAATGACGAGGAATTGCTGATAAACAAGCTGAAAAAGCGGCGAGCTAATTGCAGCGGTTGGGGAGACTGCATAAGGAGTATAATTAAGAGGGATCTGGTTATGGTCATAAGAGACACTTATGCGTATGAGACCAGAGCTCAGTATTGGGACAACGACACAGGAACTGATCTCTATCACATTGTTCCAGAGATTCCATTCTCATTTCTTGCCTCATTGACTCTTAATAAAGGATCGCCGTATATCAAGAAACTCAATGAGATGATACTTAAATGCACAGAAGCCGGTATTATTTACCATGGAATGGAATCTGCAAAACACTCTTTGGAATTCAAACATTTGAAGAGATACATAGTGGGACAATTTACACCAGAAGAGCCAGACAGACCTGTAAACCTCAAAAATATCGACAAAGTGCTCCTAATATTCGTTATAATGCTCTCTATAAGCACAATTGTATTTCTATGTGAAGTGATTTTTCACAGAGTGATGAAGAGTTTTCATTGATTTTTTTCTGACGAATCAGACCAGCAATTATGTGAAATGTGAACTTCAAACAACGTACATATTAATTAAAAGTGATTAATGTTCAAGCAAACAAAGAGATATGAAATAAAAATTTCCAAATTGAAACATATAAAGGACATCAAAGTCGTAAATGTTTCATTAGTGCCATTTATCCAGCCAAAATGAATTCAATCGAAGCGTTAGTGATTTTTCTCCTTCTTTCCGTTCAAGTGAGAACTGATAACATTCTAGTTGTCGACGATAAAAGTATCGAAATAACAGTGACAGCTTTGCACGCTTTTTTCTACGATCAAAGAATCGTGTCTCTTCTAATGACCGAAGAAGAATTGGATTCATTCACTAATCAAATCTACAAAAAAGCTTTTTACAAAACACACCACTTCACTTTTTACGATTTCAAATTATCAAACTTCACGATGGAACAGATATTGCCAGGATCGGAAAAGGGAATAACGCCACATTCCAGTACTCATGGCTTCATTGTGTCTTCGGAAATGTTATTTCACCAACAACAAACGATTCAGAATCTCTTTCGGCAAAATCCCAATACAAAATGGGCAGTGGCGATTATGAGAGAATCCATTAACGAAAAAGATATTCTACAATTTTACAGGAAATATTGGAGCCTCTATAAAATGGCTTTCCTATGTACAATAAAGACCATATATCACGTTAAATTTCCTGAAAATCTAATCGTTAATATCAGCTATACAAAGCATGAGAAATCTCTCATGTATCTCTTCAATCCATTTATTATAAATGAAAATGACGGCGAAAGAGGCTCTCTGACTAAGCTGATCATTTCAGATATGAAAACCCGCGATGATTGGGCTAAAATCTTCTACTTTTATCGCAATCTCATGAATGATCTTCACGGGTATACCTTAAAAATAGTTCTGAATGACGATGGACTGCTTATGGGAATTGACTCAGAAGAGGAAAACAAGTACAAATATCCTGACGGTGAATTAGTTATGACGCTAATGAGGAAAATGAATTTCCAAATGGAAAGACATCTTTTTGGCAATGATCATCTCGGTTCTGTTCTAGACAATGGGACAATTACAGGCTCTACAGGAGAACTAGAATACGATTTAGTCGATTTTATTGGGAATTCTCGTCTCATGACCGATATAGGTGAGTTTATAATGATTTTTAATGAGCACTTATAATTTAAAATCGTCTTTTAATTGTTTTAGGAACCAACAACACTATCTATTTATATCCATATCTAGCTGCCGATGCTATATTCATTGTCAAGAAGTCTCTTCCTAAGGACATAAGTCTGACCGTGATGCCATGGGAAAACTACACAGCGTCTCTAAAATACCTTCACATCGCGACATTTACAATCTCTATATGCTTTCTTACAATTACTGAGATATTCTTTCAATGGAAATTCTACAGTACAAAGTTAAGAGCAGATCAAGTATTCGTGATAGTTCTGGATTCAGTGACACTTGTCTACAGCTTCCTGGAGGAATATTCAATATGCTTGCACAGAAAGTGGTCCAGAATTTATCAGCGACTCTTCATTTGCAGCCTAATAATGTATTCAATGCTGTTGACGAGTGTCTTCAAAGGAACCATCGTCAAAGATTTGAGCAACGCTTTGGTGTCCGAAGATCCTATGACAGTCCGTGAAATTTTGCAATCTGATAAAGGTGTGGTTTACTTTAACAGCATCCATACGATTTACAGAAAATTTGCCAATGATCAAGATTTGATGATGACCAAGTTGAGTAAACGTCGAGTGGAGTATCCAGGATGGCCGGAGTTTCTCTGGGGAGTTATAAAGGATGACAGGATTATGCTGATCAGGGATGCTTATGCATATGAAGCCAGGGCAGATTTCTGGGATAATGAAACCGGTCGTGACCTTTACCACATTGTACCGGAGAAAGCAATTTCATTTTTCTCCTCCATCACTGTTAACAAGGGTTCGCCCTATCAGAAAAAGCTTAATGACATGATCTTGAAAAGCACGGAAGCGGGCGTGGTTCAACACGGAATCGAAACTGCGAAGCATTCTTTGGCACTTAAGCACATGAGAAGATATATTGACGGTAATTTCGCTCCCGTGAAACACGATAGGCCTATAAACCTTCGAAATATCGATATGGTTCTCCTCATCTTCGCCATAATGCATCTCATAAGCACTTTTGTATTTCTGTGTGAAGTTATTGTTGGCAAATTAATCAAAATGTGAGACATAATATGAAACGAGAATGAATTGATCAAATAAGCAGTGAAAAAATGTGGGCTAATTATCACTTCCGTGAGAAAAGTAAGGAATTTGATTGCACCTTTGAAGTAATCAAAGTGTTTTGATTGATTGATAAGTCAATACATCCCAAAATAGAGGAGTATAAAGGAAGAAATGACACGAGTTTCTTAACAGTCTCATTCTAATATTTTACCCATTGAGAGAATGAACGTATTTCTTGCGTTGTTGGCAATATTTCTCAGTTTAGGATGTGTAAGAAGTGATATTCCGTATCGCATAGTTGATCCAAAGGCAGTGAAAATATCGACAAAATGTATGCAGGCATTCTTCTACGACCAGAAGATTTTATCCTACATCATGACAGAACAAGAATTCAAGAGTGATGCTCATTGGACTTACAAATCGGATTTGCATAGGACCTATAATTTCACGTTTTACGATTTTAAATTGACAGATGTAACAGACGAATATCGACTTCCGGGCACAGAATTGGGAATAACGCCACATTCGAACATCCATAGTTACTTCATAAGCTCATCAATATTGTACGGACGAAATCAAGAAATTGTCCATAAGCTTTTCAAATCGAATCCCAATTCAAAATGGGCAGTAATAATTATTTTTCCACTTGACGAGAAGCTTATTTTGCAATTCTATAGAAAGTTCTGGGATCTGTTTAAAATGGCTTACATATACAGTGTAGGAAATTTATTTAAAGATGTTTTATCAGACAAACTTTCAAATATTACATATTCCAAGTTTGTAGAGAGCTACATGTATCTCTTTAATCCTTTCGAAATAAACGATGCTGATGGAAAGCGTGGAACATTGACGAAATTAATTATAACAGAAATTGAAAGTGAAAATTATACTAAAATTTCCCATTTTTATCGAGATCTAATGAATGACATGCATCGTTACACTTTAAATGTTGTCCTTGGGGAAGATGCTCTCCTTGTGGAAATGAAGTCTGATCACAAGTTTTCCTTTCCTGATGGCGAAATTTTCACCATGATTATGCAATGGATGAACTGTGACATACAACGACAATCTCTCAGAGATGATGAAGATCGGTTTGGATCAGTTTTGGACAATGGAACAATAACTGGAATTACGAGAGAATTGGAATACAATCAAATTGATATTGTTGGAAATTCACGATTAATGACAGATTTGGGTGAGTTTAAAATACTATGAGATAGTTGTAGCCTAATTAATTTGCATGTGTTTCTTCTCCAGGAACAAATAATACAATTTTCCTGTATCCACATATCTTCGCTAAGACGGTTTTCGTGACAAAGAAGCATATTCCTCGGGACATTCGATTGACGGTGATCGCATGGGAGAATTATAATTATCCTCTAAACTACTTTCACGTTCTTGTATTTATCTTGTCGATTCTCTTCCTTGCCATCACAGAATTCTTTTATCAATTGAAAATCTGCAATACTCCCGTGAATATCGATAACTTTATAGTGATAGTGATTGATTCCGGCATCCTTATGTATAGTTTCTTGGAGGAAGCATCTACTTCTATGAATAAGTGGTCAAAGATCTACCAACGGCTTTTCCTCAGTTGCATTATTATGTACTCAATGCTTCTTACGAATGTCTTTAAGGGCAATATTGTTAAGGAATTGAATAACGCTGTAGTTCCTCAAGATCCAATGTTTGTTAGTAATATTTTAGAGTCAGACAAGGGTGTTATTTACTTCGACACAATTAATAACATATATAGGAAATATGTACATGATGACCAACTCATTATAAATAAGCTCAGCAAACGCAGAGTTCATTGCAAAATATTTGGCAATTGTTATGACGATGTGATTGCAGATGATAGAATAATGATCATTCGTGATAATTATGCGAGAAGTGCCAGAGCAATGTTTTGGAACAATAAGACCGGAGAAGACCTTCTTCACATCGTTCCTGAAGCTCCATTCTCCTTCTTCGCCGCGATTACCGTTAACAAAGGGTCTCCTTACGTGAGAAAGCTCAATGAATTAGTGCTAACATGCACTGAATCTGGCATTGTTCATCGCGGAATTGCAACTGCTGAGCATTCTTTGCGTCTTGATCATTTAAGAAGATTTATTGTTGGTCAATTTGAGGTAGAAAAAGCCAAAAGGCCAATCAATTTGAAAAATGTTGATATGGTTGTATTTGTCTTCTTACTAATGCTTGCCTTTGGCACTATTGTATTTTTATGTGAAATTATCACTTATAGGATGAAGAAGAGTTTGATTTTGAAAGCGGAGGAAGATTATATTGATTAGAAATTTAATATGCAATATTTGTGTTGTTATTTTTAAAGTTATGTCATAAATATAGGTCATATGGAAGTAATGTATCAATTTCATAAATTATAGTTAAACAAGACAAGACAAACACAGAGTCTGATTGATATTTAAACCAACAACGAGGCGTTGAATGCAATTGATTTCCCTGTGATTGTTTTGTATAAAGGGCAACAGGTCACCAAGTTTTCGTCAGTGTCAATTGTATTACATTCCAAGTAACAATGAAGCTCTCAGAAGTGATGTTTGTTCTATTTTTCTCAAGAAGAATACTGGGGAAGAGTCCTGATGTGTTTATTCTGGATGACAGGGCGGCTAAAGTTACATCAAAAGCTTTTCTCGCTTTCTTCTACAACACCAGAATTGTATCCTTTATTATGATGGAAAACGAAGTGGACTCTCTGGCTTATCGTAAATACAAATCTGCTATGTACGATGCTTATCAATTTACATTTTATGACTTTACAATTGGAAATTTAACCGATGACTACCGACTTCCGGGAACAGAGCTTGGAATTACGCCTCATTCAAACACACATAGTTATATTGTGAGCAGTGAATTGATGTTCGGAAATGACGCCTTGGCTCACAAGCTATTCTCTCAAAATCCTAACGCTAATTGGGCCATGGCAATGACCAGGATGATAAACGACCATCAAATTTTAGAGTTTTATCGCAAGTATTGGAACCTCTACAAGATGGCATCCATATTTACTCTCGATTCTGAACTTGAACTTGAATTTCCCGACAATCTGATAAATAACATTACTTTCTCCAAGTTCATCAAATGCCAAATGTACCTCTTCCATCCTTTTGAGTTTAATACGGAAGATGGCAAGAGGGGAACTGTGACACCCATTGACTCGACTCAAATGAAGAACAGAGAAGATTGGGCTCAAATCTACAAATTCTACCGGAACATCACGGACGATATGCATCAGTACACGCTAAAGGTGGTGCTGGGGCCAGATGATCTCCTTGTTGGTGTTAAATCGGAGGACAATTTCATCTATCCCGACGGTGAACTGTTCAGTGTCATCATGAAGCTTATGAATTTCAGGATTGTAAGACAACCACTTGGGAAGGACTTCTTTGGAGCTGTGCTGGACAATGGAACCATCACGGGAATCACAAAGCAATTGGAGCACAATGAGCTGGACATCGTTGGGAATTCTCGACTCATGACAGACTTGGGTAAGTTTTAGTTGAATCAATGCAGTTTAAATATTCATATTATAAATCAATTTATAGGTACAAACAACACGCTTTACTTATATCCGTACATCATCGCCAAAAGTGTATTTCTGATGAAGAAGCAAATTCCCAGAGACAAACGTCTGTCCGTGATAATTTGGCAAGATTATGCTTTTCCACTCAATTACTTTCACTTCCTAGTTTTTCTTCTCTCTATCATTTTTCTTGCATTCACCGAAATATTCTACCAATGGAAAATGTGCAATATTCACCTGAAAATGAATCAAATGGCAGCGATTTGTATGGATTCAGCAACGTTAATTTATGGATTTTTAGAGGAATCTTCAGTGCCTCTCAATAAGTGGTCAAAGATTTATCAAAGACTCTTCTTGGGCGGTATTATCTTATACTCCATGTTGCTCACGAATGTCTTCAAGGGAACTATCGTCAAAGAGTTGAGCATTAGCTTCGAATCCACTGATCCACTGCTTGTGAATGAAATTCTAGAATCAGATAATGGTATTGTTTATGACGAGAGTATTCACAATGTCTACAGAAAATACATGAATGATCCCGAATTGATCATAAATAAATTGAGTAAGCGTCGTGTCTTCTGTGATGATGACTTGGTGACTTGCTTTTGGAGCCTCTTGAAGCACAACAGAATAATGATTATCAGGGAGAATTATGCCAAAAATGCAAGAGCCAAATTTTGGAATAATAACACCGGAACTGATCTCTTTCACATTGTTCCTGAAATCCCTTTCTCTTACTTTTCTTCAATAACCGTAAATAAAGGATCTCCGTATGTGACAAAACTGAACAAAATCATCATCCGGTGCACCGAAGCTGGGATTATAAATCATGGCCTGGCCACTGCTGAGCACTCACTAATTTTAAGGCAGCTGAGACGATATCGCATCGGACAATTTGTCTCAGAAGACACCAAGAATCCTATTAACTTGAATAATATCGAAATTGTCTTTCTCGTCTTCTTGGTGATGCAATTTTTCAGCACTCTTGTTTTTATATGTGAAATCATAGTGCATAATTTATTGAAATAAATTTCTTCACATTAATATTCATCCTCTGGTGACATAATTTGTCCTGAACATGGATGATGTCGCACACCGAAGGAGAATGCCTTGGCTGAGGATTTGAATGAGGGAAAATATTTGGGCCCAGGTGTGGATTTGTCACCGTGAATTCCATCTCTGCGGAATTTCATTGACACTTTTGGGGCGCTCGGTCGGAATATCTCCAAATTTGGGGCCGGATATTCAGCAGGACTCGGCATTTTTGTCTTCCGTTTCATGGGCAGACGCCTTGCTCTGAAAGCAACAAGGAAAGCACGATGTTTTCACAAGGCCATTAGGTGTCGAAAAATCATTAAACTTACAGAGAAAATGATGGTGTTGAGGATTTTCCAGTGTTGGGATTGAAGGCATATTTCGGTCCGGGAGATTTATCAACAGAGAATTGCTTGGTTCTGCCAGATATGCTGAACGCAGGAGGAGATTTCCTAGTCAGTCGGTCATTGATCGAATATACCGGACCGGGACTGTGAGCTCCTTCGCTGACAGTGTTTCTTCGTCCTGCAATGCTAAACTTGGGAGCTTCCTGCTTTCCAAACCTTGTAATGTTGCTACTATCCATTCCCAGAGGCATTTGGGCAGCGCGTCCGATCATCTTTTCTGGCTTCTTCTTCGTGCCAAAGGAGAACATGGGTTTCCTATTGAATCTCAAATCGTGCCCATCGTATCCCACAGTCGTTGGAAGAGCGTAAAACCTACCCAAATTGTTATTGGTGCACATTTTTCACGTGGAATTTTCAGAGAGAATCAACCAAAATCACGAAAAAAAATTCAAGTGAGAAGAATGAAGTGAAAAATTTGTTTCCCTATGCTTGCTGGAAATTTGTAACAATTCAGTGAACTCACGATTTCAGCATCTGTTGGCGCGATTCATTGATTAAAGAGGATGGCACAGAAAGGCGGCTGCCAACCACTGATAAGTGATTGGTCGCTGGCGTGGAAAATTATCCGTATAGAATGGAAATTGAGCTTCATGTCGCTTTGCAGACATGCTTTCAAATAATCGCAATTCACTTAATTTATTATTATCCGCCTTGAGCATGAATCAGTGGGAATTTGGAGAAGGGGTTAAGCTGGGTGAGGGGATGTATAATTCCATATGTTTCTGCCTTTCCCACCCACGAATCTCAATCGATTGAGTTGTAGAAGCGCTTGTAGTCATGATTTGCGTCCTCTCCTGTGTTCAGCAGAACGTCCTTTGACTTTATGAGAGTGCCCTGAGTACATAGAACAAGTGGAGTACATAAAAAGAGCGCTCATATGGCGCTTGACTAAAAATAGAACTCACCTGCAAATTTATCCGTGAGGTGATGAACAGCAAAATTGGTCCATAGAGACAATTTATTGAGCCCATCGATCGCATGAGCCACGGGAAGCCCAGCACTTTCGCCAACTCACCTCCCAGCAGCGGTCCGAAGGAGTAGGCCAGACTAACGGCCATTTGCTGGATAGCGTAGATGGCACCGTAGTTGGAGAAGGACTCTCCGGCGGCGCCCTCAAAATCGCCGTACTTCTGGTCAACGTAAGTGGCGAGGAAGGGCACCAAAGCAGCATCGAGTATGCCAATTCCCAAACCCAGGCCGAAATGGGGCAACATTAGGCTCCACACTGAGGACGCACTGGGAATCTGAAGATTTCTCAGTCAATCACCGGTCAATGAGTGCTGAAATGAACTCACCAGGATTGAAGAGAGTCCAACTAGGATGAGAGCGAAGACAGAAATCTTGATTTGGCCAATTTGATAGGCCACTTTGCCAAAGAAGTTCGTCCCCAAGAGATATCCTACCGAGTCGGGTATGAACACAGTCCCCAGTTGCCACTTCTGCAATTTGCCAAATTATAAGAATTGACGCTGAAATGAAACTATATATGCCTCACTTTCGGGTTGAGGTTGGTCAGCAGCCATATGGGAAGACATGGCTCAAGAATTGCCATCGTACTGGTGGATATGCAAATGGCCAGGACTACCATGAAAACCACCACATCGGTGAGCAGCGGCCACCAGGTTGCCGTGTTGTTGTCCGATGAGTCCTCCAGGTTCTCCACTGGCACTATGAGCTCCAAGAATTTGCACTGCAGCAGCAAATCCACACCGATGAAGATTGAAACTATGTAGAAAGGAGCGGCTTTGCCCACAAAGTCGTACAAACAACCTCCGACTGGATATCCAACGAGGACCTGATAGGGAAAGATGCATAGCAGTGACTTGAGGGATGAATGGGCCATAAACTCACCCCGAGAGCCACACTTCCCAGCACAATTCCCATAATCCTAGAACGCTTGTCCTCTTCGGGATACAGTTGGGCCACGAGACTCATTCCACAGACGCCTATGCAGGCTGATCCTATGCCCTGAACAGCCCTGGCGAACACCAGACTGATGTAATTATCTCCGATAGCGAACACTAAAGCAGCCAGCAAGATATTGAACGTCCCGAACACTATTGGGATGCGATATCCAAACTTTGCCGTCGATCCACCGACAATTGGGTTGAAAATCAACTGAACCAGAGCCTTAACGGCCAGGAGGATGCCGATAGAGACATTTTCCTCGTCGAGATTCACCTTCCTGGCCGTGGCCGCCGTGGCGAGACTGATTTGGGTGAGATTGACCACATTGGATCCGGCCAGCGGGTGCTTTCTCAGCATATTGGGGACGTAGTGCAGGTCAAAGGTCTTCGTGTAGAGCATCCCATTTGGCACATTGAAGGTGGAAATGTTCTCAGGCAGACTCACATCGCTGGATTGGGCGAGAAAATCTGGCAAGATGGGAACTGCGAAGAGCAAATGTGAGCTTTTATCGTGACACAAACAACAATTTTCACCTCACCAATCACAGTCAGAAGGACGTTGTCCAGGAAGAGAGATATATACACGAGAGCCGTGACGAAATCTCGCGATTCCCGCACGCGAGTCTTCATCTTCAGCTGCTCCAGCTCCCTTTTCGTGTCACTGTTATCCTTGTAGCTGAGAATAAGGACGTGTTTCCCACTCATCAATGTCCTAAAACTGCACTGCCTTAATCGATTTGCCTCACAATATGTCGACCCACTTCACCACCGTGACTCCGAGCAACAAGTGTCCATCTATGAGCACAACAAGTGGAAATCTGAGAGTTCGCTGAGCATTTTCACGCATTTTATATTTTCCTCCCTATACTGTCTTTCGCGCCGATTCCCTTGACAATGTGTTCATTCGTGCAAAAGTGCTCTGCAACACCGCAGTGAGGAGCGAAAGTGAGGCTGTGTACGTTTGAAAAGACTGTGCGATTTGATGCGTCTTTTACCCTTCTTTATTATTCAATTAGATTTACTATGTATAATGGTGTATAATATTGAGATTCATCAACTGAAAAAGTTCAACAGAATTAAAGTTCTAATCTCCACTTCTCTCTCTCTCTCTGTCGTTCTCACCCGTTTCTCATCTTTCAAATATAGGAATTGTGTGGACTCTTTAGCACAATATTTCAACAAAACTAAATGCATTATTATTACTCTCATGTTGTAGATTTTCAAATATTTTAAGATCATCCTCTCACTCTCTCTCAATTTTATTTTATTCTCCTCTCATCCACCCATATTTTACAGAGTATTTTTCATCGCATAGTTTCCTTACAATACTTATGTAATTCATGAGGCACCGCATTTGATTAAATATCAGATTTTTTTTTTCATTTGCTTCTCGTGACATATTATATATTCAAATTATGCACAATTAAACTGGAAAAAAGTACTTGACAGGCAGATTAGAAGGAATTTAATAATGATTGATCACGCGAAATATTGAATATTTTGTCATATTTCTACTGGATTTCTTTCTTTCTAAATCTATATTAACAGTTAAAACCGTTTTCTATTTTCTTTGACATCATTATTTTCATTTTAAAGCAACATGACTAAGTTTTCTTCTTCTTCTCCCTCTCTTTCTCTCTCTTTCTTGTGTGTATTGTTATGTAAATTATTATTTATCATGTAGTTTAAGAAGTTTGAGCTTTGTGCTATCATTTTCGCTAGGGCCTAGCAAATAAATCCATGTTAACTTAGAGAAAGTAGTAAATTCAGTCAATATGATTACATGTAAACTTCAATGCAGGATTCTTAAATGTCTTCTTCTACAATCTATCAATAGCACTATTAACTACTATTACTGAGTATAACGTAATTGTATTTATGTATATCGTAGTGAAAAAAATTAGAGATTAACAACTATACATAATGTATCTACATAAAAACACCTAAATCTCTTAAAATTAAAAGACAAAATGATAGGAAACAATGTACAATGATGAGAAATGAGGAAATCCTTGGGACGGCAACAAGAATTCATGTTATTCTTCCAATACAATAATTTCTTTTTCTTCATATATGTCTTTTTTTGTATATGTAATTCAAATTTCAACAATTCAATTTATTATCTAAAAATTTCAGAACGACTTTTAATGTTTTTTTTTCACTTCACTATAATCATATTGCATATTATATTTCTAAATTCTTTGCAATTATTACTTCACATGTGTTGGAGGGAAGCTTAATGATGAATGCAATTCATCGTGGAATGCCAAAAAGTGGGTTTTATAATCGTAATGTTTTTCTTTCCTTTCTTTATCCTTCAAGTATAGAAATATATATATTTTTTTTTTCATTTTCTTGTGTCCTTCAATTCACTATCACCTACGAATTTTTACGGTAAATAAAAAGGTGGGCTTCAAATGGACCAAAATTGGTTAATGCTCACGTATCGTCTCTAACTTCTTCCGAAAACTCTCTAGTAAGTTCACTAGTGTGAGACAAAAGCCACGACTTGCCGGAATTAATGGAAAATCAGGTTTGGCTACGTCCAATTTTGCAGGATCTAAGGCAGAAAAGTTGTTAGGAATCAAAGCTGCAGGCACTTTTTTTATACTGCATTAAAGTCTGCACTTTTTACTCACCAACTTTAGCCGTTGATTTTTCAATCTCCATGGACAAATCCAGCCAACTCTTAATTCTCTCGTACATGGCGAAACCTTTTTCTTCAAAATGCCGCACAATTTGCTCCTTGAAGATCGCTGGCGGTGAACACATTAGTTTTGTCATTGACTGCACCAGCTTTATGACTGCCATCTCATTGTACATTCGCGAATTCTCCATGCCTTGTTGGGTGCCTTCAAGAAGATTGACTTCACTTTAACAATTTCACCCTTATTTAACCATTTCTGTGTACTCACCCTTCTGCTTCTCATATCCGGCTTCGTTATAGTAAGGCTCAGCAACCAGGATTAATCCTTGAATTGACACAATCACTTGCAGAAGCGAACTATCAGGGCCCCACGTTTCAGATCCACGTCCTGACCACGTGCCCAGCAATGAGACGCAAACTTTCCCATCCTCGTACAGATTGGGATTGAGACGGTCTGAGCAGTAGCTGATGTAGTAGCAGAGTGGCGGCATTAGAGGATACTCATCGCTCAGTTGGATGTCAAATAAGAACATTCCGTCTTCGTAGGGTGTGTTCTTCGGACCCTCAATCATCACACTGAAGAGATCAACTCTGTCCTCGAAGGCCCTGCAAATTGAGAAGAATATTGCAGAGCTCTGTTTGTCATCAAGCCAAAGACAACCCGAACTTACCGCACCCAAACGCCTGAAGGCAGTGCTGTCCTCAGCAACTTGTGCTCTCTCTGGACAGCCCGGAAGAACTGCTGAGGATTCGTGGGATGGAAAATAGTCAGATGGTACTTGTGCGTGTTTGGTGCAGAATCGAGGATGACAAAGCAATCAGAAGGCACCGGGACTGTTGACATTGCAGTCACTTCACTATCGCTCATCGAACAGTTCAGATCTTCAACCGCAACCATTGATTCATCACAGGAAATCTCCCCATCCAGACTTGCTTGAGTGACAACATCGTTTCCTGGCATACAAATTTCGCACTCCTCGACGATCACTTCGCTGAGACCATTCGCGGGTTGACTGAAGCGGTTGTTCATCTAAAGGAGAAACATAAATAGCGATAATTTGTGGAAATTGATAGGAAAAGAAGCATCTTCTTGGGACTCACTTCTTGCAATGCAATGACCAGTTTAGCTTTTAGCAGAGCGCAAAGCTTGGCGCACACAAAATCTGGCACTTCATCCACCAACTCAATGCTGGTGCAGGACTGAGACTTGAGATCATCGTCCGTCTTGAGGAAACCATTGGCTGAAAGGGTGAGATCGTTGTAAGAACTGACGCACGTGTCAATAGAGCTGCCACCCTCGGCGCCCTCAGTCCGAGAAAAGGCTCCCGAATCATGAAACTCCTTCATCCGCCCACTGTGACTGGCAGACAGCTTTGGTTCCTGCATGGCCATGTCGATGTTGGTCACCACACAGCTGATGAGCTTCGTGTGGTAATCGTGCTCACTGGAATCCCAGTTCTCTGCAGACGACGAGAGATGACTGGCATTCTTCATTGGCGACCCTGACATACGACTCGTGTCCACACCCGAAGATCCCAGAGATTTGCTGGTTGAGCTGAAGCTGCTGCAGTCATCGTGGCTCTGTGACTGTGACTTAGCCGCTTGCAAGGAGTTCTTCTTCATCACGGGAATCTGAGGCAACTCTTCCCTGGGCATTGGACTCAGTATCTCAGCCACTCCGACACTCTTTGGCGGTGAAGATGGTGTAAATAGTCTGTTGACCTGATCTTGCACGCGCTCAGCCGTAGAACTTCCACGGCGAACCCTTTCCAAGAGGCCCATGAAGTGACTCTCATGGAAGAAAGTGGTCTTCATGAGACGATCCAGGAAGCGACACTTCTTGTACACACCCAAAAGAGTTCGCATGACCGATTGATTCTGCAGCGCGGGATTCATGTTGAAGAGCTCCTCCAGGCGTGCCATTGCGATGCGGGCACGCTCCAGATTGTGGACGAGTTTTGGCTTGGAGATTTCATTCATGGGAGAGCCACCCAATTCGCTCACCTCGCTCTCTGTCTCCCAGGAATTCTCCGAGTCGTCATTGTCCCACAGCGCGCTGCCCGTCTCGTACTGTCCCACCTCGAAGAGATCCTGCGGCCAGCACATGCTCTGGTGTCCATCCACCCACCACACTTTCACACGCCCTTCCGGATAGTTGTCCACCACCTGGCCCGCCGTGCACGTCGCATCCTCGCCCACAAAATTCGCCACGCGGATGACAATCGTGCCGGGCCGATACTGGAAGTCCGGGTGGTCTTTCAGATCGTACACGCTGACCTCGGATTCACCCATGTACTTGGGCGTGGGCTCCTCTACGCACGTGTACGTGCGGAACCACTTCACGCGCGCGGTGCGTCCAAAGTGATCCACAGTCTGGATCACGCCGTAGTCCCGCCGGTAGATCTCGTCGTTCTCATTCCCGGACAGCACGAAGTCACCGGGGAAGAACTCGTGGTCGTCGAGGTAGTGAATAGGGTAGAGTTGTGTGGATGGAATGCCGTGCTCGATGGTGCCGTCCTGCCACACCACCGTCACCGTGCTGTACACCACCAGAGCCTCCGTGACGCGATCCTGCCCCACCTGCGGCACTTGCGCCTCCACGGCCGGCGTGGTGCGACGCTTCCGGAAGCGCTTCAGCTTCTTCGCCAGCAGCGGAGAGCGCTTCGGGCTGCCCTTGGGCGTATTGCTGGAGCACGAGGATAGCGTGGTGACACTCTCACTGTCCGACCGTGAGTCTGTCTCTTCGTTGTCCGTCTGCCACTCGTCACATGGCACGGCAGTCTCATTTCTCTCCTTCGCGTCCGGGCACAACTTGCTCCTATCACATTCAATAACGGTGTTTGTCGTATTATCTAAATCACATTCGGTTGTAGTTAGTTTAACTGTATCACATGGCCGCTGCAGTCTGACCTCGTCCCGTCTCTGCTGCTGCTGGATGATCTTGAACTTGCCACACTGCTCGCGCTTCCACTGCGACTTCCGCACTATTGCGTCTCCCTCGGCGATCTTCAGGTGGCTCTTGTCGTTGATCTGCAGCATGCACGACTCGAAGAGATTCAGCCGCTTCAGGCGCTTCAGGTCCTCGCCAGTGACATAGCGCTTCGGCTGTTGAATCCCGGCGACGCCGTTCTCCTCGCTCAACGCCTTGCACTGCCAGTTCACCAGCACGCCCTCGAGCTCCACCGTCTGCACCACGAACTTCCGATCGCACGTCTTGTGCTTCCGGCTCGAGCGCATCTCGTGCGATGTCACCAGCCACTTGGCGTTGTCCAGCGCGCTCACGGGACCCGTGAGCACCTGGCCTGGGTAGAAGAGCGTGCTGGAGAACAAGCCATTCCTGCCTTTGCTCTCGGCATCCTTCAGTGGACAGTAGTCCGGCTCTGGGCGCATCTCGAGCACTGATCCACAAGCAGACCTGCCATTGAGAATGACAAATTTAAGTGCAACAACCCAGATTTCTAAACCCCAGGGAATCGTGTTCTTGGCACCGAAAATGCTGAGAAAATCAATGACGGCGCCTTAAATCTCATGCAACTCACCTCAGCACCAACTTCTCGTTCACGGACTTCGTGCTGCCCACCCACGAGTCCAGGCACACAGCATTGTCCCGGAACACCGTCACCAGTGGCCGGAGTCGCTCCGCGTTGATGTTCTTGATGACAAAGCGCGACCCCACGACCTTAACATCCGCCCGGACGGAGATTTCCTGGCAGTAGCCATGCTGGGTGTCTTTGCCCGGCACCAACCGCCTCACCACGTCGCCCGGCATCAGTGTTCTGTCCGCGAGGCCCACCTGAAACGACCCGGAAAGCCTCAGTCGCAAGAGAAACTTGAAGACTCCTCCCATCGTCAAAAATTCATCAGGAAATTACATAACTGCGCACCCACGCAGCCCGGCTCCGCACTCACCTGGCTCTCGTTGAGCACCTGCTCCTTGCCGTCCGGATGCCAGATGATCCGCACCTCGCCCTTGGTCAAGGCAAACTCCTCCGTGTCTGACGGAGTGCCCTCGAAGTTCTCCATCACGAGGCCAAACTTCACGCGGCCACGATGATCAATCCGGTACACCTCGTCCTCATAGAAGTAGAGGTTGTTCGTCGCATCGCCGTGAGCCATCTTTTGCCTGGATTTATCGTCAGTTTTTGCACAAATAAAACATTAGATTTTTCTGCAATTTTTCAATGAAAATGTGATGCACGACTTTGACGTTTTGCCCCAACTAACCCTATACAGAATCTGTTCTGGAATTCCTTCGAGGATTCATACGGACTCTAGCGGCGCCAGCTAGAACTTCTCTCAGAACTTTTCATAGGAAAATGAGAAACTGTGCATTTACAATTGTACCAATTTGAACAATTCTTCAATTGTCCAGTTTGATGATACAAGAATGCCTGCAAATTAGATTCTAATTTGATGGCAATATCCTATTTATATTCATTTGTTACAGAGTGTCATACGAATTGTCCAGAGAATGTCCAATGTTTCATAACAGTTCTTTATGTGGATGTTTTATAGTGAAACGTCAAGTTGTGAGAGGCTTTCTGTGAGAAAAGCATCTGATTTTTCCGGGTTATTTTTCACACATTTCCTGGACACTTTTCCGGCCGCTTCACTGCCACATCCATTCGTCACAATGTCTAGCAGTGCAGGAAGTTCACAGAATGATGAGCACTTTGACGATTTCTACACAGAGGTAATGTTTTACTTGGCCCTGTGCGGAGAGTTTGTTTACATTATTTAACACCCTTCTTTTGCCCTTCCGGGATGCTGCTGGCCGGAAATGGGCGTTGCAGGTGAAGGAGATTGAGCGTCGGGACTCTGTGCTGACGAGTAAGCAGCAGATTGAGCGTCTTCTGCGTCCCGGATCCACATATTTCAACCTCAATCCATTTGAGGTGCTGCAAGTGGAGCCCGAAACGCCTGTGGAGCAGATCAAGAAGAAGTACCGGAGCCTGTCGATTCTGGTGCATCCGGACAAAAATCAGGAGAACTTAGACAGAGCGCAGCAGGCGTTCGAGATAGTTTGCAAGGCGTGGAAGACGCTGGAGAGCGACGTGACGAGGAAGAAGTGCTTGGATGTCTACGAGGAGGCCAAAGATCGCACAGATCACATGGTGAGCATTCTGGCGGGATGATTGTCGAGGATGTTTTAATATGGAGTGTGTTGTTGCAGATTGCAGAGAAGCGGAAAAAGATGAAGAAGGAGGGACGCGGAGATTTGGCCATTCCTGAGGATGATCCCAGCAAGTACAAGCATGCTGTGTATGTCATGACAATGAAGCTGTTCGCGGACATGGAGCGTCGCCGACAGCAGCTGGAGACGCGCGACCAGGAGGAGCGCAAGCGCAAGAGGGAGGCGGAAATTGAGGAGGAGGAGCGGATCAAGCAGGATCGCCTGTGGCAAAAGTCCTGGGAGGAGTCACGGCAGAGCCGCGTGGACAGTTGGCATAGTTTTCAGGCGGGCACGTCTTCGTCGAAGAAAAAGAAGAAGATCAAGAAACCCACGGAGTTCAATCCACCGAAACTGAAGCCGGAATCGCGATAAGGCCGGTGAGGAGTCGCAAATCAACGCACATCACCAATAGATTGGTCAGGACTTTTTCATTTCCGCGAGGGAAATCCTCGCACATCATTCTCAGCGCAGCATAGAACCCGATAATCTCAGAATACAATTTGCAAATGCATTCAATTCTATTCATGTTCTATTATTACTGCTCACTGGTGTTGTTTTGCACATTTTGCAGTAATTTTCGCAAATTCGGCAGGAAATGCGTTTTCGCGGGAAGTTGCCATAAAAAATGCTACATACTTTATGGCGATATATCGAACAAATCCGGCGAAATGTCAGTTTCACATGTTTCCCAACGCGGTTTGCTACACTCTTCCTCTCTATAATTGTATATTTTCCCTATTTCCTTCCCTGAATTTTGCGTGGAATCTTGCAACTTTGACCTAGTCTAATGGCGTCTCACGTACGGAGGGTGAATCTAGCTCACATGTACGCGAACATGGAGCCAGAGCCGGATGACGCTGAACTCCCAACAAACACCCAATTTCCGCAACTAAACACCCGGGAATACAACCTGAGGATGAATAATCCAGCGGAAAGTACAGCGTTCCAGGAGTTTCATGAGTGCCTGGACATCAATGAAGCGGGTCACGTAGTTGTTGCCATCAATGATTACCGCTCACGCTTCTGGGTGGGTCACTTTTGGGCCTACAAGGATCTTCAGGACTTCCTGGAGAGGGAGAAAATGCCTCCGAACATGCAGAAACCCATAACCAGGGCTCCAATTAATGTCATCAAGCTCTTTGATGATCATCTGGTGAGTGGAAAAGTGAGTGTTTTCTCTGGGGAAAGGCATCAATTTGAGGTGAATTTGCAGGTTTTCCTCGGCAGGGCAACGGGAACGGTGGAGGTTTGGTCACTCAGTTCGTCCATGCAGGAGTGTTTGGTGGACTATAGGAATGAACATGTGGGATCCGTCCAGGAGATCGACTTCTTCTCCAAAACTCAGGCCGTGTCTGTGGATAATGAGGCGTGCATTAAGGTAATTCGCTATATTTTCATCCTCATCGACAATTATTAAGAATTCTCATTGTCTTCCTTCATTAATATCACATTAGATCTGGGATGTGAACTACATGCAAGCCCGCACGTCCAACACATTCCGCTACGCCCACGGCAATGCCATTACTGGTGTCTCTGTTCGTCCTGGATCTGAAGATACCTTTGCAACAGTGGCCAGAGATAAGAGTGCACTTCTCTGGGATCTGCGGATCATGGGAAAGCCTGCCAGTGGACTCTTGCAGAACCACAGCGAGGCATTGATGGCGATTTCGTGGATTCTGGAGGAAGAGGGCAGTTTTGTGGTGAAATTGGGCGACGCAGCCGGCTCAGTGCTCACCGTGGACACGCGAAAGCCCAACGAAATTGTCCAGGAGATTTCTGCATTCCAGCAATCTGTGAAGCGAATCAGGAGAACGAAGGGAAAGTACGCAGTTTGTGGTCACACGAATGCTTTCAAAGTGTTCCAAAATAACGATCAACTGCTCTATGAGGACTCCTCGAGTCTGGACTTCGTGCGTGACGTCGCCTTTCACGGGAATAAAGTGGTGAGTCTGTCCTGGGACGGGAAAATTGTCGATAAAGATGTTTAGAGAATAAATTGAACGTTTTATATGCAACGACACGATTAAGAGCATTAAAAGCGTTGAAAGTATCATTAAAAATTTCTATTTTTTATTACCGTATATCATTCAAATACACTCTTAAGAACTAATATCAATATGCATTGTCTTCTCTCCTCTTTCGCTAATTGTTTTTCCTCTTCAACGATAGACATTTTTCCTTTCGAAAGGGCACCGCATTTCAATGCTCGAAGCTTTATAATGCATAGAAAAGGTTCTTCTCTTCTTATTATGCTTGTTTGATGAAAAAGAAACAAATTACAATGAGTTTTTTTTCTTTCTTTTCTAAGTTGTGTATATAAGTTTAATCATAGAGATACATATATGCATGTAAATATGTATAGATAAAATAGTATCACGATTTAGTGGAAGGTTTCGTGTGTTTCTTATACTCCGAAAAAAATTTCATCTTCACTTTTGAAACGCCTCAAATTCTCACTTTTTTCATCGTCTTGCTAAAACTTTTCAAAGAACGCTATATCGAGTCTATCGACAATATTATGTAGAATGTGAAACCAACTTTTTTTTTTAAACTTGAGTAACATTCCTAAAGTTTCCTTCAATACAGAGAAAAGTTTTCTACGTTGTAAAGTCCTAAAGAACCTATATTTTCGTCGATTACAACACACAATTTCTTATAAGAAAAAATAGCTTAAAGGAGAATATATTACGGCAAAGAATTCTCTTCTACGCTTCATTGTCAATTTCCTTTCTTTTTGCATCTATGTCGCTCCCTTGGGTGACTATTATTGCAGGAAGTGAAAATATATTTTTTTTCTATATTTATGATTTAATCTTTCATCTTTTGATTCTTGCGAAATTACCATATATATTATATACTTAATTAGCAATGCAATAAATACACAATTGCAGTAGTAGTTTGTTTTTGGATGCTCACAGACGTACTAAATGGTTGACTAATTGTGCTTTCAAGTAGTTCCTTAGTTAATATGATAAAGTAAATATGTAACATGTCTGCTTCTCTTAATCATATTTTCACTTAAACCAAAAATACGCAAGAAAATGGAATGTCAAGCAATCACAATAATTATTATTGTGGCAATTTCGTATCATATTGAATTGTAAGCATACCTATTTAGGAGTTCTTGGTATTTATTACTATTATATGTACTTTCTCTGTTAAATCTAACAATTCTCTCTGTCACTAGAGCGTGTGAGTGTTCATTTCGGCAAATCTCGAAGAAATATGATCTATTAACATTTGTGTTGTGTCTCTTTTGCACTCTTCAGAATATTATCTGTTGATTAAATTGCAAGGAATATAATTCATTGAATATAATGTTTGCTTTATTCTCTATTACACAATAACTCTTGATTCTTCTCTTTTTTCTGTCTCTCTGTGTGATATTCAATAAATAGTTTTCTGCATGTAATTACTTTAGAATTATTATCAGTTTATATGTGTGCAGAAACACATGTTTCACAATAAACGGCTAATATCAACACCAAAGTTCAATTCATTCATTAAATGTTGTGTAATTCTTTCTTGTCTTTATTAAAATCTGTCCCGCTAAAAACATCCCTCAAGGGCCTATGGATAAAATAGACTCGAGGGTGAAAAACCGCAAAGATTCACTCTTGATCACAAGAAAACTTCACGATCAATGTGAACAATTTCATAATAGATGTGTTTCGCTTATCAAACTTCTCTTCAATTAACCATTATTATATTCTTCAATGTTGAAAAACACCACTTTAAAGAGTACAATTGCTGGTGCCTTTGAACTGACACCAGTTTTTTTTTCATTCAAAAAGACTCCCTTCTCTGCATAAAACCCACAATATTATCAACAAGAAATTCCAAAAGCGAAAACTCGCGCAAAAATGACCAATTAATCACTTTGTGACTATAATGAGTTGCGTGCTGTGTCAATTGATGAGCGCAACACTAGACAGCCTTCCACCCAGAAGTTGGGACGATTCAGCATACTCTGCCACAAAGAGAGCTCTTTGCCGGTAGCGTCCATCCACTCCACGGCCTTGCCATAGTGCTTGCCTGCAAGGACACGAAGATTCTCCATTAGGGAACCTCAATGGGAAAGTAGCGACAATCCCGACAGACAAGGATTCGCTTAACAGCCTTCAGTTCTTAATTTAAAGTCCATTATATGCACTTATTGAATATTGATTATCTCTGTTAGATATTCAATTAGACCGCAATTGAGTAAACTCGACGCTATTAAATGTTGTCCTGCCAGAGAGTATTGATAAAGGGACGGGAAGAGTATGTTGCAAAGGAACGCTGTTGAGCTTAATAAAGCGTAAAAGCTTTTAAAACTGTGCTGTCTGGAAAAAACATAACACTGAGCGCAATATTTAATTATTTATAATTTAATCATCAATTATGAAATGCACTCTTCTAAGTCCCGTCAAATTCTATAATGCTTCAGTCAACACAAAGCTTAGTGCAAACATCCAGGAAGTGCTCTAGATGGCTTAGCCACTGTTGCGAAACCCCATTCTCTTACCTGTTCCTAGGGAGAAGCGCACGCCACCCAGAAATTCATTGCTGGCAAGTCGATCGTGATCCCAGATCGTCAGTTCGAGGGCTCGCTCAGATAGTTCCTGGAGCGTAACATCTTCGTATACGATTGTGTGATTCCACACGGGATTAACAGTTCGTTTGATAACGTCGGTTTTGCGCTTCGAGCTGCGACTCTTCTCCGGCAAGAGATAGCTGTTTGGGTGTGAGAGAAGATATGGGTCAGATTTCAGTTTAATTGAATTTACGAGGGACACTGGCTGTGGATTGTACCTCTTGCAGAACGCATCGCACGTGCCATTCGCCTTCACTGGCATCAAGTTTTTCGCCTCCTTCACCAGCACGTGCAGTTGGCCCTTGGTGGAGGTGTTCGAGGAGCGCGACGTGATTGAGGATTTGCTAAACTTCCTCATGCTGCCGCTAGAATTGTAGCCAGAATCCGGTGGTACAAACTTCAGTCCGACAATTATGTCACCACGATATGCTGCCGGCTCGTCGAATGGTTCACTCTGGGGAGTCAAATTGGCGGATAATGAGCTTCTCATGTTTTCTACCTCAGACATATTGCTACTGCTCACCCGCTCCTGCAGTTGATACCACTGTGGCTGGGGATTGTCGAACATCTTTCCCTGTAGATTGATTAGCACTTCGCCCAGAAAATCATTGCGGCCAAACATATCCGAGTGCCAGACGGTGAGCCACAGCGTGCGGGATTCCAGACTGCTGATGGACATGTGGAATTTGAGCACCTCGTCGAAGAAGGGGTTGAGGGTGTGCTTCTTCACTTTCGTCTTCCTCTTGCCGCTCTTTGACTTGTCCGGCAGCAGGTACACCTGTCGGCAAATGTGACACCCTCAGCATCCAATTAACCTCAATTACAACCCCCCGGACATACCTTCACGTAGGGATCACTGCGGTTCCTCTTGCCATCCACAGCCGCCAGTTCTTTGCATTGTACAATGTGAATCTCGAGAGCGTTCTGCTTGTAGTTGTATTGCATCCCGAACTCGATGTTGCCTTTGACGACCACAGTGCCATAGCGACCCTCTCCAGCCCCAGAATAGACACTCGCCATTGAATCGGATCGCAGCTGAGAGGGCGAATTAGTCACAATTATCAAACAATAGACAGATTATAATATTTATCAAGTGTTATCAAGTCAGTTCTTTTGATTTATTTGCAAGAGATTAGCTTTCTTCGCCTGTGTATCAAAGAATAAACTATCCACAATAGTCATATCGCTCTCTCATTTGCGTACTTTCAACGTAAGACGCGTACATCACAATGTGAATTGATATGAATTTCTCATGATATTCGCAAGAATGTTACATAAGACACTTTTACGTAAATTCAGTCCATTCATTTGGAAAAGTATATCATTTATTGTTTTGATTTAATATATATTAACAGCTAATCCGGAAATATATGGCGATATATTTATAAATATTGCGTAACCAAATTCAAAGTATATTGCGACTCGTTGAAATGCCAAAATGCTCAATAACCAATTGAGATTGTATGATATTGCCAAGGTTGGCGAGGTCATTGGCATTTCTATGCTTATTTTCGCCAACAATGACACACCGAATCTCAATGATCTTATCGATAGTTGAGTCGATAACTCACCCCGAGCGAGCTGAGGCTGTGCCTGTTCTGGTGCAGCGCCACGAGACGATCGATGTCCTCGTCCGACTGCGATGGCCATGGATCACTTGACGCGGATCCGCGCGATCCCGCAGGACTAGTTGGACCTGCACTCCTGACATTCTTGCCCACGTTCACGGGCGGTGTTGGTGCAGCTTCCGGTGAAATTGCGTTTTCATCTGTGGCAGAAGAGTAATAAAATGTACAAAAGCACGATAGGCATGGAGCATATAAAGACGAAAGAGGCACAAATTTGTAGAGCGTATGAAGTTATTGAAGCGAGATGTAAAAAAATCATTTTCTCGTTTTGCTAAATATTGTGACTATCGACCCAATGACCAACAATTTCTCCCCCTTTGCTCAATTGTTCGAATGCAAGACTATTGAGTGCGAGAACGCGCTGGAGGAGAATTGCTGAAAGTTTCTCCAAACGTCGCTCTTTGGTGACAATAAATCGAAACTTTTAATAGAGTTGGTGTGAATTATAATTGCGAAAGTTGCATGGCCATGAGGGCGTACAAATGGGGAAATGAGATCTTCTGGGTTATGAATATTTCAAAATTATCCATATTTGATGGAACATGTGGAGATGAATATAATAAAAGTATACTTTATATGTGTGTTTTTTTTTCTCTCATAAGAGAAAATCATGTCCAGAAAGCATATAAGTTTCTTTCGGCAACAATGCAACAATCCAATTGGAAAAACCCTTCGTGCAAACCAAGAGACTTCCTATGCATTTTGATTGCGGAAATTGATGAAAAAAGCCCCTATAAAACTCCTTCCCCACCCCAAGCCCACTTGTTGATGTGCTGTTCTGAGAGCGTGAAAGAAAAGCGATGAACATGCAGCAGACTTTCAACCCTCTCACCGTGCGCAGAAACTCTTATTTTGGGTATTTTTGTGTACTTCTTCAGACTATTGCCCTGCATGGCGTCATACTCGAGGCTCTCGAGGAATTTATCCGAGTTGGACTTGAGGCTGTCGTTCCAATTCCAGAAATGCCTCTTGCCGCGTTTCGCCTCATCAGCGCGCAAAGTGCTCTTCTGACTCGGCGATTTATCCTCCGCGTTTGCTATCACTCTTCCGGGTGTCTGTTTAGCGCTCATTTCCAGCTTGAACCGATTGAAGTGCCTGTCAATATCGTCCTCCTCGTCGCTCTCCTGGCCACACAGGCGACACCACTGGCGATTCGCGCTGCACGGACACAATTTCCCGCGAATTCTCGCACAGCAGAGGCATTGACAAAGAATGCATTGGCGCCAGGACGAGACCCTGGCGGGTGGTCTTCTCCGACGTCTGTTCTGGATAAGTTGAAAGCGACTGGAAGTTGTGGTGATATTTTCGGTGCTATTGACACTGTTGAATTCCGCCCCAAACGTGCTGTATTGATTTTCATCGTGCATTCTGTAGCTCACGAGCCTTGCCATAGCTCCACAGTCTCTCGACTTTTATTCAAAGTTCACACATAAGCAATTTCATGCTGCACTTGAGCGCATTTGCAGATGTACGTTCACCAATTGAAATTACTCAACCAGGCGCTCTTCCATCGAAACGAGTTCCGGGAAATATTTGAATAAGCGGATTCAATTAGGCGGCAAATGATACGGAATGTCTGATTGCAAGGATCAAACTCGAGAGTTTGAGTGCATTTTCTGGGAAATATTCAAATTTTGATGGACACTTTCTGTGACAGTCCAATTTATTTATCAGACTGACACTGAATAAATTCTGCTCATGCTGTTCAAGTAAGAAATTGATTCATCACCTCTGCTATGGATTATCTCGTGGATAATAAATTCCTTTACTGCTTTCAGTGAGTGTCTCGCCGAACACGAAACGATTGCGCAATAAATGTAATCAATTTTACGCAATTCTATTAATTAAAGTACATCAATGGACACGCGCCGTTTTACTTAGCAGCACGATTAATTGTCACCATGAAAGCGACAAGGAGGAATTGCTCCGCATCATGAATATTTAACACACACTGTGCGCCTATTTCATCCTGAGGGATCGTATTTTTTTTAGAGTGTGTCTTCAAAAATTAATGACCACATTTTAAGGAATATTCTATGCACAGAGACTCATTAATCAATTTGCGTGAGCAACTCACGTGCAGAATTCATAAAAAAAAACAGCATGGCAACGGTGGAAATCACTAAATAATTAATCGCATACTCATCCGGGAGACACAGTGACTGCAAAAAGTTTCAAACTGTCGGTCGGTGAATGTGATTCAACTTAATCAGTGAGTAATGCGCTTTTCGCTAATTAATTCACGTGAATTTTTAGACTCTTCCGGAACAACTCCGCACTGGTAAACACTGCTGGACTTTTTCTCCGCCACACGGCAATGTTACTCGCGAGTTCAACTCTAAATATGTCCCCGAAGAGTATCGTAATGAAGTTGACTATATTTATCTTTTCCTCATTAATTGGAACATTCTCTTCCCGCATACTTTTTTCTCTCGCACTATTCTAAATTTGTTATTGACATTTATTGATTTTACAAAGGATGGAATGATATAATGGAAGCCACTAATTTCATCCAGATATTCACTCATGTGTTTTCCATCCAGACAGCGTCAAACAGGAAATTCACAAAATGCTGTTGATGAAAACTTTAGCAATACATTCCATCGCAATTATCCCATCAATGGACGCAATTTTTACCATGCCAAACAATTTCTACATGCTTTTATTCATTAAATGTTCCACTTTGCATTATGCAAAATGAATTTTAGCAAATATTGATCACTAAAAGGACGCATTGACGATGGTTATTGGCAAAATTGCCAATGCTGTGTACTTGAAAAGCTTCCTTGCAATTGTTTTCTGGTTACAGAGGGAAATTGAGAGAATATGATTACGTCTTTCTATTGGCATTCAAGAAATTTCCCGGGAATGCCACACGTGTACGAATATTGATGACTTCTCTATAACGTTTGGAGGCACGCGTTTCGGGAAATGAAAACGACATATTCAGAATAATTTCACCAAAAAATAATACGAGGAAAAACAGGCATTCCCTTAGACTGAAGTCATCTTCCAGAGCCCAAACTTTTCCCCTTTTGCACACTACAATGGCAACCGAACTGACAAAAGGTGTAACTTTTTGATTTTATCATCACTAAAACCTTTCTCATCCATTACTACAGTTCTTGTTCACTGAAAATGTGTTAAATCTCCTTCGCTACAACTTTTCGCATGAAATTAATGATTGAACTTGCTGAGAAGCCCCTTTTTGCCTCATTCTCTTAAGCATATCAAAGAGCTTTCGCTCAAAGTACTTGAATATTTTGTTATATACCGAAAAGCTCTTTCCCTCTTTGTTAAGAAAATTGGAAGAGTGTTATGTAGCAAAAAAAAAATTAGGATGAATATGACGAGGCAGAAATGACTGCGAGTGATCCTTTGAGAGGCTGTGAATACGGAAAAAATGTTTCCAGTGATTGGTGTAAAGGAATTCCTCGAGTCACTTTATCTCACGTAATTCACGTAGCTGAAATTGCTCTGTGACTTTCAGCGAGGGTTTTCAGCTAATTTCTCCTACTTCCCATTCCTTGGCGGAACGGCGCACTGTCAAATGCAAAAGAGCATCTGAAGCTCTTCCTCAGTATAATGAAATTTTCAGGAGATATTAGCTAATTTCCTGGAAAACGTACTGTTATGATTTTCCCACAAAACTTTTGTAATTTCTCCACGGACTTGCTCTGCATAAAAGCTGGGATATTTTAAGAAAAGACCCCCGTCTGGCTCGACACACACACACACAAAGCTGTAAATATTAATAAGTGTGGAGGGAGAAAAATTTGTAGGTAAATTAATAAAATTAACTGCGGAGTGTACTTCACAGACTGGGCCACTTGTGGTGCAGAAAATCAAATTTTAATTCAATTAGAATAGTTTTTTCCCCGCTGAAATGTTGTCTGCAGAGAGTCTCGCGATGGATGTTTAGTCTTTTGTGTGGGAAAGAAGTGGCCGTGTAATTCTCAACAGCAAGAAGTTACACACAATTACACACAAGTCAGCCGTCTTTTTTGGGCAACATCTTAAGAGAGATGTAACGGATAGTGTTAGATTAACCGGTTCATCCGACGAGAGAGAGATATTTGAAATTTCAATTTAGAGAGGCAAATACACAAGAGACTGCCTCAGATGCTTGACCACGGCGTAGAGTTAATTGGACACTTCACGAGATACTTTGTCCACATAAACAACCATCAACTGTGCGCGATAAATTCCCAACTTTTTCACCAGGTAGTTTTTCACCTGGAATTTCCAACAGAAAAGAATTCCAACAATTTTCACTACAAGATTGAGATAAATTTCTCTTTTCCTCCCCACTTTGGCGATGCACTTGGGCAGTACGTCAGTTTGTGAAGAACTAATTCCAAAGCACACGAGACGAGGCTCCCATTGAAGCGCCATTATTCATTGTATTTGCGACAATGGGAGTGATATTGAATGTAGTACCACTACCACAGATTGCCCACCAAGAGGTTAACCGAAGTCCCAACCTACAGGTCAATCTGATTGTCTGCCAAATGCCTTCGTCTCTGAGAAATTCCGCCAAGCCATGAATATTTCGTCTCAATTACAAACCAACACTGCGAGACTCCGCATCGAGACAAATATTGACGCTTCCAATCATGTATGTGTTGATACAGTGTCTAACAAACTGTAAGTTCACACAAAGTGAATGAAATCAAACATTAACTACTCATTAATGTCCGTGACCCATAAGAAGAAAAAATCAGCCACGAGAAATTCAAGCCAAATTGAGGTTGACTTCATGATTCAATTTCGCGTGTGAGTTAATTGGAGGCTGGAGTGTTTGCATTTTTGGGCTTTTTCCACAACACCACATGCTTAAGCGGGCAAACTCACGAGACCATTAGGATAATTCCATGTTTTGTGATTGCTTGTGTAACTGCGTAAATAGTGATTCCTTCACGCTTTGAGGTGAGCAAACATTTGACATCTAAAATTTGTTTGCCAAACATAACTTTCATCAGCTATTTAATAGATTGTTGAGCCGAAAGTAAAAGCTCCATGCAAAATAGCTCAGTGGACTTGTTGAGATTTCGCATTTTTACACAAAGACAAGACGGCTAAGCAAACATATCACCTTTAAGGATGATCTCCCACCGAAAAGAAGAAGACATAAAGAACG